GAACAAGATAGGGATGCCCTCTCTCACCACTTCTGTTCAATAGTTCTCGAAACACTGGCCAGAACAATTAGAGAGACGAAAGAAATTAAAGGCATAAAAATAGGAAAAGAACTTAAATTATCACTATTTTCAGTTGACATGATTCTATACCTAGCAGACCCAAAAGGGTCTACAAAGAAACTATTAGAGCTAATAAATGAATTCAGCAAAGTGGCAGGATATAAAATCAACACGCATAAATCAAAGGCATTCCTGTATATCAGCGACAAATCCTCTGAAATGGAAATGAGGACAACCACTCCATTCACAATATCTTCAAAAAAAATAAAATACTTGGGAATCAACCTAACAAAAGAGGTGAAAGACTTATACAATGAAAACTACAGAACCCTAAAGAGAGAAATAGAAGATCTTAGAAGATGGAAAAATATACCCTGTTCATGGATAGGCAGAACTTACATCAACAAAATGGCGATATTACCAAAAGTTCTCTATAGCTTTAATGCAATGCCAATCAAAATCCCAACGGCATTTCTTGTAGAAATAGAGAAAGCAATCATGAAATTCATATGGAAAAATAAAAGACCCAGAATAGCAAAAACAATGCTAAGCAGGAAGTGTGAATCAGGTGGTATAGCGATACCAGACTTCAAACTATACTACAGAGCAATAGTAACAAAAACAGCATGGTACTGGTACCAAAACAGGCGGGTGGACCAACGGTACAGAATAGAGGACACAGAAACCAATCCACAAAACTACAACTATCTTATATTTGATAAAGGGGCTAAAAGCATGCAATGGAGGAAGGATAGCATCTTCAACAAATGGTGCTGGGAAAACTGGAAATCAATATGCAACATAATGAAACTGAATCCCTTTCTCTCACCATGCACAAAAGTTAATTCAAAATGGATCAAGGAGCTTGATATCAAATCAGAGACACGCCATCTGATAGAAGAAAAAGTTGGCTACAATCTACATACTGTGGGGTCGGGCTCCAAATTCCTCAATAGGACACCCATAGCACAAAAGTTAATAACTAGAATCAACAAATGGGACTTACTCAAACTAAAAAGTTTTTTCTCAGCAAAAGAAACAATAAGAGAGGTAAATAGGGAGCCTACATCCTGGGAACAAATCTTTACTCCTCACACTTCAGATAGAGCCCTAATATCCAGAGTATTCAAAGAACTCAAGAAATTAGACAATAAGATAACAAATAACCCAATCAATAAATGGGCCAAGGACCTGAACAGACACTTCTCAGAGGAGGACATACAATCAATCAACAAGTACATGAAAAAATGCTCACCATCTCTAGCTGTCAGAGAAATGCAAATCAAAACCACCCTAAGATACCATCTCACTCCAGTAAGATTGGCAGCCATTATGAAGTCAAACAACAACAAGTGCTGGCGAGGATGTGGGGAAAAGGGTACACTTGTACATTGCTGGTGGGACTGCAAATTGGTGCAGCCAATTTGGAAAGCAGTATGGAGATTTCTTGGAGAGCTGGAAATGGAACCACCATTTGACCCAGCTATTCCCCTTCTCGGTCTATTCCCTAAAGACCTAAAAAGAGCATGCTACAGGGACACTGCTACATCCATGTTCATAGCAGCACAATTCACAATAGCAAGACTGTGGAACCAACCTAGATGCCCTTCAATAGACGAATGGATAAAAAAAATGTGGCATTTATACACAATGGAGTGTTACTCTGCATTAAAAAATGACAAAATCATAGAATTTGCAGGGAAATGGATGGCATTAGAGCAGATTATGCTAAGTGAAGCTAGCCAATCCCTAAAAAACAAATGCCAAATGTCTTCTTTGATATAAGGAGAGTAACTAAGAACAGAGTAGGGACGAAGAGCATGAGAAGAAGATTAACATTGTTTAATGTTCTGTTTAGGGATGAGAGGTGGGAGGGAAAGGGAGAGAGAAGGGAAATTGCATGGAAATGGAAGGAGACCCTCAGGGTTATACAAAATTACATACAAGAGGAAGTGAGGGGAAAGGGAAAAATAATACAAGGGGGAGAAATGAATTACAGTAGATGGGGTAGAGAGAGAAGATGGGAGGGGAGGGGATGGGGGATAGTAGAGGATAGGAAAGGCAGCAGAATACAACAGACACTAGTATGGCAACATGTAAATGAATGGATGTGTAACTGCTGTGATTCTGCAATCTGTATACGGGGTAAAAATGGGAGTTCATAACCCACTTGAATCAATGTGTGAAATATGATATATCAAGAACTATGTAATGTTTTGAACAACCAACAATAAAAAATTAAAAAAAAAGAAGCTGAAATCTCACAATACAGATTTTATATTTTTAATTCTCCCACCCTCAGAAGCATTCATCATTCACAAACATTCCAGAAGCTTGAGGTTATAATTAGAATAAATTTCTCAAATTATTAATTGTATGCAAGTTGGAACACACACAAATGCAGCTGGAGAGAAATGAACATAGGTATATTTAACATTCCATTTTCAAGTTGTCTTGCAGAGCTATGATTTTCCCATAGTAAAGTGATAAAAATCAAAGCTAAATCAAATACAGTACCATCTTTCCAATTCTCAAATAGGGCAAAATAAATGTAATTGCCTTGTTAGGAATATAAAGGGAAAGAAGCACGCCTGTGAAATTTCAAAATATTTAAAAAACACAAATTGGGCATTTCCATAGCAACTTGTAACAGAGTTCTTGGACCTCTGAAGTCTAGCGAAGATCTTCAAGGATATGTCTTTTTTTTTGTTGTTGCCTCATGTAGAATAATTCAATAAGAGTGACTGCTCTGTCGGAGCATTTATTTTTATTTCCAGGTCTTTCCATCAAAAATTTTAACTAAAATACCCAGAAACACCACCCCCCCCCCCCCCAAAAAAAAAAAACAATATAAGACTAGGCAATAAAAGGCAAAGATATCTTGTCAAACTTACCTAAGAAGGCAGTCAGTGGTACAACCTGAGGAAACAAGATTCTCTTTAGGACTTACTCTTTCAGTATAACTACATTAATAAGTCTTCTTGTTCAAGTTATAGCAAAGCAAAAGTTAAGTGTTCTGAGAACTAGGCAAGGTCTGTGGAGGAAAGCATTCTTTAATTTAAATCTCATTGATAACACTTGGGCATTTTGCAAACATTCCTTTTGTTTTTATTTTTTATATCAGTCAGGCCTTGTGGTTCCTATGGATATCAATCAGTCACTATCAAAATACTTTCATAAATCCTTCTTAATTGGGATTGTGGAAAGACAGGTAAAACAGACATGAAAGTCAGGCATTCTGAGCATGGGGGATGAAGGATCCTCTTTTGTGGAAGTAATCCTTTTTTTCCAGGGATGATCCATATGACCAGATTGTAAGCAACTTTGGGTTGACCCTACAAATTCTACAATCATAAAGTGTATTTTGAAAACATGAATCTTATAATATTCCCAATAAATATATTCAATAATATCTTCTTGGTGGTATGAGCAGCATAATAGAATTTGTCTTGGTAGCACAAATACACCTAATGAATACAACTATTTTTCATCTGACAACAAAAATGTTCAAAACATAACAATGCAATATCAACGACAGAATTTTAATTATTGCATGAAGTTCACAATTTCCTAGTAATTCCTTTTGCTTTTAGACTGTATCACACTAAGGCTTTGCAATCATAATTTGTTCCAGTCACCCAATGACACTGTCTCTGTGGCTGTTAGTCCTCAGCTGACATCAATTTGGTTCAGTTGTTTTCATTTTGCTTTGTTTGCTGGCGTTCTAGCCTCTAACAGTTCTAAGCTCTTAGAATGTTATGGCTTTCAGCTGCTCATGGAGACAAGGGTCTACTTGGTGATGATGGAAAACACTCAAATAGCTCAGTCTCTGAACTGCACAACTTCACTTGCAATTATGTGACCTTTAATCCCAGTGGATCGGGAAGCTGACACAGGAGGATGGCGAGTTCAAAGCCAGCCTCAGCAATGGTGAGGCGCTAAGCACTCATTAAGACCCTGTCTCTAAATAAAATATGGGGATATGGCTCATTAGTCAAGTGCCCATGAGTTCAATCCCCAGTACTCCCCCCTACCAAAGAAAAAGATGGTATGACAAGGTTTCTTAGAATCAGGTCCATATTTTATCTCAAGGAAAATTTATAATCTTCTCCAATTTATCTGCCAAACTTATTCCTAAATATTCAACCATAATTAATTTTATCATGGTTCCAAATTAAGCAAAAAACTGGAGTCATAACTTCTGCTACCTGTCAAGTTTTCCTATGTTAAGTCTTTTTCACAAGCCCACTAGAATACTTTATCCTCCCAAATAAATGTTTAAAATCACCTTCATAATATGTAACAGCCCTTCTAGTTTTCTATCTTTGGCTAAATAAACTTAATGCCTAAAAATTTCTACTTTAGGCTCTAGCAGTAAATAGTGTCATATTCTGTATTCCAGAGTTCTTAAATAGAAAATGGAATGTACAGGTGTTTTTTTTTTTCCCCTTTGGTGGTACATGGGATTAAACCCAGGCAGAGCCTAGCACATACAAGACAAGCAAAGTGCTCTACCACTTCCAGTTCATTCGTTCGTTCATTTGTTCATTCATTCATTCATTCATCCATTTATTTATTTATTTATTTATTATTCTTAATTTTGAGACAGGATCTTGCTAAGTTGCCCAGGCTGGCTGCAAACTTTTGATTGTCCTGCCTCATCCTCCTGAGTAACTGGAATTACAGGTATGTGATACTGTACCCAGTAGAATGTACACTTACTTAAGTCTGTAATTCTGCCCCTATGCAAAATACTAAGAATCATCTCACTATATCCTTTTATTTTACAAAACTTTAATGTGTGGGACTTTTTTGTACAATTTGACATCATTCGTTATCGCATCCCATTCTTTAAACGCCTCTAACAAGTTGTAATTTTATGAACTGGGACAGATACTTAAGTTTAATTCTCATACTCTTTCACAATTAAGCATACTACATTTCTAGTACTTCAAAGATTTTAATTATTGTCAAATATATCTGGATTATAGCTTAACCCATACATTTTCAGAGAGTTCATGATTTTTATATAAAGGCAAATTAAATAATACCTAAACATCTAAACTTAATACATTAAAGTCATAATGATACAATCATTTCAAAATTATTGGAAAATATGTCATTTTCTTGAAATGAACTTGGCATAGAAGGCAGTAAAGAGGTCTTTATAAGGAGTATCTGAATTGGACTTGGTCAACGGTATTCGGCAAAATTGGCGAAATCTAGGAGAATGCAGCAGCAAGTTCTGTGAAAGGCCCATGAAGCTGGAGCACAGCCAGTAGAGAACAACTGACTAAAAAGAGAGAACATGGATATTAGTGCCTGTCCATTCTTGAAGGATACAAAGTCCAGAGACAAAAAAGCAATAAAAAAGAAAATAAAAATCTCTAAATGAAAGTACACTGGGACCAAGCTAACATGTGCAGTTATTATATATTGTGAGGGATCTAATAAGAAAGTAAGTTGAAAGGAAAACCAAAGGCAAAAAGAAGTATTTTTGGTATCAAGTGGATGGCGGAAAGCAGTTGTCAGGTGAGGCCCAGGAGTGATCTCACCCCTACTTTGGCAATTAAGCATATTTTTCTCCACCAAAGGTTCTGACAAACTGATTATATATTGAGGGTAGAATACGAAAAATGGGGCTGTGGCCATTTGTGATAGCAATATTAAGACTCCCTAGACCTTATTTTCCCCCATGTACTCATTTATCTTCCCCAAATATTCCCCATAACCAGTGTTTCAGAGGAGTCAGGAATGCATTATCTCTGCCTTCTTGAGAGAGCTTCAGCATTAGCTGCATCTTTCTTTTTTGTTATCATCCAGACTGTTTATTTAGGTCAATGACCAAGTTCTACAGCCTCTGTATATGTTGTCTATGTATAGACAACACATCTGTTCCAAACTTTTGTCATTGGGTCAGGCCCCACAAGCAAAACCATGTGACTGTTCAGTCCTGGTTGTAGAGACAAATGCCTTAGTTTGATCCTATTTGCTATTTATCTGACTTTTCATAAGTTATTTTCCTTTGTTTCAGTTGCTTCACCTAAAATAGGCCAGAAACTAATGCACCTCAAAAGACTGCTTTGAGGAATAAATGAGATATTTCATATAGTGTGATAATAATAATAAGCACAGTACGTGGCCTATGTTAAGCACTTGCATCTGTTCCAAAATAAGTCTTTCAGGGCAGAATACAAAATGTCATCAAAGGTAGATTAGCACAACAGTTAGAAGCAACAGCCAAACATCCTGGATGTGTGGTAAGACTCAGCATAAGTAGGTAAGTGAACTTGGGAGTTATTTAACCTACTTGTGCCTCAGTTTCCTCAGCACCAAAGTAGAGATTAAAAGAGTACCTACCTCATTGCACTTTTGGGAGAATTAAATGAGGTAATGTACCTAAACCATTTTACAGTGCCTGGCACAAAAGTCAACACTGAATAAACATTAGCTATCATCATCTGACTTATCCATCAACCAGAAAACCACCTAAGCCTAACCTCATTGACTATAATTTATCATGTAAATATCAATCCCTCTCCTTCCTGAGCAACAAAATCCAGATGTTTCAGTTGGGTACGCTGCCATCTGGAGGGGGAGAGGGTCTATACATACTTCCCAAGTCTCTTCAGCAGTCAAGTGTGGCCACACAATTAAGATATAAACACAATAGTTTGGTGGGATAGCTGGCAATGCTTATTAAAAGGAGCTGATTGTATTTGAAGCAGCAAGATAGCAAGCTCTAGAAGTCATCATGATCATCCTGTAGCCTTAGGGAGAGAAATAACAGACTACGGATGTTGGAGCAGAGATAGGCAGGCACATTTGTAATCCCAGTGACTTGAGAAGCTGAGTCAGAAGGATAGCAATTTCAAGACCAGTCTCAGCAACTTAGAAGAGTCTGTCTCAAAAAATTTTACAAAAAGGATTTAAGATTGGATGCAGTGGTAAAGCACCCCTAAGTTTAAGCTCCAGTACCACAAAAGAAAAAAAAAAAAAGAAAGAGAAGCAGGTGGGTCTCCACTGTCTTCAGAAGTTGGCATATCACCCCTAAACTACCTAACTCTTGGTTTCCTATGTTTGACAGAATAAGCTTTGGTATTGAAGACACTATTTTTTAGATGTGTTACTCTGAATCTGATCCTTCACTGAAACTTCATTGCTCCTATTTTATTTCATTAGGGGGAGTTTCTCTGATTGAACTGGTATTGTTTATTCCCAGAAATGCAATGAAATTTATACTATTCTACTTTTATGGGATATTTTACAATACTCCCATTATATAGAAAGTACTACAATAGGTACTTGATGCTTTTTCAGTAATTCTCATAGACATTATGATGTGTATCTCAGAGATGAGGAACCTTACTTATTTTGCACAGGATTAAAGACAGAATTATATTCAAGTGATAGCTTAAAAAACACATTTTGATGTAAAAAACATATTACTCCTTAACTACTCTGAATTACTTAAACATTTGCTGATATAACCCTAACTACTAGCAACAAGTAAATTCTACTTAATGGTCTGTGTTGGCTTTGAGTAAAAATGGAGCTACCTACCACAGCTTTAAAGTATCTGTGGGAAATACACAAAGGACTGAAATAACTTAAAACAAATTCTATTTTTTATCAAAAGTTTAATGAGGTATAAATAAGGACAAATGTACTTTTCTCATAATGTTGTTAAAAGGGTAAGTAATATAACTAATTTCTTTAGTCTGTCTATACAGAAAGAAAAAGTTCAATATATCAACTAATTAAATAGGGCAAATACTATATTTGGTATGATGCAAAATACTTTGCAAGATTAAAAAAACAGAGGCAGGAAAAAGGAGTTTGATTTAATAGGAGAGTTAAGACATATTTACATAAAAGAAGATTAACCAATCCCAAGAAATGTCCAAATTTCTTAGTGATAGAAACAGAGTAGCTTAGTTATCATACACATTACCATATCAGTAAGAGATCAAGTGATCAGAGGAAACTCAATAAAAGAGGCAAGATCCCAGTCAGTTTAAGCTCAGGAGAAGATTTAGTACATGACACACCCAATGCTGGTGCTTACTCACAGAAGGTACTGTTGCAGCAACTGGAATCATCAATACTGATACAGCACGGACAAAGTATGTAATATACGTCTGAAAATGAGACATTCCAATTTTCTGTAGAGCAAAAATCTGAAGGGAGAGAATATATGTATACATACAATGATTAGTACAATGCATATTATATCAGACAAGCTTTAAAATAACTTAAGCTTTAAGATAACTTTATGTGATTGATCATCTTTCTTAAAAAATATCTTAATAATTATGCAGAATTCTTCCTCTACTCTAAGTTGTTCTTTTTTATCTTTTTTTTGGTGGTGATGCTGGGGATTGAACCCAGAGCCTTCTGCATCTGAGGCAAGCACTCTACCCAACTGAGCTACACCCCCAGCCCCAATTATGCAGAATTCTTAAATGGAGCTTAAAGAATCCCTGAAAGACATGAACTGTGTAGAAATCATTGCCTTTATTTGTTGCCACCTAAATATAGTGACTGGTATAGAAAAGACATTGAATAGATACCTCATAGATTTGTGACCTGATTACATGGAGTAAAGGGGAGAACCAAGGCTAGAAAAAGTAGTTACGATGTGTGAATTATTTAAGAGGAAGCACAATGTAATTATCATGACTGCAGAACCAAACTACCTAGGGTCAGACAGCGGCCCTGCAGTTTTTAGTGGCTGAATAACATTGCAACACTTTAAACCTTTCTGTGCCTTTTTCCCCCTGCTCCTTAAAATGGGGTCATTATAGTCAGGGTTAACAATTAAATGAGTTAATTCATGTACATTGTGTACAAAAATGTCTAGCACATATTGTATATTAAATAAAAACAAGCTTTTATTAGTCATTAGAGGGTATGGAGGAAAAGACTAGAGCATTGATATTAATTAATTTTAACCTTTGTTTACCACTACATTTTTTATACCAAATATTCACTATCAACCAATTCAGGGGGCTATGCTAGGTGCTCTTAGGAAATATATTTAGACTACAAATGAAGTTTTTCCTCAAGAAATTTTTACCCAAGACCTTAGGCTTTATCATCTTCATTTTCCTCATTTGAAAAAATAAACAAACAGTATACAAGAAATATTTTTAAAAAGATGTTTAGATTTCCCAAGGATCAGTGGACCTGAGGTCTGTGAGATTCCAACTGTGGGAGGCCAACCTTACGGATGACTGAATTACACTCCCCAGATGGGTGCTGAGGCACTCAGTCACAGAAATGGGTGTGTCTTGCTAGAGCCCCATGGGTGAAGCTATGCTCACCTGTTCCTTTGTAATATAACCCCTTGCCCTGTTTAGGATAGAATCTTCCATGGAAGTGCCTTGTGTGTGTCCCCTCCTCTTACTGTGCTCTTGGGTATGGCCTACCCAGGTGTCAGTCAACCTGCTGACAGTGGACATCATGAAGATAGACTCAGCCCCCTGAAACCTGACCCCTTGCCTCATTTGAATAGCTTCTCCTCAATAAAAGGGGTCAGCGCATGCTCTCTCTCTCTCTTTCTGCAGACCCTTAAGGTCAGAGGAGCCATCACAGCAACCCCAAAGAAAAAGGTATTTGTGTCTCTTGTGTGGTTATTTCGTGCAGCCCAGTTAGCCCAGTTTAACTAGAGTGACCACTGAGCCTTTTAGTCTCGAGAACAGAAACCCGGCATCCAACCACGGTAAAAAATTTCTAGCCAGTAATGGTGGTACATGTCTCTAATTCCAGCAACTAGGGACCTGACGCAGGAGAACTGCAAGCTCAAGGCCAGCCTCAGTGACTTTACAAAATTAATAAAAACAGCTGCAGATATAGCTCAGTGGAAGAGTGCCCCTTGGTTCACTCCCCAGTACCAAAAAGAAAATTTAAGGTTTCTTCCAGTTCTATGTATGGTCTATTCAGAGTATGAGTCTGAGACTTTTTGTATGTCCATGTGTGTATGTCTAGATTTCTGTGGACAGAACCTAGGGAATTTTAACCACCGAGCTATATCCCCAGCCTTTTAAAAAATAAAATTTTTTAAAATATTAAGACAGGGCCTTGCTAATTTTCTCAGGCTGGCCTCGAACTTGCAATCCTCCTGCCTCAGCCTCTTGAGTTGCTGGGATTACAGCAATGTGCCACCACACTCAATTGAGAAGAGTTCTTTATGAAATTATAAGCATGCCTTCAAACTGTTGATAAGGCAGCACACGATAATGGCTTAGAGAAGACCAAGAGGACATACCTTATATTTATGTATTTTCTCAATTCATCTTGTAAAAGAAATTCCATGACTTTTCTAAGATCATTTAGCAAGAAAATAGCAGTCAGGTACTGACCGTGTTCCTGACCTACAAATTTTCATTTTATGTATACACACAAAATACTACTTATTGTGGGAATAAAATCAGATTGATTAAGAATCTATGTACCAAAAATAAATTATAAAACTGAATGTATTAAAATCAGGCATTTTGAGAGCTGAAAGAGACTTTGGAAGTGTTCTAACTCAGTGATCTTATTTTAATTATGAGAATTTTATGATGCAGAAAGGTTAAGGGACTGGCCTCAGTTAATGTCTCAATTGCAGCTCAGAAGTATCTCCACCAACTCAAACATGTATATTTGATGTCAGAAGAGGAGCAACAAAATTTCTAATGACTTAAATGTCAAACAAATATCACTTAAAATCACTGACCTCCACTATTAATAAATTGGTGACACCAAGGGAGACAGGAAGAATCCAAGTAGAATCCAGCACAGTGAGATCAGGAAACCAGAGGATCCCACCAGTAGCTAATTGTTCCTGAACAGAAAAACCTGCTGAAACAGTTTTATAAATCAAATAATAGAATTCTTAAAAATAGCAGAGGAAAGTATACAAAACCTAAGTAGCTTGACAATTCTAATAAAGTACCCCTAACACTAGAGACTTTAAAGATTTTAAAAGGTTATTTTTATTCACAATATGTTTTCTTCTTTTTTGTTATTTTTTACTCAATACAAAATATTTTTCTTAACAGAGCTAGCCTATTTACACCTCAGATTTTAAATTCTATATCTTGTAAGAAAGAGAGTAAATGGTAATTATAAAAACTATGATTTTTTTTTCTTTCTTTAAGTACAAAAAAAAACAATGTTAAAGAACTTATTTGGGGAAGCAGAACTTCTATAACAATTACCTTCTGAATGTGCTCCCCCTGTGCTAAAATTCCGAAGGGCAACAGATATGAAGATCCACATTGGAAGCTGAATCCAGACCAACACAGTGGCTTTGAAAGGGTGGCAGTTGTCCCGAACATACAGCTCTGAAACAAGCCTCCTCATATTCTTTAGATAAGTGAGCCTAGTTTGAGGGAAGAGGGAAAGATAATATCATTTGACTGCTGGTAGTTCTTCATCCCCAAAGCACAAACACACCCATGCTATGATTACAGTTAAAGGGGTCTTAATTATGATATTGTGCAGGCAAATTAAACCTTTACTAAAACTTCTATAGCAATGTACAAAACTGCATAACAATGTGATAAATCTGACACTTTCAGACTACAGGCTTTGTCTCTGATGGTCTTTAGCCAATTCAGTATTTTTTTTTTCCTTTTGTTGTTATTGTTATTGTTGTTGTTGCTGTACTGGAGATTAAACCTAGGGGTGCTTTACCACAAAGTTATGTCTCCAGCCCATTTTATCTTTTATTAAAACAGGGTCTCGCTAAGCTGTTTGGGGCCTCATTGAATTGCTGAGGCTGGCATCACACTTGGGATCCTACTGCCTTAGCCTCTAGATTTGCTAGGATTACAGGCCTGCACCACTGTGCCTAGAAGTCAATTAGATTTTAACAGAAAATTTCACTCCTGACATGGTCTAATTACAATTAATATCAGAAATATTAAAGCTGGAAGTCCATTTTACTCAAATCTGTGCATGGCTAAACCTTATTACTTGATCTCTGTACCTTTTGTAGCTATGTGATTTTGGACTGTATATTCTCTTGGACTATAAAATTGATCTCCATGTTTCAGTGAACTCTCTTGCGAAGATTCTCTCAATCTGTTTTCTGTTTACCACATTAATTACTTTGTTCATAAGTCTAGTTTCCTTGAGGGGCAAGTGTTCGGTTTTATTCATCTTTAAATCTCTTACATTATATACGCATGGCATTAGGGATTAAATCCAGGGGAGCACTATCACTGAGCTACATCCATAGTCCTTTTTGTATTCTGACAAAGGGTCTCACTAAGTTGCTGATGCTGGTCTCCAACCTGTGATCCTCTTGCCTCAGCCTCCTGAGTCAAAGGGATTATATGTATGCACTACTGCACCCAGCTTCCTATATCATACATTTTGTATAAGGCAGGCATTCAATAGTTTTGTTCAATTTAATCAAATTATAGTATTGAATTAAGATAATACATTCAGGCCTTTCTCTTTTTCTAACTTTACCTCTAGTTACTTCTCTAATGACACCTGCACATTTTGGTTCCTGAATGACTTTCAGTTATCCAACAAATCAGACTTCCACATAAGCATGGCTTTGGAAGTATTATATAACCTAACAGACTCCCAACACAACACTGCTAAAAATACAGGAAGCCCTCATCAGATAAGTCTTCCTACAAAGTCAACAGTTTGTAAAAGGATGGATCAAGCCAACCATCCTGCCAGTGCTACAAAAGCAAGGTGCCACAATCTAGGCTGTGTTCATAACCCAGGTGAATAGCCATTAATCTGTTCTTTTTGCTTTTGGCAAAAATAATCAAGTTTGTCTGAAAGATAAAATTTCAAAACTATAGGCTTGCCTACTTTTATCAAATAGACATTGAGCTATCACAATAATTTTTTAAAATGTCAGGTCTTTTTCGCACTGAATATAGACACAAGCTCATATTAAAGATAGCAAATATACATCTATATAAAATATATGAATAACAAGACACTCAACACTTATTTATACTAAAAACCCTTATTTTTCTCATTGCTGTGAACTGGTGACTACTTTGTTACAGTCTAATAAAGACTGGAAATCAACTAGCGAGTAGCTTAGGTTGACTGAAGCAGAATGATTTATTAGTTCCCAGTAGATGACTATAGACATCCTTGGGCACAGTAAAGCACCTTTGGACAAGGGCTTTCCAAGAGGCACAGAACCACCACAGTGGTTTGGGCAGCACCATGGCTATGTAAATGCTTCTACTATGGCATTAACATTTTCTATGTCCCCTTTCATATGGTCTATTATCTGTATCTTTTCAAAAAGGTCAAATTTGCAAATTTCTGGACTAATATTCCAACAGAATGGCAAAGTATCTTCAAGTCATAACCTTCATCAATGCCCTAGCTCTTGGCACATACTCTATTATACACTCCTTAATTCATTGTCATTATTATTTATGATAGGCCTTTTTCAATGGGCTCGAGTCCCTCAAGAATAGGAATAAAGCTGAATAAGGTAGTCCTAGAACTTGGGAGTCTGAGGTGAAAGGATCAAAAGAACTCAGGATTTGGAGAACTGGGCAAGTTGCTATCTCAGAAATAAAAACCATGAGTAGGCTCTTATCTTTGCTGTTCTATCTCTTTGCTTTTTATTCAATATATAAAAGTATCATGCCACATACTGATTTATTAGAATATGAAATAGGAACTACTTTCCTGACAAATTTACCCAAACCAACAATTAACATCACTTACACATTTCTCTCTTTCTCTCTCTCTCTCTCACACACACACACACACAGATAATTTGTGGTCTTATATGCATAAAATTACTTACCTGGTAACTCTCTTGGACCATCCCAACTGATTTGCATAAACTGCAACTTCATGATTAAGATGCTTGGCAATGTTTTTTATTTCTGGTTGCAAATTTTCCACCTAGCTAAAGGAAAAGTAGAACTTGTAATGAGCACATAAAGGATCTTATTCATAACCTTTCATAATTTTATTCTTCCTTCATTTTAAAATTGTGGTTTATGTCAAGAAACTTTAAGTCTAAGCATAAAATGTCAATTTGCTTGGGATGTCCTTAGTCACAAATTCAAATTCCAGCTTGTATACCTAGTTGTCTAATCCTAGATAAGGGATTTAACCCCTAAAATCCTACTCCCTCACTTTTAAAAGGTATAATAGCACAGAATTGTAAGTATTAAATGAAATCTGCATTGAGGGTTTTACTGTTTCACCCCTAGATTTTCCAGTAATGTAAACAGAGAAAACAGCACACTGCTAATATGCTTTTAGTATGCTCTGATAGCCACAAAACCAAAACTAAAAACTGCATTTATTCTTGCCCTGTGTTCTTTCTGTAAAGAAGCTCACTGCCTTCATGCTGCTCCCGCTACCTTTCTTGTTTTGCTTTCCAGTAACTTTTTCCTAACTATAATAATATGAAAACCATATTTATGAAATCTCACAATAATAATCCCTTTTTGTTTTCAAAGCATTTCAACTCATGTTATATGATTTCATATCATGAAATTGTGATGTAAAGGAATGTATTTTTATACTGACACCACAGAAAGGAGAAGGATGTCTTAAAAAGTCAAGTGACAGTTACAAGTGGTAAGTGCCAAGATAAGATATTGTTTGCAAACTGATACCTTAGTAGTTTCTTTCTTATAAGAAATATAAGCTGGAATACTTTGGTCAAAGATGCCGCTGACATACTGCCTGATAATACTGCCTGATAAAACTTTTTAAGATGTTAATGTTACATAGTTTTTTCCATGCAATTTCTTCTTCTTTTTTTTTAAGTGTAATGTTTGATGACTTTAGTTTTTGCTTGTAGTGTGAAAAAATTATCGGTGCATAATTATACATAGTAGTAGAATTCGTTCTTAAATATTTGTACATGCAAACAATATTCTCATTTCTTTACTGGTCTCATCATGAACAAGTTGAGTAACCACTTGTGCTCTGAGCACAAACCCAGGAGGACAAACGAAAATTTCAGGTACACGTGTGACAGAATATTTACACATCCAATGCTACTTAAAATTTTTAGTAATAAAGTGGCCTTGATGACTAACAATAACACTATGGTACCATAGCGGGATCTGAGACCCAGGAAGACGTCTAACCTCCACTGCTAGGGCGACATCAAGTATGCGCGCGGCTCGGCGCTCCTCACCTTGGCCAGGATGTAGTGCTGGTAAGCGGCCAGGGGCAGCGTGACCGCGCCGCGCAGGGCCACAGTGGTGAGCAAGATGCTGCCCCACCAGGGAAGGCCTGTGGCGGCGTGCGCGCAGAGCAGCACTTCCTCAGCGGCCCGCACCGGCGCGGACGCGGCTAGGGCCTCGTACCAGCCGCCCGCACTGTCAGGGGAAACTGCAGAAACTGACGCCACCGCCCACATTGGGAGAGCTGGGGGTTTGGCGCCGTTCCAGAGGGATGGCAGAAGAGGCAGGCCCCTAGTCCGCAGCTGTAGGGTAGGTAGCACCCGCTGCCACCGACAACCCATCCTACACATCATGCCTACGTTGGAGCGGAGCTCAGGTCGCGGGACTCCGGGACCAGCGATTCGCACCGCTCAACCCAGAGCCCGCGCAGGCGCCAACTGTACTAGGCGTAGCCGTGCGCGCCGTTCCGCAGCCTTCCGATTGACCTTCCTATTCAAGTCGGTGACGTCTTGCGTCGCACTGGAGATGACGTAGGAGTTAAGGAAGTCCCACCTTTCCCACGCGGCACTAGGCAGTTCTGGAACTCACTGGAGGAGCTCCAGCGGCTGGGGTCCCGACGGGAACTGTGGACAGGGGCGGGGTGTTCTCTAGGGAGAGCTTACTTTATAATCTAGTCTTCTGCGTTTGCCTTTCTCTTTGTTTTCACCAAGCCTAATCGTGTTATTGGTAGTGAACTCTGCTTGCTATGTGGTTTTGTGTCCAGAAGTTGTTCCTCACTATTTTTCGTGCATCCAACTGCTTCCGCTAGACATTATTTACGATAATAATGCCCAAGAGTCAATGCTTTGCTGAAATGCCGGCTTTCCCGAAAGTGTTGTTAATCAGCATTCGTTAAACATTAAGCATAATTTAGTCTTTGGTATAATATTTCATTGGTCCATCTTTTCCGGCTAGCGTTTTAAACCCCAGCTGCAAATTTGAGTTTCCTTAGATACATTATATATAGTAGCAAAAATCTTACGTATTATTTTCTGATTTAAAGAGTAAGGATCACGGGCAGCATGAAGTGTATCATAACTCAAGTAAAAATACATCAAAAGAATGGATTATTTAACCTCTACAGTGATTAAAAAATGGATTTTTTTCCTTCGATGTAATCATCTTGAAATAATATTCTAAAGTTTCTATTCAAAAGAAAGTTGTTTTTTTTTAAATTTTCTTAAAAAGTTATAGAAGGACATAGTATCTTTATTTATTTTTATGTGGTGCTGAGGATCGAACCCAGTGCCTCACATGTGCAAGGTGAGCGCTTTGCCACCGAGCCACAACCCCAGCCCCTCAAAAGGAAGTTTTAAAAATATAGTTCAAACCTACTGTGATGCCAGATTTAAATAGAAATGAGTTTTTTGTTGTTGTTGTTGCCAGATTATGGGACAGCATTTTTTTTTGAGCGGGAGAGGGCAGTGCTGCTGGGGTCAAACCCAAAGCCTTATGCATATTAGGCAAGCACTCTACCACTGTCCTTAATTTTAGGGTTATGTCACAGTTAATGGTTTCCTCAGCTTTGAGTTCCTTACAGAGTAACTAAATGTATAAAGCCCTGCATGGTTCCACTTAGGATTTTCCTATTTTGTGATAGTGTGAAAGCTATATGCATTCAGTGGAAACTGTACTCCGAATTTTAAATTTTTTCTTAGGCTAATAATTTATATTCTTGCTGCAGCTCCCAGCTAGTCTGTCATCATAAAGATAACCTACACTAGCTGGAGGTGGGTGTGATTCAGTGGTAGAGTGCCTGTGTAAAGAAGGTCCTGGGTTCAAACTCCAGCACAACACAACTCACCCTCCAAAAGGCTACTCATACAGCATTACTGTGTTCTTATTGTTTGACAAATGTATTAAATACATTTTTATTTACAATTTTTCAATTTACAGTTTATAAAAATCTAAGAGTGATGTTATCTGGGTGTGGGTCCATGGGAAGTAATTAAGTTATAAGAATGGTCCCTCATAAGTTGAATTAGTGTCCTTATAAAGAGAAAAACAGATAACTACCCCATGTGAAGAAACAAGAAGTTTCTCGCCAGGAACGGAATAGGCCAACAGGTTTATATTGGATATCTTAGCTTTCAGAACTATGAGAAATAAAATTTATTAATGCCATCCAGTCAATAGATTGGTAATAACTGGCCAAAGTTTTCGAAATGTGAATAGATTATCATGTCATTTAGATTTTTCATTTCCCATATATATTTATATATATTTCATCTGAAATGTTTCAAAAGTACCATTTTTTTCATGAGCAAGTTACTCCTTGGAATCAGATTTAGAGTTTTTACTACTTCTTCAAGGTATTACTTTTCAAAACTGAAACTACCTAATGAAATTAGTTTTCCCTCTCTGCACTGAGAAATATCCTGTCATTTTTATTTTTATTTTTTGGTTTTCAAGGACTGAACTTGGGAAGTTGGCTTTCACTTTATAACAATGTGAATCCATTTAAACATAGAATTCTAACATGAAATCTCTTACAACAGAACTGTTAGTCCGTTACTGTGTCTCACATTATAAAGGAATTCTGTCCAAGTTCCAGTTTTCTCTGTTCACCTATTCAAAATTAAAATGGTAGTATTTTTTGCAATCAAGATGTCCAATATAAAGCATTAATGTTCTCATCTTAAATGCCAATTACCTGAGTTGATCAAACGCTATGCCTTATTCAAGCAAACATTTATTCAGTGAGATGTGTATTTCCAAAGAGATCTGGGAGCATCCCAAATTTACAAAGTATAACCTATATATATACGAAACATAATTCATATATCTAAAGTAAAAATAGATAAATGGAATACTGAATCTCTAGTGCTTAAAAAGTAAATTGGGGAGCTGGAGTTGTAGTTCAGTGGAAAAGCACTTGCCTGGCATGTGTGAGGCACTGAGTTTGATTGTCAGCACCACATATAAATAAAGGTCCAATAACAACAAAAAATATTTTTAAAAAATTGGTTTTCTTCTGATGTTTTAATTTTCCCTTGATATTTTACAATAATCCTGACATGAAAATTTCTTATTTATAAAATGTTTTGGTACACTTTAATGTCAGATCTGTGGGAGTGAAAAATGTTTTGGTGATTGATTGAACCCAGGGCCTTGTAAATGCTAGGCAAGCACTATACCAGTAATCTATAAGCCTAGCTTATGAGAGTGTTTTTGAAAAATATCAAAGTGAAAATAGACTGAATCAGAGGATTTGAAGAGGCTTTACGATCCTGGAGTTTCCCAATTTATAACACCTTGTACTATTTTAAAGATAAAGTGAATAATATAGAGTGCAATATTATTTTAATGAAATGTGTATTTAGGTAATTTGAGTCGAAAAACAGATGGAATACTTTTTGAAGAACAAGCAGGAATACTTAATACACTATTTACCTATTTTGTTTCCCCAGAGAACAAAAATGACTATTCATGATTTATAAAAAAAATATTCTACTAGTAAAATAAAAATGATTTTACTTTATAATAATAGGAAACAGAATTTTCTTTCATGTAAACACTAAAATCAGTTTTGCTGGTTATGTTTATATGTTGAAAAGATACGAAAGAGGGATTTTGTTGGAAATACTAAGCAGTCATTTTTAAAATGGAATAGTTGGTATAAATAGGTTGCAGAGTAATTGAGATACTACTTGGGAAATTAAGGTGTGAAATAACCCATGGATTATTTCCAAGAATTAAATCACTTCTTAAAAAGAGTAAGAGGAAATAAACACAATGTGTTCTGCATGTATATATCTTGCATACTTTGGAAGAAGAAAAGACCTTCAGGGTCTCAAAAAATTGGTTTTTTATTGTTCAAATAAATATGCACTGTTATTACATCTGAAATATAAAAAATGTATTTGAAAAATGTTCCTAGTACAGACTTCTAAAATCATGTACTTCACAAGCCTGATCTCAAAATATAAATATGGAGCATTCCAATCTATATTCACCTGCTCCAGTTTTTAAAGTCAAGAAAATAAAGGGATTTTCCCCCTGCATTTTGAATGTCACCCCATATTAAGAAATTCTGTTTAGTGAAGAAACAACCAAATTCATGTGTTGTAATAAATACTGAGTAGTATCTGCTCTCCAGGAAGATTAAGTTGAAAATAACCCTAGTTAACACAGAAAAGAAATAGGCAAAAAAAATATAGAACACTGGCAAAAGTCATATATCTTTGTTAAATAACATTACACCCCCTTTTTAGTAAAGTGCTGTAGTTTATTTCATTACTATTTATTTGTAGATCTTCTATCTTTTCCTTTAAATTTGGGCATAGTCAAGTGAAAAAACAAATTTACATATTTTAACAAAATTATATATTTTAAGATCATATGCTAAATTAAAACATGAGGGTGTTGTTTATAGACTTCTAGATGTGTTTGAAAAATCAACTTTCTATTCTTTAGTCAGATTATCAGAGGCAAGAAATATTCATTTTCTTGAACAGCCAAGGAATCATACTGTCAACTCTGGGTAATTTATCTGAATTCTAGTTTATGTTTTACCAGTGTAGAATTTGTGTCTAACTAAAAAAAAAAAAATTACAAATTGATATATATACATTACTTCACTTTTATGCTTTCTTTTACATTTCAACCATATAATTTATTTTTCCATAGGAGACAGGGCAGGACACGTATTCTTCTCGGATACATTGCTGTTTATTGTTTCAAGTGGATGGAATATATAAATCCCACTGAATAGTTTAGTGTGATCCTGTATCTTACATAAACAGGATAAATGGAGACTTTATGTTGTAATCTTTGTATTCATGTATCTACCATAAACTGTCTTAATGACAAACGCAAACTTTCTTTTATTACTTGAACCCAAGTTAGCTGTTGATCCTTTTCATTGATAATATACAAGTGTAGAGAGCAAGAAGCCTTTCAAACTAAAAAAGAAATACTTCTCACTAAATTAATGAAAATTGAAAATTTTTATGTCTTGAGAAATGGAAAGCCAATGTTAAGAATCAATATTATCCAATATAAAATAGTACACTGAATTGTTTAATAATAAACAGTATATTAAGAACTTGTATATGCTGACTGTAACAGTGGTGGCTTTTTAAATTCTCAAAAAAGTCTAAACATTTTGTGGTTAGAAGAAACCATTGGCAATGATGAAGATGCTCCATCTCTGTAGCAATCATTATAGTGAAAATCTTTACAGAATTTTTGCACTATTAGCAGGAGAATTTTACTGGTATTAGTGATAACAGGCAAAAAGAGAAGAAAGTGAAGAGAATATGTATTAATTCTAGGAGTGTGGAAAAGTAATAACAAGACAAGGGAAAGTTAGAAATTTCTTCTGTATGTGCCTTGCTACAAACCCAAAAGAGAGGGGCGAGTGTTTTAAAATCCAATGTAGGGAAACATCCACTGATAATGCCCATTATTTTACTTTATACTTAAATTACACAAGTAGAAAAGTTATGCTTATTAATAGTTTAATGTATGAAGGAAACATCCAGATTTCTGAATATGAAGGTACATATCTCACATTAATTTAAGTCTACATAAAGTAGAGCCTCTATACTGACATATTGAAATTTACTTTCTGCTTAGCCTTTTTCTGTTATGTAAACAATTGTACATTTATTTGCCATTCTAAAACTTCAGGATCAAGTTTACATAATTTTGCTAAATTTCCGTGTTTGCTCAGAAGCAGTTTACAGTACTAAAACCAACCAGCCAATGAACAGCTTCAACAGAAAGTTATGTCCAAAGAGGAAGAGGAAAGAAAAAAAGAAAAATGATAAGAAAAATGCTAACTAAGGTAAAACAGATGATGATGGGGAATGGGCAGTCACAAATGTTCACAGAAAATAGGTCAGTTAGTAAGTTCTTCTGCAAAAAGCCTACACACTTCAGTCAAGCACATCAGTAGAATGATTTGGGAGCGTAATTTTTTTTTTTTTTTTCCAGCCACTGGTGATTTCCTCTGAATGAAAAGGAATTTGCAGGCTAACAAGCTGATCCTCATCAGCCAAGCTGGTTCATATGCACACTGTTCATGTGAGGTGTCCAGGGCCCAGTCCATACCTATGAATAGAAAATACATATTTTATCAAATATATATTTAACACATATACTTCATTAAAAACTAATGAAATACTCTTAGTACCTATGTACTAAACACCTAAGTTATATCCAATTTGCAATGTACTAGAAAAAAATGGAGAAAAACACAGTTAAGATCTACTTCTTATTTTTCTGTAGTGCTAGAGATCAAACCCAGGGCTATGTGCATATTAAAAAAGTGCTGTCACTAAGCTACAACTCCAGTCCCCAAACCACTTTTATCTTTTATTTTTTCTACCTCTCTCATTCCTCAAACAGGATATTATTTATCAACATTTTTTCTTCAAAATCATCACTTAAGTAGATACAGATTAATGGTTGTTGAAGACGATGAATCATTAAACATACCAAATATGATATATTTACAAATATATAACCATTTCTGTAAATTTTTAGAGTCAATGATAGTTTTGATATGTATATACTTTTTTTTTAGTTATTGACAGACCTTTATTTTATTTGTTTATTTATATGTAGTGCTGTGAATCAAACCCAGTGCCTCATACATGCTAGGCAAGGACTCTACCACTGAGCTACAACCCCAGCCCCAACATGTATATACTTTTAACAAATAATCTCTAGATGGCCCCTTTCACATCACCACTAAATTTTTATGTCAACCTAAAATTATTTTACAAGACAATCAACTTGTAACTTAAAATCTTTTGTCTATTATTTGCTACCCAATGGTATATATGATGGTGTTCCATAATCTTACCCCAAACAACTCCCTTTTATAGCATTTCCCACCCTTCTGCTATATTTCATCTAAATTAAATCTGTTTCCTCAACTGATCCTATAATTACATTCTTTTGTTACCATAATGTACTTGAATCCTATTTGTCCTTGCATTTCATAAACATTAAATAAATGTTTGCTTGCTGAATAATCAATCTTACCGTTTGAGGACCATTATTTTCTGTAGAGCTTGAAACCATTTTTATCAGTGAGTTCCAAGAGGGATCTGCAGCATGAGGGCCATTAAATATGGGTCCTCCAGTACCATCAGGGATAGGAGCTACTGGAGGAATCATTGCATTCCCATACACAGAAAAAGGCATACCCTTATAAAAAGGAAAAAAATAACCCAAAATTAACATTCAATACACTATTTACTTTTTGCCAACAGAGTCAGCAGCTTTGAAACTGATATTTAAAACTTTGTCTCATTTTGGGAATGTGTGTGTGTGTTATATAAGGAATCTAAAAATTATTTTAGTTTTTTTTTTAACATTAGGTTATAAATACATCTACTATATCCAAAATATTTTGGCAAAAAACACTCCTCTAAGATAAAAATCAAGACTTAAAGAAGTTATATTTTAGCCAGAATTTGACTAGTATTTGCAGCCCAAGCGCCAGCTTCATTTTACAAATAAATGTTAATATACTTGCAAGTAAAAGAAGGTTCATGATGAGAAATATTTTGAAATAATGAAAATGCCAGTTTAAATCACCATTACCCCAACTTTAGGAAAGTCCATGTATCCTGCAGGAACATGCTGATGGAATGTACCAGAAGGAGTTACAATTCCTGTACTATCTCGCTCCATTGCTTGATGCTGTGAAAACACTCCTGGATCAGACATTGGCCTGTGAATCATGGGATTTCCCATCCCAGGGTTACACCAGTCTACTTTGTCTGAGGGAAAAGAAACAAAAATTGGTAACATTTAAAATTGAAGAACAGCTAAACGAAGCAATTTATATTTTTCTAAGTGTTGTCACATTGGGCTGTGGATTCTTTCAGACTAGGATATACAAACCCACATACATACACACAGAAATACACGCACATAAACACACATATATATATTTTTATAGCACTTCCATGTTTGTGGGAAGTGATATAAAAACACTTTGTGTTACAAAACATAACAAAAATAAGATAAAACCTAATGACCTCAAAAGAAATGGTAACATCTTAATATGATGAAATGAAAAGCATTAACATGCTTTAATTAGCCTAATTTTCAGTAAGCATTGATAAATTAAAGCAATGAAGAGATCATATGGGAACTGAACAAAAAGTGATTCACAAGTCAAAACAAAGATAGTAATAAAGATCTTTTAAAATTAAGATTATGAAAGTTAGATACTGTTTAAGTAGTATAGTTAAATGCATAAATTTAATATCTAGTGAGTAGGATAGCATATCATACCTTGACTGCCACCAATCCCTTCAAAGGACCAGATGCCACTATGCCCTACTGATGTGGACAAATTACTTCCAATAACAGATGGAGCTGAAGTTCCAGTTTGCCTGATACGTGCAGAGCGTTCAGTCCCAATAGGAACTGGAACTTTCCTGTCCTGAGAGACATTGTTGGGCTTTTCTGACCCTAAAGGTACTGATGATGGGGCAGGAGATGGTGCACGAACTCCAGAGGATACTGACTGTGCAGGAGAATCTGAAGAAGAGACATTTTGAAATAGAATACAGGTCACCTACAGAATATATAATTTTGTAAAACCAAATCTTAAAAACTCTGAAGATATTTCAAATATGTATTCACTGGGGAAAAATTAAATATAAGAATAACGTTCAAATAATAAGTTAATGCATATTAAAATCTGGTTAAAGTTCTATGACTTTGTGGTAGAATGTAAAAATGTCAATGCCACAAGGTAGTTAACTACTTATATAATAAACAATTTAGACTAATTAATATTCAAATAAAGTAATCTTTGACACTAACTAAAATATAACACCAGAGCAATGAGAACACATTGTTAAATAAAACAAAAACAAAAAACAAAACACTGCCTGTACTGGCAATTCCCAAACAGTACTTTTTGGGGAACACTTACTTTTTGTTTTGTTATGATGAAAAAACAAAAGAGATTCAACTATCTACAAAATTGGGAATACCTAGTTTAAGGGGAAAAAATGACATATGCTCATAAAATACTAATAGGAAACTGTTTCATTATCCTAGTTTATTTTATTTTCCCACGGGTAGTCTTATAGACTTATTAACTTATTAACTCTTATAAACTTATAAACGGGTAGTCTTATAGACTTATTAACTTATTAACTCTTATAAACTTATTAACTCTTATAAAAGTTACTCTTGGTAATAACAACCTAAAAACTTTACTTATCAAAATAAGGTATAGAGGGCTGGGGTCGTGGCTCAGTGGTAGAACACTTGCCTGGCTTATGTGAGGCACAGGGTTCAATTCTTGGCACCACATATAAATAAATAAAGATTAGTTGACAACTAAAAAAATATTTAAAAAAAATAAAAATAAGGTATGGATTTTAATAAAGCCAGTTTGAGAATACTTATTAGGGATTCCAACTCTATTATTGAGACAAAAAAAACCCAAAATAACCAAATTTATTGCATGTGGAAAGCTAAAATATTAAAATACATTTAAACTTTAAAAAAGTAGAGAAGTTTGAAGTTAATTTTCTTGCATTAATGGAGAATGAACCCAAGGAAACGCTACCACTGAGCCACAACCCCCCAGGTCTTCTTACTTTGGAGACAAGGTCCTCGATAAGTTATCCAGACTGACCTCAAATTTCTGATCCCACGCCTCAGTTTTCCTGAGTAGCTGTATTACAGATGTGACCTACCCGACTAGTATAGTTTAAAAATCAAAACTGTTAACATGCAGATCTACCATCTATTCATAACTACCTTACAGTACTGCCCAGAGACAGTATTTTTCCATTTAATTATTTATACATATAAGTTTGCTATATGTGAATGTGGTAGATGATGGATAGATATGGGATATGGATAGATGATAGATGTAAATTATGAAGTCATCTATCTACACATATACACCTCTAACATGACACAGTGCTACTATTCGCCAAGGCACTTTTGAGGGAATTGGGAAGTCAAAGAAAAATTCAGTCACTATTAAGTTTTTGTTTTGTACTGTGGTGATGATAGGAATCAAAACTAGACCTTCATGCATGTGAAAGCACATGCTCTACTACTAAACTACACATCCCCCAGTCCTTTAAGATTTTATATTGAGACAGGGTCTTGCTAAATTACTGAGGCTAACCTTTAACTAGTCATCCTTCTGCCTCAACCTTTCTAGTTGCTGGGATTATGGGCATATGCCACCCATAATACTATGGTATTATGTGATACTATGCTTTTAAAAAGACTTAGAAAAAAGAGTTAGTAAGTGCTGTAGTGATCAATTCCATCTCACTAGTGCTCACTGGGATCTATTTCAGTTAAACTTACTGCACCTCTCAATGAGTTCTTGTGATTTTTTTTTTTTTTTGAATCCAGTAGTGGGGATTAAATCCAGGACCATGTACAATGTAGGCAAGTGGTCTATCACTGAGTAACATCCCCAGTCCTACTTATTTTTTATATTGAGACAGGGTCTGCTAAGTTGCCCAGGCTGGCTTTAAACTTGGGATCCTCCTGCCTCAGCCTCCCTATTAGCTAGGATAATAGGCAGGCACCAATGAAATTATTACTTTTTTGTAAAATTAATTTATTTTTATTTTTTTAACTTAATGTAAACTTTTTAGTTTATGTTATTTTTCCCTCCTTCATTTCTGCTTTTAAAAAATTTATTTATTTATCTGGGCTGCTTTTATTTGTTGTTGTCCATGTTGTTTGCTTTCCTCTATGTGGTACTAAAGCCTGAAGACCTGCTTCCTGGACATTCACTCCCATAATAACAGCAAAGAGAAAAAACACAAAAGACTGTAGACACCTCCCCTACGAAGGGCCTCAACATAGGTTGTTTCCATAATGTATCAGACAGACATATCATTCCTGAAAGACTGGAGGAGTAACCACAGAGAGTGTATACCACACATACCATATATTCTGTTGTCTACATCACACCCGCTTAAACTACCAGAGTGATCCCATGCACATGAGACCTACAGAGAAAGCAGGTCCCTCAGGCTCCAACACACCACACATTATGTTAAAACCCACGAATCACAGTAGAAGTAGTGATGGAAACCATGCTGTTGTCGAAGTAGAATTATGCAGACATTACAAAATAAACCAATGTCCCAGGGCACACTGTTAAGAGCAGGTTACTAAGAAGATCTTCACAAAAGTAAAAGGGATATCCATTCCAATAGATGTACAAACTCAACATAGAAATGCAAGAAATATGAAAATACACGTGAATATGACACATCCTAAAGGTTGTAACTCATTAGTAACTGATTCCAAAGATTTCAAAGTAGATAAATAGCTGAGAAAAGAATTAAAAAGAATGATTTTTTTAAAAGATTAATGAATTCCAAGAGGATATAAGTAAACAACTAAATGTATTAAGGAAGACAATGCAGGGTATGAAAGAAAATTCAATAAAAAAAAATTCTGAAAAACAACCAAACATCTTGGAAATGAAAAGTTCAACAGGTCAGATAAAATGCAGTTGAAAGCCTTACAATAGACTAGATCAAGTGGAAGAAAGCATATTAGAGTTTGAAGACAAGGTTGATAAATTCTTACATTCTGACAATAATAAAGAAAAAAGAAACAATGAATAGAACATACAAGATCTCTGAGACACCATTAAAAGACCATAACTTATAGGAACAGATGAGGGAGAAGAGCTATAGAATAAAGGCACAGAAAACCTATTTAGTGAAATTAACAGAAACCTTCCCAAATCTTTGGGAAAAACATGCACATCCAGGTACGGGAGGCATCTAGAACCCGAAATAGACATGACTAGAAAAGAAGCTCTCCAGAAACTTCCCAAAGAACAAAGAAAAAAAAAGTTAAAAATTGTGAGAGAGAAGCTCCAAATCACATTTAAAGATAAGCCCATCAGAACAACAGCAGATTTCTCAGCATGAACTCTAAAGGATCTCAATAATTTGAAGCCCTAAAGAAAATAACTCAACCTGGGTTATATATAATTATATCCAATAGAAATTTCCTTCAGATATGAAGATGAAATAAAGAATTTCCAGGCTAAGCATAAGAATCTCATAATTATTAAGCCATCATTACAGAAGATACTTAAAGGAATCAATCTTACACAGAAGTAGAATAAAGATAAATATAATCAAGACACTGGAAAGAATACATCTCATTAGAAAAGTAAATAACCAAGAAAGAATTAGGAACTAATCAAACATAATTAATACAGTAAACAACTATATCTCTAAAATGAGTAAATGAGGAAGAAATGAACGTACAGAGTATTCAAAACTATGAGAAGAAAAAATGACAGGAACTAGGCCATATCTTTCAATAATAATCCTCAATGTATATGGCCTTAATTCTCAAAAAGACAAAACTGGCTTAATAAATTGAATAACAAGACTCAGGCTGGGCATGGTGATGCACACCTGTAATCAGAAGGATCACAAGTTCAAAGCCAGCCTCAGTAACTTAGTGAGACCCCGTCTCAAAATAAAAATTAAAAAAAGACCGGGAATACAGTTCGGTGGTAAAGCACCCCGGGATCCAGTATTCCCCCCACTACCTGCCACCACCACCACACACAAAAAAAGACAAACAAATGAACGAAAAACCCCCGATGATATACTGCCTACAAGAAACTCACCTCAATGCCAAGACATACACAGACTGCAAGCAAAAGGGTTAATATTTCAAATAGAATTCGAAAGCAAGTAGGAGTAGCCGCTATATTCACATCTAACAGAGTTCAAGCCAAAATCAGTAAAAAACCAAACCAAAAGACTCACAGGAAAAGACAATGGTAGATGGAGAGGGAGGGGATATGAACATAGCTACTTTTAAGTCCTGGATGGTTCTAAAAATGATCCCATATAGCCTTATAACATCATTTTCCTTGGGATTCTTTAGATGGACCTATATTCTTTGCTGTGAAAAGGGCCTAACTAAATAGTTTTCTCGTCTCTCATAATTTCTTTAATATAAAAAAAGAAAAATGTAATTCTGAGTCATATTATTATAAAATAAACAAACTGATATAGTAGAGAAAAAATAGGTTTTAGAGATTAGGGCAGATCTAGGTTTTTGTGGGGCCTTAAGCATATACAGTTTTGGGAAACATTTGTAGGAGAAGAATGTAAATTAAAAAAAATCATGCTCTGAATCTTGGATCTGGGACCATTTGAACATGGACCGTGTATCAAGATTAGTAGTGAATTAGTATTATATAATTGCATCTGAATGTTAATCTATTAATCTATTTGGTATTTGGCAATAATATTGTAGTTGTTTAAGAAAAGGTCCTAATTCTTAAGTAATGCACTGTTTTTAGGTATGAAGTATATCTACATCTTAATTGTGTTTTCAAATTTAAAAAAACAGCAACAAAAAAGCAAACAGGGAAAATAAATGTAATGAAATCTTTAGTTCAAGTAAAGGAAATATGAGTTTTTTGAACTATTCTTTCAATTTTTCTATAGCTTTTAATTTTTTTGTACTAAAAAGTTCTTGGAATGTTGCAATGAAGCAATTTTAATAGCATCAAAGACAATGTATCAACAATATAGTTATATAAGGAGGCCCTGGGTTCAATCACAGCACCAAGATGAAAGAAAAAAATCTGGCATGGTGGCACATGCCTGTAATGCATGTAACTGGGGAGGCTGAGGCAGGAGGATCTCAAGTTCAAGGCCAGTTTCAGCAGCTTAGGGAGACCTGTCTCAAAATAAAAAAAATAAAAAGGGCTGGAGATGTTGCTCAGTGGTTATATACCCTGGGTTCAATCCCCTGTATCTCCTACCACCACCATCAAAAAAAAAAAAAAAAAAAAAAAGAACACATACAATTCTTCTTTTGGAATTATACCTATTAGTACTCACCATTTGATGCTGATGAACATGGAGTTAACAAACTAAGTGGGGAAAAATGTTGTCTGTTAAAGTTAGCAGCTGCAGGTGCTCCTCCAAGGGGTGCTCCAGGTCCATACATCTGACCTCCCGAAAGGTTTGAGGCAAAATTTCCCAAATGTGTAGAAGAAGGTGTTACAGAACCATATGGCGAGTCCATATTGACAATACCTATAAAAGAGAAGACCATCATAATTTATAACAGTTATTACCATTAGGAGAGAATTAGACAAAGTCAAAATTTTAAGAGGCTACAGATATATCTGAAACTATTTAATTATTAAAAAAATTTCTCCTTGGTTACTTCTTTCAGACCACTGTTACTTCTTCATTTTATAAAGATAACTATAAAAAGAAAAAATCATTAAGGGGATGATTTTACATTTAATTTTAATATTTCATTTATTATTTGCTATTATGAAGTACTGATAATATCAACTGGTAATTTAAACATTTAAAAGTTAAGGAATTAAATTTCTATCTTTAAAAATCTATAGGAAAGGGTCTGGTGATGTACTGGGAAAGCACCTATGTAGTAGTGCCTTAATTTAAGTTTTATTCTCCAGCTACTCCCCCCATCCCTCAACCACAGAGTCAAAGGTATGCTACTACAATAAAGAAATCTGGTGTTGGCAGCTTAACCAAGTGGCTTGGGTTTCCACAGTCAGTAACACAACAATCTACCATTTAGTACTAATATAATACGGAGTGAGGTTTGAAACATATCACCTATGTGATACTCCTCTTGGAAATGACTGGTCTAAATCTAATAATAAAAAAAAAGATAAATTTGAAAACATTTGTGGAAAAATTGGACTCCTCAAAGGATTCAATATCATGAACTGCATGACAGCAGGATGTGGTGGTTCACACCTGTAATCTTCATAAAGAATATATTTGGGATAATGGTATTATGAGTTAGGTACTATGATTGATTCCAATTTTCTTGAAGGTAGTAATAGTGGCATAACTGGGAAGGCATAAATGCATGTTTTGGGAATATGGAATGGAAGCCAACCCACTATGGAGTGAAGTATCATAATGTTGGGAACCTACCTTCTCATGATTTGACAAAGGTAGAAAGTGAAAGAAAACAGAGACAGGGATAAAAAGAGGGGAAAGAAGAAGGAAAGAAGAACACAGAAGGGCCTAAGAGGCAAAGCAAGAGGGGACAGAAAGGAAAGAGGCAAAAGAGGGTTTGAAAAGACATTGATAAGTAGATAATAAAAGTGAGGGAATCTACAGGTACTCATTTCTGTGTATTTTTTTCCCTTAAAATGTATAACCCCATCGCCCCCCACCCCCCCACACAATTTTAAAAGTTTCTCAGCCAGGTGCGGTGGTGCACGCCTGTCATTCCAGCAGCTGAGAAGGCTGAGGCTAGAGGATAGTGAGTTCAAAGCCAGCCTCAACAAAAGTGAGGAACTAACCAACTTAGTGAGATCCTGTCTCTAAATAAAATACAAAATAGGGCTGAGGATATGGCTCAGTGGTTCAATGCCTCCGAGTTCAGTCCCCAATACCATTCCCCCCAAAAAAGTTTTTCAAAAAAAAAAAAAATTTCAAAAAATTGAATTAAAAAAAAAAAAAAACAGTTAAAAAAAGAAAGCATAAAAGAATGGAATGCAAAATGAATTAGGAAAAAGAAGGAAAAAAAATAGTATCTGGAAGATGTTAAAAAAAACTTAAGAGGCATTTCCTGTGCAATAAAGAATAAAATTTTTAACTAATGACCTTCTTCTAGCAATGTTCTCCTTTGAGAAATTCTTAAATTTCAACGCTAATTTTAACTCTAATCAACTTCTGCTCCTATAAAGCTGTTCCCCACCCCCCCCCCCCTCCTTTTTCTTTTTTTTTTTTTTTTTTTTGTATCAGGGATTGAACCCAGGGGTGCTTAGCCACTCAGCCACATCCCCAGCCCTTTTTATCTATTTATTTTGAGACAGGTCTTACCAAATTGCTTAGGGTCTTGCTAAGTTGCTTCAGCCTCCCCAGTCACTAGGATTACAAATTGCATGCCACCACACCCAGCTTTTGCATAGCTTTTTACAAAATAAAAACTGATTTCTTTGTTCTCTGAATCTTAATTCTAGCCTTTTGAAATATACCACCTAGATTATCACAATTTTTGGAATGACAAAGTATTTTTGACAAAGAATAAATTCTGTCATAAAAATGAAATTTAAAAGCGTTCCATGCACTGGCATATCATATCCCTTTAAAATTCAATTAAAACAAGGACACTGTTTAAGTAAGCAAGAAAAATTGTTTTTTTTTTAAAGTATATACAGAATCAACCCCCAGCCAAAAAAAAAAAAAAAAATTACTGATCATGTTAATTACATGGTGCAGAAATAGGTAAAAATAACAGAGTTCCTACTAAATCTGAAAATTTTTGTCCTAGAATGTTGTATCTCTAAAAATAAAGATGGAACATGGAAGCTTTTCTGTAAAAGACATGCCTGTAAAAGGGCTGGGGATATAGCTCAGTGGTGGAGTGTGCTGGCCTAGCGTGTGTGGGGCCCTGCATTGAATACCCAGTGCTGAAAAAACAAAATAAAACAAATAAACAAAAAGTCCAAACAAATAAACAAAAAAACCTCACCAATTACCAAATATTTTAGGCTTGGAAGGCCACATGGCTTCTTTTCCAACTATTCAATCTTGTCATAGTGTGAAATCAATCATATAATATGCAAACAAATGGGGCATGGCTGTGTTTCAATAAAATTTTATCTATAAACACTGAAATTTGAATCACATATTATTCTTTCTAAAAACAATTTTTAGCAAGGTATGTTGTGCACCTGTAGTGCTTTTCAGAAAATGTCTCTCTGAAACTGCACACTCAATGGAAGAGGACAACCTTCCCCAATAGAGGAGGACTGTTTCTCAGTTGAGGGTATATGGAGTAGCTGTGCTTCCCTGGTAGAATCTCCACAAAAGCTCTCAGGGAAAGATGAGGTAGAAGGACCACTTTAGCCCAGGATGGACAACAAAGCATGACTCCATTTACATAAATATAGGGATAGTAAGTAAATAAATAAATTTTAAAAATGTGAAAACAGGCAATAGGCCAAATTTGGCCCACAGGCCATTGTGTGTCAATCTCTCACACGAATTTTCTTTCATTACTTGAAATGCACGTAATAAAAACACAATAACTCTAAATCCAACTGGGTATCCTAGATTAGATTCTACAAAAGAAAAAAGATATTAATGGAAAAACTGGTGAAATCTGTAGTCTAGTTAGTAGTACTGTACGGATATTCTGGGAAAGGTACCATGTTTATATAAGGTGTTTACATGCCAGGAGCAATGGAGCACACCTGTAATCCCAATGACTCAGGAGGCTAAGGCAGGATGATCACAAGTTTCAGTGTAGCCTTTAAGTTAAGACCCTCAAAATAAAATAAAAAGGACTGGGGGTGTGGCTCAGTGGTAGAGTCTCTGCATTCAATTCTCAGTAAACAAGCATACACAAATGGACACACACACACACACAGAGTCTTAGATGTTTATTTATGTACAGGAAGCTAGAGGAATTATATAAGAATTCTATTATAAACCCAAAAAAATTTGAAGTAAAAACTTTTTTTAAAAAATAGCTTAAAATCACAGGATTTTAGATCCTCCATAAATTATAAATATCAGTGTTGTCTGATAGAACTTTCTGTGACAATGGAAATGCTCTACATCTCTGCAGCAGTCCAATGTGGGAGGACTGGCCACAAGTACTTATTAGGCCTTTGAAATATTACTAGCTAGACTAAGAGGATGAATTTTTAAATGTATTTAATTTTCATTAATTTAAATAGCACATATGGCTATTATTAGGCTATTTATTAGGCTATTATTAGACTGTTTAGCCCTACATTTTCCCATTATTTTAGAAACAAAACTGAAAGGAAAAATGAAACCAAATTTTAAAAATTTCTTGTTAGCTATTTGGTTTTTGAAATAAAAGTTTTGGCAGCATTACCTTATTAATTCGAACACAAGAGACTTTTTTTTTTTGAGAGAGAGAGAAAAATTGACCTGATAAACTTATATATGGGAAATTCAAGATAAAATCTACTGTAGTTTTCAAAGGCTTAAAAAAAAAAAAAAAAAAAAAACAGTATGCTAGATGCACACAACACAACAGCATTTGATTTAATTGAATAAAACAATCTTGTTTGATTGCAGCTCAGCGATAGAGTACTTGAGATATTGGGTTAAATCACCAGCATCCAGAAAGAAAACAAACATTAACAACTATAACCTCTATCCACATAGCCTAGCCATAGAATTAAAATATTATAAAATGATCAAGAGTTTTCCTATCACCTCGGTGAGTAGCTGCAGAATGTCAGAAAATAGAAACTCACCTGAGGGACTTGGAGCAGGTCTCTGTAATGGTGGTCTAAAACCTGGAGCTTTGGAAGTATCAGACTGATGTAAAGGATCTGAATTTGGCAAATATGAAGACTTTCCTGATAGCATAGATTCTGGTGTTGACTGAGATGAAACAACAGATCCTCCCCAGAAGGCATGAGCAGAAGTAGGGTTGTTTTCAAACAATGTGCTAAAGGGCCCAAATGGTAAGGGGGCACTGAAATTGGGAGCAATAGGCTTATTTGCTGGATGTACTGAATTCTGACAAGCACTTTGTGTACTTAAGGTTGAAGGTAGCTGGACAGAGGAGGGAACACTGTGAGGTCTTTTGATATGATTGACACTGAGAACTGCAACAGATGAATTCTGCACTGGAGCTGGATTCTTGTGAGGAGCACTTGTGCCATGAGAGGGTGGTCTAATAGCAGGGGTTTCCATTTTAGGAGGTTGGGAGCATCCCATTTGTGTCTGAGGCATAGGGTAAGTCACTGGGGCAGTAGAAGGCACCGCCACTGGAGCAGAACTTGTTGTTGCTAAAGGAGGAACAGTCATTCTAACTTCCGGGGGAGGAACCTGAGACTGCTGAAGAGGTGGTCTTGGCTCCTGGGAAACAGATCCCGGAGGCTGTTGCTGAGTAGAATGAACTGATGAACTCCCAGAAGAACTGCTGCTGTTTGGAGGTCTATTGTTTGCTGTTTCTACTACTGGTGGACTACCTGCTTCCTGTTCGGAGGAAGATGCCCCTTTATTTGGAGATGCTGATCCACAATCCAAAGGGCTGTTTCTAGAAACCCCTCCTGGCTGGGCTGGTGGTGATGGGGAAGATGGGGATGATACTGGATAGTGTTCTTTGGCAGTAGGCATAGGATATGTGGCATTTGTGGGTGCAGTGCTGTTGTTGCTTGCTGTGGTTGTGACTGTTGTGGTGGTGGCATTGGATGTCTTCACAACTGTGACAAAAAGCTGCCTTCTGACAGAAGGTGAACTTGGACTACCATTTGTAGATGTACCAGGCACCGTTGAAGCTGATGAACTGGTTGTAGTTGTTGGACTTGAAGTTAAAGAACCTGCTGAATTCACCTGAGAACCACTGCTATTCTGATTGCTATGGCGAGGCACCATGTGAGGCTTAGGCGAGTTAGTAGCTCTGGCAGGGCTCAAAGGCCTGACAGGAAAAGGACCCCAAGTGGATTGAGCTGGTGGAAAAGTACCTCCAAAGTGGGTCATGGGCAACCGTGGTGGACGGATTTGCTGGAAAGTCTGAGCAGCAAGCAAAGCATGTGCAAACTGTGGAGGAGGATATGCTAATGGAAGAGAAACTGGAAAACCAGGCCTCACATTATTCACTGGGTTTTTAATGGTTTTGTGAGTAGATGCAGAAGAAATTGCAGGCACAGTGAGTGCTGTGGCAGTTTGAGATGTTGATGACAGAGCTACAGTCGTCATTTTAATTCCCATTAAGGAACTGTTAGCAGCAGTGGTGGTAGGTGCTGATGACCCTATTTTGGAATTTGCTGAGGAGCTTTTCAAACGATTCTTTGGAATAAGTTCATCAATTTCTTTGTCGGGATCCTTGATGAGAGCATTGATCAACTGAGTTGCCTGTCTTGTTGATTCAGTGCCACCCCTGTATGTTGACCAAAACAAAATTATTAGGTCTAATTTTTTCTATTTACTAATAATATTAAAGTCTACATGAAATTAATATACATATATACAGAGAACAGATAAAAGTTAAAAAGCAATCTTCTGACCAAAGTATTTTCCAAATAAAGCAATAAACTGTCCTGAATTAATATTATATGTGTCAGAGGAATGAGTGATTTATTTATTTTTATTATTATTTTTTTAAGTTTTAAGTGGACACAATGCCTTTATTTTTATTTATTTATTTTTATTTGGTGCTAAGGATCGAACCCAGTGCCTCACCCATGCTAGGTGAGCACTCTACCACTGAGTCACAATGCCGGCCCTGATTGAATTATTTCTAAAACTTAATTTTAATATTGTTTCCTTAGAATAAGAAATCATTTTCCCACTGTAAAATACATTATGGTTCGGAAAACTCGTGCATATAAAAGTCTATGTAAGCTGTATGATCAGTACTATAAATAATACAAGAGGGACAAGGGCTGTAGATTAGGAGTAGAGTTTGCTCAGCATATGAAAAGTCCTGGGTTTGATCCCTAACACTGCAAAAATAAATAACTAAAAGTAATACATGGAAAACAATCCAACTAAGAAAACAGGTGTTGGGGATGTACCTCAGCAGTAGAGCACTTGCTTAGCACATTTTAGGCCCTAGGTTCAATTTTCAGGAATGCCCCCCTCCCCCCAAAGTCTGTCTTTTAAATCCTGGTATCTAAGATGACTAAGATGACCTCATTTACTATACATTCACTAGTAGTTTCTCTGTTAGTAGGATAATTATTATAATCCCTCTGGCAAAGGATCTCAAAAATGAGTGAGGACTATAGAAATCAGTATGGAGATTACTAAAAGAATAGGAATGGAACCACCATATGTCCCAGTTATGCCATTCCTTGTTATTTATAGAAAAGAAATAAAGTCAGCATACTCTAGTGATATAGCATATCCATATTTACAGCAGTGCAATTCACAATGCTCAAGTTAGGAACTAGCCATTACAACAATGGATTAATTTAAAAAGGCAAATTAAAAATAGATAGATATACACAATGGAGTTTTTTTTAGCTATAAAGAAAAACAAAATTATGTTACTTGCAGGAAAATGGATGGTACTTGAAAGTATTATATTAAGCTAAATATGTCAGATTCAGCAAGTCAAGGGCCATGTTTTCTCTTCTATGTGGAAACTAAAGAAAACGGGGAAAAATATGGGGGGAATGGATAATGAGGGAGAAGAGTGGAAGGGGGATATTTAGGGAATGAAACTGAACCAAATTATATTATGTACAAATGACGACTATAATAACATCAAGCCCTAATGTTGTATGTTAAGGGAAACATTTGATTGTAATAAAAGTCTTACAGAAACCTAAGGAAGAAGCTATCCAGAAAGAGTATCTGCTTCCCTCTTTAGTCAGGGCAAAGTTATGGCTACCCAACTATTCCAGCAGAGGGAAAACAAGAAGAAAGAAGGATGAGTAAAAAACAGAGATGGTTAACTACCTCCTTATTTTATAAGTACATTACAACTATTGGCCCTATGATACACTGCAAAAGTACATCTGCCTCCCACAAGCAAATTTGTAACAGCCATCATAAAACATGAAACTCTTTCAAAGGAACTTGGATTTACTTTAAAGTAATCTAATACAGCTTAATACATCCTATTGTTTCTTAGAATATTGTTTTTTTATTTTAAAGCTATTCAGACACAGACATATTCTGAGTTATTTAAGATAAGTGTACTACTAAACACAAAGTTCCAATAAAAACTTAAATGGTTATATTTCATTAAGCTACAGTATGATAAAACAGAAAGAAAGAAAGAAAACATAAGAGATAAATTTTGCCTTATAGTTATTATTCGATCTCCTGTCTTGTCTTTCTGTTTATCAATATCTATATGTGCACCAGTGAACTCCCGAATAGCGTTGATATTACAGCCTCCTCTTCCAATCACTCTGGATATTACAGTTGATGGAACAGATACTTTCTTTGACCTGTTTACAAATTGCAAAAGTAAATAAATTAAGATAAATCATTAATATCAGTGTCTGTAATTAAAATAAAGGGAAAGAGTATTAATAAAATGTTTTTCTGCAGAAAATAGATTACCCTTAAATAAGTCTTTTATATCTACTCTTACTCCAGATGAATATATTAAAAGGCAACTAGCAATGACAGACAGCTTTACCTAAGCTTCCCATCTTGTTATCAAAGACTTTTGGCTTTCTTGACTCTCACATAACTATGTAGACATGCATTGTGCTAACGCAAATACCAATAGTGAATATGACAGGCTAGGATTCCTGTCCACATATACTGACTGCACAGACCTCAAATAAGAAAAACCCAATACCACATCATGAGTGTCCTTATAAGGCATCATAGAGACTTATGAGTCTGGGCATCTAATCTCAAGAGTCAAGAAAGGCCTCTTGTGGGTTCCTTTTAGTCTTTTACTCATTGTTTCTTTCACACTTTTATGACTAAAAGGAATGACATTACTTCTGTGTGTCTCTGTATTCTCCTAGATGCATTAAAACAATATCCATAAGCACAGAAACTGGAAAAGAATCTTCAGTAATGTTAGGAAAAAGAAATCTATTTTTTTTTTAAGAAAAGCAATATCCATTTAATACTTGCTGACTTTACATTTTAATTTTAAATAGGTTCTATAAAGGTGGATATAAATTCCTGACAAATCAATTAAAAAGTGCTTCCAAGAGAAACAGTATAATTCTCAACCAAGGGAAATAGTCAATTATGTTTCAATGAACAAATAAATTATTTATAGCCTATTAAGTTGTCATATTTTTAAAAAGATATAATCTGCTATACATACATTTGACTAAGTTTCTTGATAATTCTTTTTATTTCCCTAAAGAGCATGAAATCAGCCAGTGATCATTATTTCCTAGTCAGTTAAATATTTCTTAGTATACACAGGTATATACATAGAAACACTGAACTAAAAGTCTTCCTTTTGTATAGAGAACACTGATACTGACACTTCAGTTACTTCAGAATTGAGGGTATAATCCCAAGTCCTGGGATTATATACATGTGCCATCATACCTGGCCTTCCTCAATTTTTTAAGTATTAAAGTGCAAAAAAGCCCCCCCCCCCCCAAAAAAAAAAAACACCTTTTTAAGTTTTTAAATTTTAATCTGAAAGATGGCAAGGTTGTCTTCTTGCACCATGAGTGTGTTTGCAACTTTGGGAATAGTAGGAAGAATTTAACTATAAATAACACTTCGTTGTAATTCACAGCAAATTAAACGAATGAGAAAAAAAAGAATAACTCACCTTCTTACAACTTCTTTCCATCCTTCTTCTCTCTTTTGCCCACGTTTAGGACTTGCTACTGTTAACTTCCCATTTGGAGAGGAAAGAGGAGATGGACCAGATTTTGTGCAAGTAGACAGAGAATTACTGGTCCCTTCATTAATAGTCTCTGACAATCTTTAACAGAAGGAGGGAAAGTATTTTAAATACAGATATAGAATTTTTAAATGATAAAGGTAGTAGTCTACTACATAATTTTATTATTTATTTTTAGATTAAATAAGGTAAACAAACAGAACCCTTTTTCACTGCTTTTTAATGTTTTAACATACAATATGTAGAGCCAATTTTAAGAAGATATATAGGGGACAAATTTACCAGAACTGAGTTACAATAATCCCTGTAAAAACACAATTAATACATGGGCTAAGTTTAACAACAAAAAAAGATATTTCATAGTAAAAATGATCTGATCCTATTATTACAAAGTCTAAAAACCAGCTTTGTTTTCAATTGAAAATGTGCACAAGGAAAAATTCTTAGTTAACAAGTTGTGAATTCACTTTTTCTACCAACACATTCAGCAGTAAAGTGTTATAAAAAATAAAAATTAAAAATGGAACTAACTTTATTGAAGTCTTGCCAGAAACAGATTTTCTTTCTTCCTTTGGAAACGTAACAAGTACAGATGGCTGCTTCTTGCTGGACACAGTGGTGGTGACCACAGCTGGTGAATGATTGTCACTCTTCCGGCTACTGTTGCTATTACTACTTTCATCACTGCAGCTAGAAATTCTCATGTTATCACTGTCTCCACTCTCACTCGTACTGCTGCTCTTGGACTCTCCATTCACCTTTTCTGGTTGACTGTATGAAATTGGTAGTGGATCATCAAATATAATTTGAACATTTTCTGGAGTAATTTTATTTTTCCTGTTTTTTCTCTTTGAACTGGTTGTAGTTATGGTATTATTTCTTTTACCATGGGAACCTGCTAAAGTTGTCCAGGTTGCAGATATACCTATGGTTGTAGTGGTTGTGGCACTTGGAGGCTCGGTCAAGACTTCAGGCTCTTCTGTGAAAGCAGCAATAGTGAATTAGCAAGTTCTATTTAGCCTTAAGCACTTTAAAAACAAAGAGTAAAAACCCAGGAGTTATTTCATTACTATTGGACATTATTCAAGAATGTGCTGGTAATGAGGTAGATATGATTGATCTATGCCCCTAATAACTACACAAAGCATAAAAGGTAGTGACAGATGTGGTGGAGCACATGCCTATAATGCCAGCAGCTCAAGAGTCTGAGGCAGACAGATCACCAAATTCAAGGCCATCCTGGACACTTTAGTATAATTCTGTCCCCCCAGAAAACAAAAACAAAAAGTTGGGCATAGTTGTACAACTTTTTGGTTCAGCAACTTAGGAGGCTAAGGGAGAAGGATGACAAGTTTGAGGACAGCTTCAGTAACTTAGTGAAATATTGTCTCAAAATGCATAAATTAAAAAAAGGATTGAGATGTAGTTCAATGGTAGACAGCATCCCTGGGTTCAATCCTCCATATAGAGGAGGAAAAACTGTTAACAGGTAGTTATGAGGGTTACTTTTGCTTTGGGGATTATTTGGGAAACATGAATGTGTACCATGTGTACATATCACATACCTATTAAACTTTTTAGGTATAATAATGTTATTATGGCTATAAATGTTCTTTCTATGGGAAATACTCAAGTATTTAAGGATGATTTCATATAATATGTACAGCTGACATGCATACTGCTCAAAAAGAAAAAAAAGATAAAACATGTACCAAAATGTTTTAAGAATTCGGGTAAAATACAGGTGTGTGGATCATACTAATACTTTTTTCCCCCTTTCTTTCCTTTTTTGGTATTGGGAATTGAATCCAAGGGCACTTTACCACTAAGCTACATCCCCAGTCCTTTTTTTTTTTTTTTTTTTTTTTAATTTTGAGTCACAGTCCTCACTAAGTTGCCCTGGCTGGCCTTGAATTTGCAATGATCCTCCTTGCCTCAGCCTGCCAAGTTGCTGGGATTACAGGCAAACATGTGCTATTGTGCCTGACCATCATACTAATCCTTAAAATTCTCTATAGTCTGAACATTTTTAAAATAAAAGGATGGAGGAAGGGTAAAGGCATGCGCACATGCACACAGCATGCAAAACATTTGATTGATTTAGTGCCAAATGTTCATTCCCACAATTATTCTATCTCAAATAATCTTTCAACTAAAATGTAGTTAAAAACAATCTTCTTGTTTGAAGAAATCTGAATATGATCTGGATTGTAGATAATATTATGGGATTTTTTAGGAATTATAAATAATATTTCATAATTATAAGTGAATATCATTTTAAAGATGTGCACTAAAATATTTTCCAGTGAAATGCCATTTGTCTTCAGTTTACTTCCAATTAGATCAAATATATGTACATATTTAGAGATGAAAGGATAAAGCAAATAAGGTAAAATGTTAACAATTCTGTAAACTCAGGTGGAGGGTCTCTAGGTGTTCATTTTATGTCATTGAATACTGCTTTATCACAAGGGACCAGAGATACCTAAAATTCAAAGACAATTAGTTCAATTCATTGTTTGATTTAAGTATTTCAACCTGTGTGTAGGTTTGAAATTGATCATAATTTAAAAATTAGGCAGCTGGGTGTAGTGGTGCACAACTGTAGTCTTAACTACTAACCCTCCTAGAGGCTGAGCAGGCAGATGACTTGAGTCTAGGAATTAAAGACAAGTGTGAGCAACACAGTAAAACCAAAACCAAAACCAAAACCAAACTGGGGAGGAAGTCAATAAATGAAAAAAGCAAGTTGGGGTGCCTGTAATCCCAGCTACTCTGGAGGCTAAGGCAGGAGGTTTACCAGTTCTAGGCCAGTCTCTAGAACTTAGCGAGACTCTGTCTCAATGTAAAAAATAACACAGGCTAGAGAAATAGTTCAGTGGTACAACACTCTTGGGTTCAATCCTCAATCCTATCAAACAAAACCAAAACCCAATTAAATTTTCGTAGAGAAAATACCTTCAACTTTAAGTTTTTCTTTTTCTTGAGCAGCTTGGAGTTCAAAGTTTTCTTTATTTTTGGCTTCAATTTCTTCTAGTTTTCTTCTTTGTTCTTCCTTTTTCTTTCTTCTCTTTTCTTTTCTCTTTTCTCTTTTGGCCGCTAAAGCCAGCCTTCGACTTTCTTCCCTTAACTGTTAAAGGATCAATAAAACAGAAATACAACACAGAAATTTACTCTGAAAAAAAGTTGTCTCAGAATACTGCTTTATCACAAGGGTACCGAGATACCTAAAATTCAAAGTCAACTAGTTCAATTCATTGTTTGATGTAAGTAATATTCAAACTACTCTAGAGACCATATTTTTAAAATGGTAAGATCAAATCAAGAATGAGACACAATCTCACCTTTATTTTTTGTTTCTGGTACTTTGGATTGAACTCAGGGCACTTTATCCATGAGCTAAATCCCCACAAGGCTGGCCTTGAAACTACAAGATTCTCTTTGCCTAAGCCTCCTGAGTTATCAGGATTGTAGGTGTGTGCTGCTGCATCCAAGCAGATTTTTTAATAAAGTCTTGCCTTGTTGTCCAGGCTGATCTCAAATTTATGGGCTCAGGGCTTCTCCTGCCTTAACAACACCCCAGGATATAGAGAAGAGTTTAAATGAGAAAATAGGATTCGATCTAAAATCAACTGGTCCAGATGTAGGTGAAAGTGGTAGGCTCTGAGTAAGTCACAATATGAATTTGTGGCTGGATCTTAGGTATACAAGTACCTTAGGGATTAAACAGTTCAGTCTGAGGGGGCTGGTCCTCTGGTCACAATAATTCCAGCCTAGATTATCGTATTTTAGAGTTTTATCATATTTTAAAAGTTTGAGGTATTTACTCTTCGATTTCTAATTTTTTTTAATGTTAAGGCTCATGTTCTGATAATCTGGTATATCTTACCCTTTGTGCTCACCAATGAGTGGGACAAAAATTCAGAGGTCTAAGGAAGACTATCTTGGAGAAGATCCCAAGCTATGATTACAAAGGAACCCAGAACTTCCTTAAACCAAGCAGAAATAGAGAAGTGTGGATTGAAAGATGCAGATTTAAGAGGCATTATGTATGCAGGTGGTAGGTGAAACTAATAAATTAAATGAGATCACTAGAGAGAAAAAATTACAACTTTATATATGTGTATTTATGTACCGATAGAGAATGAGTGTGTTGAGGGAGCGAGTATCCAGTATTTAAGAGAGCAAATGAGATTTATAGAAGGCATAATCAGGTGAGAGAAGGAAGGTGTGGTTAACACGGGCAAACACTGCAAAGAGGTCAGTGTGAATACAAAGTGAAAAGAAGTAATACAATTTGGCAGTTAAGATGTGACTACTGAAAGAATACAGGTAAGAGACTATATATTAATGATTTGGACTAGGGGAAGAAGTGGTAAAAACTGGTTAAAGAGTTTTGTATACAGTTTTAGGCACAAGCCACAAGATTTTCAATCAAAACAGAGGAGGCAGAGGAATCAAAGATGACGCAAAGATTTTTGGTCTGTGCAATTAGAAGATAGTTATAGGTTTCTGGTAGACAAAAATCTGGAGTTCATATTTGGACATATAAATTTCAGATGTTAAATTAAGTACCAAAATGGACATAATAAGTAGCTAGCTAGATATGACATTGGAGTTTAAAGAAGAGGTCTGGGCTGAAGATAAAAATATGAAATCAGCTATTATATATTTAAAGTTAGGAAGTAGAAAAAGACAAGGAATGAATAAAGATGATAAGGACATAATGAACTAAGAATCTTTTCAATTAAAAGGTAGGTGACAAGAGGAATCAGTAGAAGACATACAGAAAGAATATCCATACAGGTAGGTGAAAAGCCAAGAGCAAGAAATGGCACAGAAGCCCAGAGAAGAGAGTATATCAAATTTTATTAGCATCAGTAAGATAAGGATGGAGAAGTAGCTATTGAATTTTACAACATGCAATCCAATGGAAACCATTAACACAATTTTTATGGAGTTGTAGGAGTGAGAACCTGGCAGAACTAGATTCAAGAGAAAGAAATAATTGGAGATAGCCAAAATAGGTGACTCTTTAGGAGAATGTACGTACAAGGGGAGACAGAGAAATAGGTCTGTAGCTTAAAGGTGAGGCAAAATATGAGAGTCAAAAGAAGGATTTTTTAAGACTTGAGAAATAAGCTGTGTGTGATGTTTCATGCCTGTAACTGGGAGATTGAAAAGGGAGGATTTTAAGTTCAAGACTGGTGAGTGCAACTTGGTAAGACCCTGTGTTAAAATAGAAATAAAATAGGGTGGAGATGTAGCTCTGTAGTAGACAGCTTGTCTAGTACGCATGAGACCCTAGGTTCAATCCCAGTACTTCAAAGAAAAAAAAGGAGAAATAAGCTTGTATGCTGATGGGTATGATCCAGGAAAGGGAGAAAATAATACAGAAGAAAGAAAAGAGAACTACTACAACAATGTTGTTGAGTAGGAGAAACCAGATTGAATCTAGTAAACAAATAGAGGGGCTGGTTATCAAGTTTATCAAATCACTGGTAGGAAGTATATATAGTAGAAAGCATAAATATTAATGGGTGGATAGAAAGAGGAAAGTCTTCTGAAGTTTTCTTCTGATGCTTTGATTTTTTGACTAATGTATGATACAAAGTCATTTATTAAAGGCAAAGGAGGTGATGAAGTCTGAGGATAAAGGAGAAAAATTTACCCAGGTAAGTAGAGACTAAATTAAATCAAGGGGATATAGAATTCTAATTACTTGGTTAACACTGAATGGCTAGGAAAATATAGCAGTCATCCCCTGTTTTATGTGTGGGACTGGTTCTTGCAGTTTCTCAACCCTCCAGATACCAAAATCTTAGATGTTCAAGTTCTTTCTATAAAATGACAAAATATTTGTATCTAACATAATACAATGTAAATCAATTTGAACAGGTGTTTTACTGTATTTTTATTTATTTTATTCTTTTTTGCCCCCTTTTTCTTTTCGCTATATTTTTAGAGGAAATAATAAGAAAAATGTATGCACAATACAACCCAGAAGCAATTTCCAGGTATTTCTCACCACAATTGGTTGAATCCTCAGATCCAGAACCCACAAATACAGGGGGCCAACCATATGACTACTGATCATCAGGAAAAGGTTCACTGCTACACATGCAGAGTAAAAGCTGTCAAGGCCGAGTGTTTTTTCTAGATACATTTAGTTACTGGGTAGAAGTTAAACACAAGGAAAAAGGGGTAAAGGACAGTATAAGGATAATAAAGTACAAATGAATTCTACCATTTACTGGTAGGCAGAGTGTTGGAGGCAGAATTCTAGAGAGTAAAGCTGAAAAGATAGGAGGTGATGATAAGAATGGAATGTGTAAAACTGAGATTGTGGGATGGGTTCATTTAATATATATGTTAGGTATGTAACTCCTTAAAAGTTCATGAAAATTTACAAAATAAAAAATGGAAAGGGGAAAAAAGTAAGTAATGAATTAGAAGGAGTAAGAGCAATATTAAAATGCAAATTAAAAATATCTGCTAGGGATTCTAACAGCCAAGAACATAACTTAGATGTTAATGTACTAAGAAAGCAAGCAATTAATTTTAAGAGGACTTGGAATCTGAAACAGATGGAAGTACTTCAGAGAAGGAAATCTTCCACATACCAAATGTTCAATAAATAAATATTTATTGAGTAAGTATAAGGGAATCTATTAAGTATACTTAAGCAGTGTTCTCAGCAACAGTTTTAAAAACCAAAAATTTCAAATTACAAATACTGATCAAATAAACTGTTTTCTTTTTCTTTGGGGGGGGGATTATTGAGCATTAAAATTATGGGTGCTTTATATCACTAAGCTATCACTAAGACCTAATCATTGAGTCCGCAAATACATCCATCTCCAATCCTTTTTATTTTTTATTTTGGGGCAGGGTCTCACAAAGTTGCTGAGGTTGGCCTCAAACTTGCAATTCTCCTGCCTTAGTCTCCAAGTCTCTGGAATTACAGGTGTATACCACTGTGCCTAGCTAAAGAAACATTTTTATGCATTAAGTAAATTATCCATGAGTAAACTCAACTCAGACCAGTCAAGACCAACTCCAATGTTTCTAAATCATAAATTAGCAGAACCAAAAAGGCAAAAAAGCATTCTCACAGACATATATCATCATTTATAAAATAGTGAGCATAATCCTAAGGTCCCAGGGACTAAGAATATTTCACATAGAAATACGGGCTGCAGTTCAGAAAAGAAGAGGCTTCACATTAAGGTAGGAATATCTCACCATCACCTATCAAAACTGACAAGTATATAGAGTGTATGGGGAAGAACTGCTTTATATCTAATTAATTTATGATTAAGAATTTTTTAATCCTCTCAGAGTGTTAACATTAGAGAAGAATATACAGTGACATTTGAAAGAAGCATTTCGATTTTCCTTAAATCAAGAACTCCTAAAATCATAAATATCAAGACTGAGAAATAATGACAACAATGCAAAAATCACATTCATGTATTGCTGACGGCTGTAGGAAAATATTCTGGTACTGACCCATATTAAGAAATTTAGTACCCCCCTCCCAAAAAATGATGGTCACTATGTGGTCAGTATGGATGCAGTTAAGTAATCAAGAAGAGGAGCAATAAAAAGAAATAAGGGCAAAGAGGAGTAAGAAATAGTGTGGGTGAGAAAATCGTTTAGGGTCTTAAAAAGGCCCTATATTAGGTAAGTATAGTGGTGCATACTTTAGTTACCATAAGAGATCTTCAACTTTAGATAGATTACAATGATGTCATGTATTTATCTTTGTATATTACACAATTTAAACTGAGCATGCTACTATAATAAAGGTGAAAAATGTTTAATTACAGTGGCTGAAAACAGACATCTTTAATATGATATTTCCTATGGTGCTTCCTGACTTGGTAATCCAAAGCTATGAAAATAAATGTATAAACATTAAATGTATAAAAATAAAATGTATAAACATCAAAGGCATGAAAATAAAATATATAAATATCAAAGGCATGAAAACAATGAAAGATTGCATTCAATATCAGATAATCTATGTCTCAGCTACAAAAAGGATACTTTCTGGATAGAACTATTATTCACAGATTCAGACATTTTCAAATAGAAGAATAATGGGGGAAAAGAATATTAAAATAATTTTGGAAGAAAAATCTAAGAGGTAGATTACATTCAATTAAGGGAGTGCAGAGAATCAGAAAATTTACATTTTCAAAATTCAGTTAAAATCCTAGTGTACTTTAGGCACATTGCTTAACTACCTCTAACTGACTGAATTTCTCCATCTGTACTAAGAGAGTAATGTTTTTACTGAGAAGAATAAAGTAATAAATAGACTGGTTCCTAACTTGGCTTGATAAAAGTGAATATGAAAATAGCTTACTGGGGATGTAGCTCAGTGGTACAGGGCTTGCCTAACATGAGCATGGTCTTGGGTTTGATGCCCAGGAAGGAAGGAAGGAAGGAAGGGAGGGAGGGAGGGAGGGAGGGAGGGGGGGGGGGGGGGGGGGGGAGGGGGAGAGAGAAAGGAAGGAAAGGAAAGGAAGGAAAGACGGAAAGGGAAGGAGGGAGGAAGGGAGGGAAAACAAAGAAAGGAAGGAAAGAGGAGAAAGAAGGGAGGAAGGGGAGAAGGGGGAAAGGGAGGAAAGAAGGAAGGGAAGAAGAAAGGAAATAGGTCAAGTAACAGTTATGATGTTCATTACAACATCTTTCAATGCACTCACTCTTTTAAAGTAGCTCAAAAAGTAAATATACTTTGATCAGAATCTAAACCAGTTGAGTGTGTGTGTGTGTATGTATCTGTGTGTGTTTTTTACTAGAGAATGAAATCAGGAGTGCTTTATCACCTACCATCAAGCTACATCCTACCCACAAGTTACTGAGACTGGCCTCAAACTTGCATTCCTTCTGCTTCACCCTCCTGAGTAGCTGGCATTATATAGGTTTATGCCACTGGGTCCAGCTAAACAACAAAGTTTTAAAAATGAAGACCCTCCAATGTAATTTTTTTTCCAGAAGAATATATTTTCTTATTTGAATGAAATATTTAGAATAATACATATTTTATTTCTGTAGGATAAAATAGCTCAATAAAATTAGCAAATATAGTAAAGGAATGGATTTTACTCAAAAGGGCATATGTATAATATTTACCACATATCCTTTTTTTTTTTATGGATAGTATCAGATCACATTTTTATTTACTTATTTATTTATTTTTTAAGAGAGAGAATTTCAATATTTATTTTTTACTTCTTGGCGGACACAACATCTTTGTTTGTATGTGGTGCTGAGGATCGAACCCGGGCCGCACACATACCAGGCGAGCCGCTTGAGCCACATTCCCGGCCCCACCACATATCCTTTATAAATTTAAAAACTTGTTAAACTTTATAGTATTTTTTATCTTACCATTAAAAAACAAGATACAGCAGATTTTGCATTCCTTAATATTAAATGTCAAACTAATTCTTTTCCGGCTAATGATTACTATTTCAATAAGTTTTGGATCACAGAGTTAGTGGGGGAAAGTTGGCAGAAAAGGGAATGAAGAAAAAGGAGTTATAAGGTTGTACAAACTATATGCTGTTTTGGAGAATTTTATTCTTTATAGGAACAGATGCTCTAGTCTGCCTGAAAAAGTACAAAAGAAGTTACTCATTAAAAAAAAACATATTCACTAAATATAACAAATGGTTGTATTCCACTAAGTGATTACACCTTTATATTTTATGTGGTACTTTTGATAAATAAAAAATAAAATAAGGTCAAGGATCAAAGAACTATAGATATGATTGGGAATCAAGAGATCATTAGTTCAGATAAAATTAAAACCCAGAATTAGAAGCTAAGTTTCCTGACTTCCAGATCACCTTGATTCTTGCAATCAAGTTTTTAAAAAATTTGAATGAAAATGCTTTTAATGATAATGATAACTGTTTTCTCTATTTGAGATAAACTTAGGGAGAAAACCATGTACACAATTACAGCATAAAACAAAATCACAAAAGAATAAATTACAAATTAAGGGAAGAAAAACCAGAAAAAAAAAAAAGTGAGTAGTTTTCATATTTAAAGATTGTCATTACCTTTTCCAAGTCTAACTCCTCTAACAAAATGCTGGCATTTTTGTTTGCTTCAGCAGCCTGTCTATCTTTGGCTTGTACTATTGACTCCATACAAAGATGACACTTCTTCAACATCTCCTGTAATGAAAAATTGAATATATTTGCAGTCTCAAAAAAAAAAAAAAAATGAGCTAATTAGATTCCTAAAAACAAAAATTTTTGAAGTACGTAAACATAAGCAATAAAGACCAGTGGCAGGAAAAAAAAAGGGAGTACAAATAAAACATAATTTAAAAGACATATTTTAAAATATATACAGAGTTCCTGTTTTTCATTATAAGAGCAATTTGACTGATATTTAGAAAATTAAAATTATTCACACATATAATTTGAATATAAAAAACCATACAGCAAACATTACAATAATTTATGACAGCTGGTTAATGAATGGGCTGAATGAAAATGGGCAATGTCAACAAAGAAAATGAATTTACAAATTTCTCAAGTACTTATTTGGCAAGAACTGTCCTCATATATTTAAGCATTTTTGCTACAATTTTATAGGCAAGAATTATTCACAAAAGGAATCACAGAAACACGTACCCTAACACACTTTTCTGTTTTCATTCTCAAAAGACAAAGGGATATTTCCTTATTTTTTAATATTAAAAATATTCCCATAATAGTAATTATTTTAAAAATATTTCTTATCTTAATCTCCTCTTTCTCCCCATATACCAAATCATGTGGAATCCAGGACTGCTAAAAATTGTCATACAAAAATCTGGAGTCAGAGAATCACCTAGTTTATTTTAAATTAAACATAAGGGGGGAAAACTGCCCACTATCATATAATGTATAAACCACAAAACAAAATGGAATAGAAATTTATTTTGCCAGGAACAGTGGCACATGCCTATAATCCCAACAACTCAGGAGGCTAACTAAGGCAGGCAGGAGGATCTCAAGTTTGGGGCTAACCTCAGCAACTTAGCAAGACTCTGTGTAGAAATAAAAAATAAAAAGGGCTGAGGATGTAGCTCAGTGATTGAACGCCCCTCATGGGTTCAATACCTACTACCATACCCCCAACCTTAAAAAAAAAAAAGAAAGCAAGAAAGAAAAAGAATAAAGATTTTATTTATGTTCCCCACATTTCCTCCATAATTCTAGCCAATACGCTTTGGTTTTGTTTGTTTGTTTGATTTTTGTTTTGTCATTTGAGATGAAGTCTAACTATGTATGATTTGTAATGATTGTCCCTTAAACTTCTGAGCTCAAGTGATCCTCCCACCTGTGCATCCAGAGTAGCTGGGACTACCAGCATGTGCTACCATGCCCAGCTTCCAACTCATTAATAAACTGATAGTTAAACCCTAAATTTTATATCACATAACATGGCTTTAAGGTTTTCTGCCTATGACTAAACATACTATTTTTTGCTGGTAATAAAAAAACAGCAAGTTCCTCTTTCAGAATATATTATCAATCTAGATATATATGTATATATCTACATAGATATACGATAATACTAATGAATAATAATTTTGCTTTGAAGTGTTTAGTGTTACAGTAAGAATCAGCTTAAAACTAGTTAAAAAGCAAAGTAATTCTATCACAGAGAATGTTTCATTAATCCATTAATCTGTTACAGTTCATTTATCTTCACAGAGATAAATGAAATTTTATATATTTATTGTTCAAACCAAGATTTTTCTTAGCATAGGAGCTATACCAATTAAATGGAACCTCCGACTCATATAGTGGGATGAATATGAACAACATATTACCTTATCAGTGATGGTTGCTATGTATCTCATACATTCAGAATCTGATGGAAACTGATTGACTTCTTTGACTAAGTAGCGTACCACCTTCACATGACCCTAAAAGAGATGTCAATGTCAGATCGAACACAGACTCTAACAGGATTCAATAAATCTACACAGTGTGAACTTTGACATTAATTAACATTAGAGCCACAAAGTAAACTTAATTGCATGTTTGCACTAAAAATGAAAAAAGAAAAAGGTAGGCTGTGGTTCTGAGGAGTTAAATCTACATTGTTCATTCTTTTGGGAGTGGGCGGGGGAACCAGGTATTGAACTCAGGAGCACTCGATCACTGAGCCACATTCCCAGCTCTATTTAGTATTTTATTTAGAGACAGGGTCTCACTGAGTTTCTTAGCACCTCGCCTTTGCTGAGGCTGGCTTTGAACTCTTGATCCTCCTGCCTCAGCCTCCCCAAGCTGTTGGGATTACAGGAATGTGCAACAACAGCACCAAATAATGCAAAATCACTCTGAGGAGAAATAGTTCAGTATCTAAGTAATGTTTAAAATCTTTTTTTTGGTACCAGGGATTGAACCCAGGGGTGCTTAATCACTGAGCCACATCCCAGCCCCTTTTTATATTTTATTTTAGAGATGGGGTCTCATTGAGTACATCACTAAGTTGCTGAGGCTGGCTTTGAACTCTTGATCCTCCTGCTTCAGCCTCCTGAGCCTCTAGGATTACAGACACGTGCCACTGTGCCCGGCTCAAAATCTTATTTAACATTCAACAGTTGCTTCACTTTCCCCAAAATGCACCACTGCTCTCTACACAATACCTATAATTCAGCCAGTCTGGATAGACAGCTGATAGTATTTAAGCTGTTAGTCTTTAAGATATGTCCTCTATTACCTCTATTTGGTCCTTTTTTTTTTGTAGCTTTTATAAGGTATCCTTTAACTGCTCAAATGCCACTACCCTCATTTCCTAATGATCTCCCTAAATTTTTTAGTCTTTAGCTTTAACTATTTACAATGGGAAAACTGACACTTATCTGACTTGGGCATGGGATCTCACCTCCCTGATTAGGTTCCATTTTTTAAAAAAAAAAAGAAAGAAAGAAAAGAAAAGAAAAGCCTAACTGTTGCATCCTATCTAGCATAATATTACAGTCATTACAATTTCATATAACAGATACTCAATAAATAGTAGAATGAATACAAAAGATAAGCACTGTTCATAGGAAGTTAAAATGCCCTATTACAAAGATATATATGCATGCCAGACATTAAGAGTAACAACTAATAATAGAGAAATTACTAATATTTAAGGGTAATGACATATAAATATATATGTCAAACCAAATGATAAAGACAATAAAGGACTATAGAACTTCTATAACCTCTAGGAGATCAGAGATCTCAGTGTGAGTGCAAATGGAATGGAAACAGTTTATAAAGGAGGAGAAATTTAAAGTACCCAAAGAATGAGGAACTTTGGAGAAAAAAAAAAAAGAAGGACTTGGCATTCTTGATGAGAACAAAGGTTATATGAGATAAAGAAGAAAAAGATCAAGCAAGGAGAGAATTCATAAAGGGAGATGATACCTAAAGCACTATACTGGAGTGGCTTTGAATACCAAACTGTTGGAATTTCAAAGACTTCAGAGACTGTAGAGTTCTTAAAAGAGAGTAGTAATGTAGTGGAGTAGTTAGGAAGATTAACTTGATAATAATATGTTAGCTTGTTTAGATTAGAGGTAAGTAGCCATTGAGAAAGAGTAAGTTTGACTGTTGAAGAAAAACACAAGACAATTGGATTTAGGTAGTCCAGAACATCTAAGGAAACAACAGAATAAAAAGAAAGGTCTGGCAATGTACTTCAGTACTATGTAGAGTGCCCTAGTTCAATATCCAGTATCACCACACACACACCCACACATCAGAGAGAATAACAGAAGAAATTACTTCTTGCAATTTATATATTAGAACTGATCAACATTTTGGAATCTACAGAGAATTTCACTTACATTTCACCAAATGACAAAATTCAAAAAGCACAGAATCCCTGAAATAGTGATCTGGTTTTCCCAATAACAAACGAAAATTACATTAGGAAATCAATGAGATTATTAACCCAATCATTTTACTTATACCAGCTTTTACTATAGAAAATAACAGTTTCTTTAACTTTCATCAAATTCATATTTCTACTTCTAAAGGTAGTATATTTGAATTTTTACAGTTTAAAGTATCAATATCTAGATTTTCATTTCTTTTTTTTTTCCCTAAAAATGATTATGCCTGCTGTGGTGGCACACACCTATAATCCCAATGATTAGGCAGGCTGATTGCAGGAAGATTGCAAATTTGAGGCCAGCCTTGGCAACTGTCTCAAAATTTAAAAAAAAATTTAAAAGAGGTGGGGATGTGGCTTCATTGATAGAATACCTTTGGGTTCAATCCCCAACACTGCAAAAATAAATGCATATGTACACACACACATAAAGTAAATTTTTCTCTACAGCAATACACAAAAACATCTATATACAAGTAGTTCAAATTGGTTACTCTTAATTGGATTTACAGCGAAAGATTAATACCACAACTAAATTTTGAAAATACTACTTACAATAGCTTTCTAAAAGTTTACTTAGCTTTGATGTCCAATGTGGATAATATTTCTAGCTTTTCCATAATACCTGTACTTGTCCATCTTTCATTGTTGCTAACAGTAATTATTTGCATATTTTATCACTTGCTTTCACCAAAGGTTCTAAATTACAAATTGAGAGTCTTCAGTAATCACTGGACCATATACACGTTCTAGCAGAAAGGGAAAATATCCAAGTAAAAGGGAATGAAAAGACTTCTACCTTTCTAAATGCTGCCATAAGAGGAGTTATTTTGCGATTATCTGCTGCATCTACATCTGCACCTGCTTGCACCAGTAACTGAACCACATCGAGGTGTCCACCATTTGCTGCTAGCCACAACGGAGTGTTCCCCTTCTTGTTACGTACATCAATATGAGCTCCCCTAAAAATGAATGACACAGAGAGCACTATCTTAAATGAAATGGAATGTAATAAAAATCAATTATACCTATGTGAAAATTTCTGAACAGATGAAAACTGTTCTTAATATTAGAGGACCAAAATAGTTCTCTCAGAATTACATGACAATTTCCAGCCATCAAATCAAATAAATTTCATATATCCAATAACTGATTGTATTTTTAAAATAATGACTACATAATACTGAGTTTTAAAACCTAAGAATGTGAAAATTTATTTAGTGAAAAATAGAAGTATATCCTGATAACAGCATAATCGATATACTAACACAGTATCCTAGAGACAAAAACCAGTATCCTCTGAGGCAATCATACCTGTTTCAGATTATTTTTATCCATTTACTTGGACTGTGTATGTCAGAAAATAATGAAGTCAAAGAATAAATGTAGATTTAGCACTCAGTTGGTATCAAAGTAGGTAAGAAGATACATGGCAGTAAAAGTAGTTAATAATCATAGTTAATAGTAGTCAGTACCAAATACTACTGTTTAGGGTACCATGCGAAGGTCTTTAAAGTAGAAAATCCAAGTAAGGAGGACAAATGTATTTAGGAAACTGGCAGGCAACTTAAAGTGAAAGTAAAAACTATCCTGGATCCTCTCTGATACCTTGAACAGTTCTACAACTGACACCTAAATTCTTAACTACTGTAAACAATAAGAAAATCAACAAGGAAGTCTTAGATCACTGCCAGAGTTTTAAGACTTGAGAGTAATACTCTGCAAAACTCAAATTGTATGGATGACAGCAACTGGATGCTTAAAGAGCTTATTATAACACTTTAAAAGTATATGCATACAAGAAAGGAAGAAAAATTATTTTAGGTTGCATTGAAATACAGACAATGTACCATAGCCCTGGATGAATAAAAAATAACAGGTTTGAAAAAAACACTTATAGTTCATAGAAAAAGTAATCACACTTGATTTTTTAATAGTGCAACTGCCGAGAGAGAATAATAATCACTGGTAATACTTATGCTCATAATATGAAGGATAGGAAAGATATAGTAAGTAATATCATACCTGCCAATGAGAAGCTCACAAAATTTATAATGCCCTTTATCTGCTGCTATGGTTAAAGCTGTATCTCTTGAGGAGGGCACTGGAGGGGCATTAACATCAGCACCTTTATCCAGAAGTACTCGGCCCACCTCTGCATATCCACCAGAGGCAGCTTCCATTAGTGGTGTGAGACCAGTCTAGGTTTAGTGAAAAATAAAAAAACATGGAAAAGACTAGAAACAGCCAACATGGAACAAAATAACAATATGATGAAGCAATATGGAATAGCTTTTATAAAGATTCACAACTAAATTTCACCATCAACACTTATTAGTCTGAATTATAGTCTGATCTACTAAAAGAAGATAATTACACCTAAAATCAATGATATTGTTGTAATGAGAATATGAATGAGATCCAACTATGTGACCTCTATCTGGCACTAAATAAATTTTCCTCTCTGTTCTCTTTCAAAATAGCACATCTTTTTCAGCTGATAATCCTAATAACAATAATACCTACAAAAATGTGTTGCTGAGTTATTTTCAGAGTTAATGCTTAAGTTAAACAAATGATTTCTATTATTATCATTATTTTATGACTATTATATTTTCGGTACTAAGGATTGAACCCAGGGGCACTTTATCACTGAGCAACATCCCCAATCCTTTTCATTTTTTATTTAGAAAGGATCTTAATAAATTGCTGATTATCTCACTAAATCATGGAAAATGGCCTCAAATATGCAATCCTCCTGCCTCAGCCCCCTGGGATAACAAGCATGTGCCACTGCTTGAACTTTGATTCAATATATATGTAGGAGATAAATGTTAATAGAAAGTACTAAAAATTAGGGCTAGAATTGTGGATCAGCAGTAGAGTGCTTGCCTAGCATTGGAAGACACTGGGTTCAAAATTCTCAGCACCACATAAAAATAAATAAATAAAATAAAGGTATTGTGTCCAACTACAACTTAAAAAAAAAATTTAAAAAAAGAAAGTACTAAAAGTATAATTATCATATTGCTACCAATACACCTTAAATATGAAAGCAGCAAATTTCATGGGTAAATCTCAGACTTTTTCTTACCTTAGCTCTGTGTTCAACATTTGCTTTTCTATCAAGCAGAAGACTAACCACTTCAGTTCTTCCTTGGAAGCAGGCTAATGTAAGGGCAGTGTTCCGATTGGTTTCTATTTGAGCATTTATATCAGAGCCCATGTCCAACAGGAGCTTAACAGCAGCGGTATGCCCATTCATAGCTGCTAACATCAGTGGAGAAATGCCCAATTTGCTACCAGTTCTGGGGGTGAGCATTATGGTAAGAACAGAAGGAAAAAAATATATATTACACTAAAGAACTGGATGATGATAAAGAATTTCAATAAGATTATTTATTTTGCAGGATTATTTAAAAATTTAACCATTTTTCTGTCTTAGTAAATCTTTCAATTTATTACCAAGTCTCCTTTAAAAATCTTTTTATTAGATATTTTGTCTTTATCTCACTCAAACATAATAACCTGGGCTAGAAAGTTATTAAGTTACTCATAAGATAATAAACTTTTTTCTTTTAATTGTTGAGGCTACCTTCAAACTTGTGATCTTCCTGCCTCAGCCTCCTAAGTCACCAGAATTATAGGCATGTGCTACCACATGCAGCTGAACTTTTTATCTCTTGGCACATATTTGCTTGCTTAACAAAAATTAAGCAAATTGTGTCTAAGTTTAGTGCCACTGTATGAAATATAGTATATTTTCCAACTTATATGTTAAGTTTTAATTACTTAAATAAAATAAATCTTAAAAATCTCTTCACAATTTATATTTTAAAGGCCTAAAAGTGGCATGAAGAATAGGTGTTCTACAATTACCTGAAACATAACATTGTATCTAAATAAATGGCTTACAGTGAAAGAATAAAACTTGCCTAGAATTAATCTCAGCTCCTGCATTTAGTAATATTTTGATGATGTTCACATAGCCACCAGAAGCAGCCAGGCTTAGAGGTGTGTAATCAGAAACATTCCTGTGCTCTTTATTTGCCCCTCGAGCTAACAACAGCTCCACCACCTGGAAAGAAAAAAAGAAAGCAATGTGTTTTCTTATGGTGGGTAAGTCATTTTCAAGGTGTATATTTCTAATCCACGCCCCACTCACTTTTTTTGTGGTTTATCGTATAACCCAAAGAGAACTTTCCTTCATTTATCCTCTGCCCCAAACCAGCCTCAAATAATAGCAAGAGGTCTTAGCAGCAAAGAGAGAGTTTGTCAAGTAAAAGCCATTTAGAAATCTACTGAAAAGATATAGTATTGTCCATGGAGGACCTAGACCTCAAAATTGTTGAGAGATGCTATTCTGGAAATCAGTGTTTCTGGGTTATTCCACAACATAGTACTAAAGTAGAAGTAATATGGGACAGATTTTTTTTTTCTTCATTTGTATATATGAATGTATTTCAAATAATTTTAAACCTTTCAATTGGTAACTAGATTTTTTAAAACTAGAATAAAAGGTAACAAACTATCTTTTAAAATTTTATGAAAATTTACAAATATACAAGAGTTGAGAAAATTTTATATATATTAACTATCTAGATTTTACCATTAATATTTTATTAGGCTAAGTCCTATTTAGCTATAGGATTTCTGGATGTACAGTTTTACAAGAAACTGAAAGAACTTTCCCAAAAGTGGTTGTTCTATTTATACTCCTATAAACAATGCATGAGTTCTGGTTGTTCTATATCCTCAGCAACATTTTTTATTACCAGTCTAACTTTATATCCATTATAGAGGATGTGTGGCAGTATCCCATTGGGTCTCAACTGCCTTTTCCTGATAACTAAAAATGTTTAGGATTTATGTAAGTGCTTATTGGCCATTCATCCATCATTTGCCCCATGCCATTTAAAGTACAAAACAATCCTTTGAAACAGGTATTATTATTTTCATCTTCATTTTACACAGGAAAGTTAAGATCGACTCCAAACCATAGCTGGCTCCTAACTTTGCTCTTACTAATAACTACATTTATTATTTCCCAGTTCATGTTTTTGCTAATATTATTATATTATCATAATAATAATTATTATTTACTATACTATATTATACCCAATCAGCACTTTTTTGGGGGGAGGGTGGTTTTACTGGGGATTGGGGTATTGAATTCAAAGAACTTGACCACTGAGCCACATCCCCAGCCATACTTTATATTTTATTTACAGATGGGGTCTTACTGAGTTGCTTTGTGCCTCAATTTTGCTGAGGCTGGCTTTGAACTCATGATCCTCCTGCTTTAGCCTCCCAAACTGCTGGGATTACAGGCATGTGCCAACATGCTCCAGCCCCAATTAGTACTTTCACTAAGGTAAAAACTGGAAAATAATAAACGTTATATTAGTGAAAATACTAACTGGGATATAATAAATGCTTTCTTTTGCTTATCAGCTAAAATTTTATTTATTCGAATAAAGCTATACCAAATTTAAATATGACTTTCACATTTTGCTTTCAGAGCCAGTAAGATCAGGCAGCTTGACAAGGTATAAAAACAAAACAAAAAAATGATATTAGGCTATTTTATTTTACAGAGTTTTTTAAAGTCAATATAGTATAAAACTCTAAATTTCAAATTTGTGAAGTTCTCTTGAGTTCCATTATCTAAAAATTTGTTATTTTTATAGTAAAGCTGGCTAAGTTTAACTAATTATTTCAAAACAATTCTAAAGACAACAAATTAAAGCAATGAGATGTTTATAAGCTAATTATCATCTGAAAGACTTTCATAATAAACCTCATCTGTAGCATTTTAATAAGAATATGTAACTCAGAACCACAGTATTATATTGGCTTTATTATTATCTTCAAAAGAATATCTTGGATTCAACACTGAAAATTTTGTTAATATATGCAGCAAGTATGATTTCAACCTGCATAACAGAAAATTTCAGTTAAGAAAAAATTCACTTTTATTACATTTAAAAAGAGAATTAATTATTATGAGCTTTACAGTTCAATGGTATTTAACTGAAAAATTTATGCCCTCATATTTGAATGTAGGATTGACAGGAATCTCTATTTTTTTCCTATGTAGTAGAAATAAAATTTATCAAATTGTTTACTTCCAACTGTCTTACCTAATATTTGGTAAAAAAAAAACTTTCACCACACCCACCACCTCCACTGAGGATTATGGAAGAATGAAATAACATGATCAGAAGAAACAACACACAATAGAAACAAGTCTTTGCTTTCTCTTGACAGATCATCTCTAGTAGCAAGTGAATCTAACTATTCACCCATATTATATCTACTCCAAATCCAACAGGAAAAAATTGCAAAAACAGTCAACCAAAAGCAAAAACTGTCTATTAAAAAACTGTATGTATGTATGTATGTGTGCCTGTATTATTGTTAGTCTAATTCTTTTTAATCTATAAGATAATGGATAACCATCCCCTATCTTCCTATACTTGCTCCATTTTACTAGCTTTCCCATTCTTTTGTGTAGAAATTGCTTCCCAAATATTTTTTTTTGTTAGTTTATTTTAAAAACTTAGTGAGTTTAACAATGAGTTCAATATAACCTTTGCTATGACTGGTAAAGAAGGAAGGGCTAGTTTAAAATGCTCAAATAGGAGATAATAATTGGCTGGTCAGAGCACTTTTTTGATATAACATTTCAGAAATGATACTGACATAAACGGTGGAGAAACTAAGACAGTGAACAATAAGGAAAAGGTATTCTCTGGCTAACAACTGAAAGAACAGGACCTGTTACCCACAGAATGTAGGTAACATTGATGAACAAAGACTCAAACATCTGAACATAGAAGAGGGTATAAACTTTTGTTCATTTGTTCAAAGAACAGAATTAAGAACGGTGGGGAAACTTGACAACTTGATGGGAAAGGAGAGGAGTGGAAGGGAAGGGAAAGAAGATGACTTTTCAGTAGGAAACTAATCTGGATGACATAGGATGCTTCCTATACCTAATATTCATCTTTTCCCTGATGGAAAAGTTGTGAATCTACAGAGACTGGTTTTTAAACCTTAGATCCCAGTTACATAAGAATGGATCTGGAGAATAAAAGTTAAAGTTATCCAGCTAATTTGCCCCCACCCCCACCCCCACCCCCAGTACTGGGGATCGAACCCAGGGCCTTGATCAAGCTAGGCAAGTGCTCTACCACTGCATTCACCCACAGTCCTTCTTATTTATTTTGGACACAGGTCTCACTAAGTTTTCCAGGTTGACCTCAAACTTGTGATCTGTCTGCCTCATCCTCCCAAGTAGCTGGTGTTGCAGGCATGCATCACCACACCTGGCTATTCAGCTAATTATTAAACGCTAGAAGACACACAAGTGTGTGTAAACCTATAATTTCTTAGACCTACTTGATTAACACCAGTTATTCTAAGACAGAAAAAGAGAAGTGAAAATAAGCCCTGTTCATCAGGTGCTTTCCAATCTGATTTAGAATGTCTTAAGGCTTTCTTTTCTTTTGGTACTGGAGATTGAATCCAGGGGCACTTTACCACTGGGATCTATCTAGTTCTTTTTATTTTGAGATGGGGTGGGGGGGCAGTGTCTCACTAAGTCATTGAGGCTGGTCTTGGACTTTCAATCCTCTTGCCTGGTCCTCCTGAGTTCCTGGGATTACAGGCTGTGTGTCATTGAAGTTGGCTTTAGTCTTTCTCTTAATCTAAGTGCAATATACAGGAATTCCTAAGACAGGTACTACTTTTAGATTTTTTTTTAGGATTCCAAAAAATATGACTTCTCTGGGAGGTAGCTTATATTAACACTATATTTACTAATAGATAATATTTGAATTACTGTGATAAATGTAAACATCAAATCCTTGTTCCTATAGACACAAAGATCACATAAGCATTTTTTAAACAAGAAAGGAAAAAATTTACACTAAGGGGAAATTTTACCTCCTGTCTGCCGCCAGAGCAAGCCAAGGATAGTGGTGTGTCCTTAGTTCTTTCTGATTGGGCTTCAATGTCTGCACCATTGTCCAGCAATATTTCCACAACTCCAACATGACCAGCCGTAGCAGCCAAGATGAGTGGAGTAAAACCTGGAGAAAAATAATGATCTCACTATGTGCTAAGCCAAAGAACAATACTATTTTCCAATATACCTAAGCATCAAAAAGGGGCTCAAGAAGTAATATTTCTAAATACGTAAAATTTCTTTCACAAATATTACAGAAAATAAAATTAATAAAAGTGAGGCCTACCTTTTTTGTCTCGGTGCTCAATACTAGCTCCTCGCTCTAGCAGTGTTTGTACCAGTTCCTCATGGCCACCAGCACAGGCAAGCGTTAGTGCCGTGTCATGATTACTCTCAGTCTGTAAAAAATTAATTTCTTATTAGCTTATTAATTTTAAAATGTTAACAGTAAATACACAGAGATACATGTGTACCACTATAATATCAAGTACTTGAATAGTAAGGTTCATTGTTCTTTTCCCCCCATTAGTGTCCAACCAGTAACTTTTTTTAAAAAACTACAAGTTAACACTTGAACTCCATGGGCAATTTTAAAGTAAATACCAGGGGAAAAGGCATGACCTTCTACTTTTTTTCCTAGTATTTACTTTAAGAATTAACCTTCTACCATATACTGTTTTCAACTACATGATTAATGAAACAGTGTGGATTCATTTCTGCTTCAGGCCATTAATGGAATAACACAGACTAGATTTATTTTCCTACTAGATTTATTTTCCTATCTCAAACAACTTTAAAAAAAAAAAAAAGACAACTATTTGAAACGACTGTTTAGACAGGTAATGCAGGACAGGGATCCCTAAAAATAGAAATGATTAACACAACTTAACTGCCTGGAGAGTTTCCAGGCGCAATGTATGGAATGGGTGCCCAGAACCTGGCAATCTCCCCTAATTGAGAAGATAGTCTGGAGAGGTCAAGCTGGCTAGAATTCATGGCGCAGATTACTGAAGAGGAGAGCACTGCAGAGAGAGAGAATACTCTGGAGTTCTGCAGGGGGGGTCTCCTCAAATCTTCAGCTGAATTCTGATGAGCACATGTGCATGAGGAAATTATTGGAGGCCAGAAAAAAGATCACCAGAAGGGATTAAGTTGAACACCTAAAGCTGGAACACAAGGCCAGGAATAGTTTGGTTCCTACCCACCAGAGTAGAAACACATTAAAACACACAAGGTATCAAGTAGAATCCTCAGTAGTGAGGCCAAATTAGTTGTTCTGGACCCACCTAACAATGCTGAAAAGCAAGTCTTGAAATGAAAAAATAGTTTCCAAGTAACTTAGCTATGTTTAAGACCAAAGCCCCCAGATAAAAAGAAACAAAAAAATATATATTCTGTGTACTTTGAAACACCAAGACTATTATTATTTAGACATGACAAGTCGATATATGATTTAACATCTGCTATGATAGTGACCAATACTGGATTTACTAGTAATCATAATCTATCATAGTTCAAATACTGATGTAGTCAAGTACCTAATTTTTCATACATTTAGTACTCCAAACCGGTGTTGTCTAAAAAGATAATGACTAGTGTTATGTGCCTAACTGAACTTGAAATATGGCTCATGACTATGGCTATGACTGAGGGAATTAATTTTTATTTAATTTAATTGAATGACTGAGAGTCAATGTATTAGAAAACTTTTTAGGGAGTCTGGAACAACTTGAACAAATGAATATACTATTCTGACTGTACATTTAATCAAAACCAAATATGAATGAGTATTTGCAGTGCAAATTCAAATTAGATATACTTTAAAAGAATGATATCACGGGACTGGGGGAAAGGGTGGATTTCTGGAATGAGTGAGAGACTTTTGGTACTAAAAACAGGAAAGTCTCAGGATGAGTTGATCTCTCTTAACCACAGAGATATAACATTACACATATGTATCTCTACCAAACTGTATTATGTGCCCATCACCTTCAAAGCATTTAAAAGGTTTTGAATGTTTTTAAAAGGTAATGAATGTGTTCACTCTCCATCTGTAAGTGATGCTTTGCCCAGGAAATAATAACTGTTAATTAAGTAGAATAAATGACAATAGTTGTAAAAGGTCACAGATTCAAAGGCTATTACTAATAAAAGAAAGGAATATATATATGAAATATGTATTATTTCTATACAATGTTTATAATATTTAATGTAATCAATACAAAAAGGCATATCCTCCCAGAATGTAAATCACTCTAAGAAACAAACTCCATTATAAAAATAAAAACGAGACAAAAGGCAAAATCGATAGAGTCAAGAAATAAGAAAAAGCCTACTAGTCAGTGATGAAGAGGGAGACCGCAAAAGCTGCTCTGCAGAAGAGGCTGGCAGAGAGCAGAGCTACTGACTGCAGAGATCAGGGATGGCCACAAGGGAGAGATGCACCAACTACAACAATGGAGAAGGACATGAAACTTACATGAGTGACAGCTCTGATTGTGTTATAGTATTTGATCTTCATTTCAGGTTTATAAAAAAGAAATTATTATGTCTGATTTCAGGAAAAAAAAGAGACAAAATGGGGAGAATAACTTTCTAATGTCCACACAGCTAATAACTGGTAGAGATAGGCTTTAAAAACCAAGAGGATTTTCTTGATAACAAAATCCTGCTCTTACCATTACATGATAAGCAGCCTAACACACTGCAGATTGAAGTAAATATAATGTTAAGCATATCTGTTTTATGTCCTCTGTTAGTGTATATGCAGACAAGTCAATTTTATGATGAAATTTATAGGTTTTAAAAATTCTTTCAGGGCTAAAGGAAAATTTATGAAGCTGTGCTGATTTATAAAAAGAAGACACACTCAAAATTTGAAAAAGATAAGCATGAAAAATTTTTGTGGATCAGTAACACGTATTTTCCCACGTTATTAAAAAAATTAAACTAACATTTATTAGGCACCTTTGATAATAAAAGAACTCTGCTGTATACTCTAAGGTCAACAAAGAAAATTTAAGTCCTGCTCACTAAGATCTTACTGATTACTGTACAGGGCAAATTTACATTCAAAGTATGAGAGAAGTATTATATATTATGAGTGCAAGGGAAAAATATTTGAAGCTGAGAAAGGAGAGCAGGTCAAATTCCCTTAGGAATCAAACTTAAAAAAACAGCTCCACTGTATTTCTACATTAAGGAGAAATTAAAGCCACTAATATTTTATGACACTCTTTTAAGAGAATAACAAACATAAGGTTCTGAAGTGAGGCATCCATATCCCAAACATGCACCTGTACAATCCCCCAATGCTATTACCCTGCTTCACAATACATCAATAAACAAATTAACTGATATAGAAGTGTGGGTTGATGGCAACATGACTGACAAGATACAGAAAAAAATCAGGTATTTTGAATATTGCCAATCAAAACAATAACAGTACAAACAATGAGTTTCTGGAAGGCAAAGTTTGCTTAATGAAAAGATCTGACTTAAATTATGTCCCACAAAATTATGTTACAATAGAGTGGTCAAGAAGTTACATTTCTTTGTCATATATCTATGAAAAAGTTTCAAACCTGAAAAAGGAAAAAGATGCCCAGGGCTTGCTTACTGGCTCTTACAAGTTTACATTTTAAAGAAAGTATTTAGTTCATGATACTGTATAGTATTAATTCATACCTAACAGATATTGTTCCGGTGAATTCTGCCTTAGGGAAAAATGATGAAATTGTATTCAATATAAATAACATTATGTAAGTTCTCACTATAACTAAATCTGGAATAGTAATTCATAGTGAAAAAAAATCACAAGACAGATGGTAAGCTTTTAATCTTCAAGAAAAGGCCACTTTTAATGAGCTGATATACTGATAAAAAACATACCTAACTTCTCTATAAAATAAGATGTGCATCTATTAATTAGTCTTCAAGTAAATAAATTACTTTGGAAACTATAAGGACTTAAAGAGCTGAACTGTTAGAATTCCAGACTTCTCATTTTTTAATCCAGTCAGGTTATATGTGAGTTTAAAAAGTAAAATAGCACTTTAGGGTATCTAATAAATGAAAATAATCAGTAAAATGAATAACCTATTTGAAACTAGTTCATATGAACATGCAGAATACATGTATTCTAAAGCAGAAATATTTTAACGGTAGCATATTACATATAACTGAATTAATTTTTCCCAACCTCCTTATATTACAATAAAACTCTATACTTCAAAATCAACAGGAATAGAGAAAAATATCCAAATGATGTTTAAAATATTAAAAGTAAACAATTTCACACACTTTACAACTTAAGTCTTGAAATATGGATGATTTTTGTGTGTGTGGTACTGGGGTTTGAACCCATAGCTTCAAGAATGATAAATAAGCCCTCTACCACTGAGCTGCATCCCCTTAGTCTTGATATGTCAAGTTAAAGTTACTATCTACTCTCCTTAGAAGATAATAACACATGTTAATTATTAAAAACTGGGGGAAAAAAGCAAAATTGCCTAAGAAAGCATTTTTTCCATACTTAAGTTCAATAAAAGCTTTTAGAAATATGAGTAAAACAAAGGTAAGCAGTTGAGAAATAAATGAAGGTGCTGGGTTTGATGCTGCATGCCTGTAGTTCCATCTACTCCAAAAGCTGAGGCTGGAAAATCAAAAGTTTAAGGCTAGTCTGAGCAACTTAGGAAGACTATCTGAAAATTAAAAATAAAAAGGGATGGGAATCTAGCTCAATGGTATAGGTCCCAGGCTTAAAACCCTAGTACCACCAAAAAATAAATGTATACGTGTGTAAATATATATGTAGAGAGATGAGGGACATGTGACAACAAAGATGTTGGAATAACTTCTTGAGATTTTCTGCCTTTTTTTTTTAAGGTACTACAAATTAAACCCAAAGCCTCACACATGCAAGGCGAACACTCTACCACTGAGCCACTAAGCCAGACCTCCAGCCATGGAGTAAGTTTTGTATCCCATGAACCAAACAACTGGTTCTTTCTCACATTTAGTGGTAACTAGACTCAATCAAATTTCACAAAATACAATAAGAAAGAAAGAAAGAAAAATTCAATTAACTCAGAGGTTTTCAATTCTAAACCTTGGAAGTCAGATTTATAGTGTCATGTAAAATCTGCAGTTATTGGTTTATTTATTTGGCTTTGGGGACTGAATCCATCACTTTGTACGTGCTAAGCACACACTCTACCACTGAGTCACACCCCCAGTTATAAAATCTGTGGTTTTAAAAAAAAAAAAATCCCTACTTGATTCCTTAGTTTCTCTATGTCCAGTACTCAGGAATAAGTTTTGTTACATCCCTCAAAATAAAGATCAGAGCCATATTATTAAAAGTTTTGGTAAAATAGTACTCCAAATAATTCCTTTGAGTTATAATTTACTTATTTTTCCTAAAACACATTTTGGTAACAAAACAGTATGTACTATTAATCTTAAAATTGAAACTATCCAGACAGACCTGATTCAATAAAACCATTATGAGCGTACACAACCCCATGGAACACTCTTGTACACAGAAAGTGATTTCTAGTTGAAAAACATGGGTTTCAGGAACATTATACAGAATGCAAACTCTTTAGCATTCTTCCAGGTACAGAAATTAAATATAAGGTTCCTGCTAATTCCTGTTAAGAACATTAATTCCTGTCTATAATTTTCAATTCAAGGAGTGTAAGGATTGACCATATTTCAGAATCATTAGCATTTTATAAAAGGAGTCATATGTTGAAGCTTTAAAAAAATAACACTTCTTTTGTTCATTTTTCTCATCAGTAAATTGGGAATAAAACAGTATCTACTTCATGAGGTTATCAAAAAGATTGTTAGTTTAAGTTAAAATACCAGTTGAGCATTCCTAACATGAAATTTTGAGTGCTGACATCATGCTTGAAAAGTCTCAAATTTTAGAACTTGGGATTTGATGACAGATGTTCACTAGTAAGATCTATGTAAATATTCTAAAATCTGAAATCTACAACATTTCTAAGAAGATCCCAAACATAAAGAATTCACAATCTGTATTTGTAAAGTGTTAAATGAACAAAAGATCTAACTACTAGAGAAAAATTCAATTCTTAAAAAAAAGATGAATCTTGGTATTTTTTCATTGTATCATTTACCTGCTACAGCAGTCTTGTCTTATATAAACTAAAATATCCCACTATGTAAGAACTCACATAATTTTTCTTTGAAAAAAAAGGTTTCAGATGGATTATGCACAAAAAAATCTGTTTTTTAAAATATATATTTTCGGGTTGTAGGTGGACACAATATCTTTATTTTATTTTTATGTGGTGCTGAGGATTGAACCAAGTGCCTCATGCAGGCGAGACAAGTGCTGAATGTACCACTGAGCCACAATCCTAGTCCACAAAAAAATCTCTATTTTTATCACTTAAAATTTCCTGCTTGATATAAAAACTAGTAAAATTTTTAAAATAAGTGAAAAAGACAAAAGTTGTGAACAATTATTTCTGAATATTATTGTGGTATTTCTTCTAATACAGGAACTTTGTAACATCACAGCACTTATAGTAAACTGCACAGAAAATAATTTAACTCAGCCTGGGTATTGTGCCACACACCTATAATCCCAATGACTTCAGAGATTGAGGCAGGAGGATTACAAGTCCAAGGAAGACTGTCTCAAAATAAAAAGGGCCAGCAGTATAGTTCAAAGATAAAGCACTGCTGGGTTCAACTCCCAGTACCACAATAAACACACACACAAACAAGAAGAAGAAAAAAGTAATTTAACTCAGGTTAGGCTAATTCAACAAATGAAAAACCTCAATGTAGAAATCAGATAAAAACGGATACTTTTAAGGAAGCAGTCAAATCTTTCTTTTTAGGCATTCCTACTATGCTTAAAAGGCAAAAACTTTATAAATTACCTTTCAAGGTAATAGTGGTAACTAGTTGAGTAGTAAAATCATTTCACCTTGACTATAATAATGTCCTTTGGTAAAATCACGATCACACTTAGACACACATCTTCTGTGCCTATTTCATTTGAAATAGATACTAATCACTTTAAAAGAGATTAGTTTTACTTTATCAATTCTTGCTCCCATAAAAATTCAAAAAATATTTATGGCTAAATATAATAGGCTTAAAGCAAAAGAAAAAAATCTGGGGGAAGTAATGCAAATTCAACACCAAGTTTAACCCAATTATACACTGCTACCAACATTAATTGTAAGAATCTGTGGTTCAACACATGTGTGACTCAGAATGTTTTAGTTGTTTAAAAAAGAATGTACAGCATGGTACTTAAGAATGATGTCTACACACACACACACATACACACACACACACACACACACACACACACAACTGGGGATAACTGGGGAATGAATATACTAGGTCAAGTGCTCTACCACTGAGCTATACCCCCAGCCCAAGAGTGGTATTTTTGAAGTCAAACACACAATCTGGGTCCAAGCCTCACAACTTCTTAGTCAAATGAAGTGACTGTAAACAAAATGCTTGATCTCCTTCCAGTGTAATGAAGAACAGCTACCTCATATATGTATGTCTAAGGATTAGGATGAGATAGTTCCTTAAATTTCAAGTACTCAAGAAAAAAAGTTATTAACATATATAAAACAACAGACATTTGAGAAACAAGAACAGAAGTAAAAATAAAACTCCCTTTTCACAGTGTTATCAAGAAATATTTTAGTAAAAGAGAGATTTTATTTTTTAATAGGTTAGGAATATATACACTTAATGGTTCTCTCCCCGCCCCCCGCCCCCATGAAACTCAGGTGTTTTTTTGTTTGTTTGTTTGTTGTTTGTTTTTGGTAATAAACTCCCTCAATAATTAATCAAAATACAAAAACTATATAAACTACAAACATTTTCTCAGTCCTTAAGTCAATAAACGTTCACCTTGCTCAGCAGTCTTGTAAGTTAGGCCTCTTGGCCTTTCTTCAGTACAAAACACAATCTCACCTTACCCTGAGATTTCACAGTAAAATAATATTTAAAAGAAATTAGATAATAGTACTCAAGTTTTCTAAAGTGTAACTTAAAAATGGTGACATTTTTCACCTCCACACATTATTCTTTCAGATAATCCAAAGAGATAATAAGTACTTCTAATTCCCCTACAATCACTTAAATGCTAAATTTTATAGGCACAGATAGATTCACTATATATTTCAATCAGCAATATTAGAATTTGAAAAATATATATAAATGCAACTGAGTATATGTGATATACTATCAATAAATGCTAGAACACTTTTATTTTATATGAAACCCCTCACGCATTTTAAAGTATGTATTCAAATTTAGTATTAGAAGAAAATATTAATCTTACATTTCTTTTTATATTACATCCTTTTCTAAACTATAACAAAATTAAAAAAAAAATTTATATGGTAATTAAGGAAACTGGAACATCACAAAATTATCGACAATAGTCTCTACTAGGTATTTTATTAAAAACAAACAAAAAATTCATGATTTAAAATATATAATTGTGGCTCAAGTCTTCGACAAAGCAGTCTAACATGGCTTAAATCACTGAAGGTTAACATACTTAATGATGATATAATTCTAATGAAAAAACATCTCTCACTTAATTTGGAGCTTACCTGTGCATCAATATCAATGGCAGGGTAGATAGGTAGCATGGCTGAAGGAGAGATGATAGGACTTGGAGTTGGAGTCTGAGGTTGGGAAATGGAAGCAGCGATACTGTGGGTAGGAGTATTTGACATTGCAGAAGCTCTTCCACTGACTGCTGTTGAACAAAATAACTGCACTTAATATGGATGAAACATTGTTAGGTAATAGTTAAGAATTACTTATTAAAAAATATTAAGGACTTTTTAAAAATAACATGTTATGGGAGACTACTACAGCACTAATAACTCATATTCCTGGTTTTAACTGGACAATATAAATATGTATAGAGAGTAATCCATTTTCTAAGTAATAATCCACTTGAAAGATAAAATTCCCCACTTATATAAGTATAAAACCTTAATTCAAAACAACAGCAAAAACAAAAATATTTTTATGTACTAAAATTAAATACAAATGGAAAATTGTTTAACTTCTTAATTAGACATAAAATAAAAGGTAAAATAGTCCACATCAAAAAGGGAAAATAGTTGACTCACACAAAACCTCTTTTATTTTTATTTTTTTACTAACTACAGGTGGGGAATAATATGACTACATTCTACATTATAGCCCTAAAATGTAAATGTAATTTTTCAAATATAAAAATTTGATCCTTACATAGAAATAAATTTTCTCACAAGAAGAATTATTCTGAGGGGTCTTAAAATGCCTAACAATCAATCTGGCAATCACACTGATATATGAGGACAAAATTAAAAGACTAGGGTAGAAACAAATGTATACACACAGTTAACCTTCAAATATGGATTATTAATAGTTATTCTAACTAAGATTTTGCTGTGATATTATTTTCACCCAAATAGGTAATGTAAGTAATAGCTAGTTAAGTCAGGTGCATAGGATAAAATGAAGATTCAGCTGCAGGTAATTTATTTCCTCATTGACTCAATTCTGGAGTTAATGTGAACACCATTCCTTTTCACCCCACTATTAAAAATGCCATAATATATAAGTATGGGCATTAATTTTTGAGTGGTCAACAGGAGTGTGGGTGTGTGTTACCAAAGTAGTTATCAACTACATCAGACAGAAAGCAATCATGATTCACAACCGGATCTGAAACCAGGGAAAAGAGGTTACGATCCTGCCAAGAATAAAACTGAAATTGATCTCATAACAATTATAAACATGATTGTTAATTGAGAAATTTACTTTACATAAAATCCTTACTTCAGGCACAAACATACACTATACATTATAGCAACACACATTCTACAATTATACATTTTAAAGTTCACTTAAAGTCAAAGGAAAAATAAAGAAAACAAAACACTGTTTGAATCCTTAAGGATCCAGATCAAGAGAAAAGGGCATGTAAAATTATTATCTAATGACCTTGATATAATTATTTTATATGTTAAGAAAAAGATCAAGTAATTTAATATACATATTGTAGATATAAATTTTAAAATCATATATAGTTCTTAAAACAGACTCCATATCTTCTTTGATTAGATATTCACAAACAGAAATGCTAAATACAAAAAGTAGCTTAAACAGTATGAACACCAGTCTGTCCAAATCACTGATTTTTATTTTATGATACTAAATGGGTTAAAAAATATATCTATATAAGCTTTAGTGTTGAATGACTAAATTATAATTCACATTTCAACTGGTATAATTTAATTTAAAGGTTCTACTAAAATTGCATTTTTTCAAGTTGGTTGTTCTTATCAACTCATCTAAAAGGATAGGGAAAAAAAACCCAATCCTCTTATTTGACTTTCTTTTAGTACTTATGAAACTGGTTTACTAAAACTAAATAGCTGCCTATTACAAATGTAAATATTTAAGTACCTGAAGGAACTCTGGTATAAATCTTTACATGTGGGGCTTCATATCAGGTTAGTTTTAGAAAGAGAAAACGGCATGCTCAGGAAAATTTTAAGATAGGGACAGAAAGGAGGGAACTTAAGATCATAGCAAAGGCAAGATGTTAAGACAGATTAAACAGGAAACTAATTTTGCTTTAGCAAGTATAGAGAATAAGGAAGACTCAGATTTTGATTAATTGAAGTTCTAGAGAAAAAGAGATCAAATATTAAAAGTCTAATAAATGAGAACTAAGTAATAAATAACAGAGGCTATCATAGAGGGAGAGAAATAAATCTAAAAGCCTAATGTAGCTCTAGTACATTAGAAACCCAAAGAAATAAATGAAAGTGTATATATAAAAAGTGAAATATATATATTTCAGTTGAGCATTACTCAACTGAAAGGATATATACTACTAGAGAAGTTTAAAAAATGAAGTTGCAGAAAAAGAGTGTATGAGTTTGTGTATTTGTGTAAGTGTGCACACCTGCATATGCACCTGGGAACATGAGTGGTACTAGGGATTAGCTGCACGTAGATAGTTTAATTCTGCTCTTCCTCCTCTTTCATAAATGAGCATAAGAAAGAAAGTATTTTTATAGTATGACAAGTATTTGTCTTATATAAGTTATACCTGAAACAGACAAAAATTATGGGAGGTGGATACGAATCAACAGAAAAACTACTTTACAAACCTCTGATACTTCTCAACAGCATAAAAAAAATGTACAACTGACAAATCATTGTTGACAACTATGCCCAAGTACATTAAGTAAACTGACAGTATATAAAACTTTTAAACATTGATTGGTAAGGAATGTCCATTCTTCATTAAGTGGATAAGTAACATTTAATGCTATATATCTGGTAGTCAGACTGACAAAACAGAACACTATTATGATCTAAGTTAAAGGCCATGGACACAGGACTTAAGGATTTATGGCTATTGTGCTCTAATTTTCACAGAATACTTTAAAAACTTAAAATTTTATTACTTATTATTTTAACCAGTTTAGTGGTGACTAGCAATAACTTTCAAATCCACAGAAAAATCATAAACTTATCAATATTGGGATTTTTTACAGTTATTACTATTAATTATTGCTAGCATTTCTTCTTATTTCAAATTAAGATTAGCAGAGATCTTAATTTGAAGCAGAAATCTTCATTTCACCTATTATTGCTTCCACATATTACTGCTGAGGTTGAGACCAATAAAGACTGGGAAAATTTAGACCAGTTTTTAAATACAAACTTTGTCTCTTTAACTAGTTTCTTCATATTAGCAAATATCTAAACACTACAGAACTTATTTTCTTTTATTCTTTTAAAAGATGAAATTTACATAATGTATAATTTCATCATAATATGATATTACTGAAAAATAGTTTTAAGAGTAGACAAAGGCAGTCATCCAAGTATAAATAAATAAAAAAATGGGGAGAAATCAGAATAAAATTATCAAAATACAATTTATTCCCTTTGTTTTTTCTTTTCCTTTCCAAATTTCCTTCCTTTCTTCAAATTATCTTTCTCAGTATAACATTATTGTGGCAGAAAACCCTATCAAATCTCATTCCACAACTTTGTTACAGAACTCACATAAAATAAGCATCCAAATAAAAATCATTAAAACAGCCTTCTAAAGAACTACTTCTTGCCAATAAAACTAAATATAATGAAATAAGGTTTCTCTGCTGCACATTTAAAAATATATCATTTATGATACTATCAGGGGACAACATCTTCCATAATACAGTGAGAAAGAGACTACACATGTACATTCACAGGGGATAAAATCACTGACATACAGTATAATCAAACCCTATTTGGTTTGGTACTTTATTAATGTTGTAAAGATACTTAATTTTTTGTTGTTGTTGTTTGTTTGTTTTTAAATATCCATCAGGTTTGAAGTCTCGTGCATTAGGATATAAAGTATTTTTATTCACAGATTTAAATAAACTTTCTGATGTGTGTGCCCTACTATTTTTTACTTCAATTTCTATTAATTTTCCAGTTTATTTGTGAGAATACTGAGGCAAAAAAGCCAAAATTCAATTTTAGTGTCCTGAACTTAAAAGGGGGGAAAAACAAAAAACAAAAAACAAAAAAAGCAAAAATCAAACATCAACCCAATTACTAAAAAACCTAGATCCCCAGGCTACTCAGCTAAGCCAGAAAGCTTCAGTCATTTGTATTGAATGAAACTAATCTTTAATTCAACCTGTATCCGTCTGAAAACTTCTGAGATTGAACTAGTATTTCTAAAGATATACATGGGTCAAGAGTCCAAAAATAGTTTTCAAGTTGGGCAATGGCAAAAAATTCTGGAACACTCTTACTCGCCTTAAGCAAATCATATTTGATACCTGCTCATAACAATATAAACCCACCTGCCATGATGTCATCCAGCGTGTCATTGAGGGTCTGAGCAGGGCTGGCTACCATTAACCCTTGTTGTGTTTCTGTCAGAATTCCTTGCCCCAGCCCTGCCAACTGTGCTTGGCCCAGTACTGGCTGTCCAACTATCACTCCTTGCAGTTCTGTAAGATTTGCGATGGACCCTGGAGGCAAGGGACCTGCCGCCAGAGGCAAAGCTTGAGGCATCGCCAGAGGCTGGATTGGTGCAAAACCCATCTGAGCAGCAGTCTGCTGGGGTTCATCTTTAAGCAAAACAGGATCCACTTGCTGTAACCGTGCATAGTCTCCCTCGGAAAGCTGTTCTCCAACCCCAACAGGAGTCAGTAGTCCCAGGTGTTGGCAAGACTGTTGCTGTTGCTGCTGAAGTTGAATTCTTTGAGCTTTAACCTCTAGATACTGCTTTTTAAGCTGCTGCTGAGTTTTGAGTTGTAACTCTCGTTCTACTTTTTGTAGTTCCTCCAAAATCTTTTGTTTCTTCTGAATCTGTTCCTCCCTCGTTTTGTTCAGTTCCTCGATCTTCTCCTTGGTAAGTTGGTCAGCATGTGCCAGTTCCAAGGACTGCAGCTGTGCATTCTTTTCTATGGCTTCTTTTATCCTCTGTTCCAGTTCTGTTAACTTTCCCTGAGCCTCTTCTACAATGCTCTCTGGAGACTGATTGGTGATGTAACCCTGTACATCCTGGCTGTTTGCTGGCAAATGGCTGCTGGACTTTTGTTTAGAAGCAGCTGTGTGAAAAAGAAACCCCCTCAGAAGTGCACATGAATGGCATCCTCATTACAGAGTTACTGTTGGGAGGTTTAGTGCCAACAGTTATGCACCAAGTTATCATATTCATAGAAGGTGAAAATGCACTTTTAAGGAGTTAAAAACAAGTCCACCTTCTTTATCATAAATATAAAATGTATGTATTTTATGTGCATAGACTAATCTTTGAAAATTAATTTCAGAATTTTAAAACTATCACATGGCTAAAAATTAGACAATAGAGGGATGCAGGTTTGTGGTATCTAAGTGGTGCAATTAAAGAAAAATCTAATTATGTGTAAATATTTCATATGGTCATAAAGATGTAAAAACTCATCATAAGAACAGAAAAATAATGCTAAATTATTACGGTGCAGAGAAAACTTAGACCTCTACCTCAAGGTTTTTCCACATTTAATAGTCTGTGCCTTTTAAATACACACACATACACACACAGAGTGCCCCAAACCACTGAGAAGTATTAAGAAATTAAAATCCAACTAAAACATCTTTCTTTGATAGGGCCTATCATCTTCAAGACTGACAAAGGAAAGATATAAATTCAATATTCACACAGCTACCTGGCCAGTAGAGAATTGGAATTCAGTTTCTCTGGAAGAAAAGATGCTGGACTACGCCATCCACAGTTATCTTCTGACAGCCAGGTGAATAGACTGATCTGGCTACAGGTTTAGCAACCAATTGAAAAAAGTGCCAAGGCTCTAGGTTGGTAGAGTGATTGAAAAGAGCTGGTGGAAATACTTAGCATTCTTGTTGGGAAAAGAATATTGGTAGCCAAAACCAAAAAAAAAAAAATTGCATTGGTTCTTCAGGTTAAACTTAAAAAAAAAAAAATTTTTTTTTTGACTCAAACTGGTAGGTATAATGTTTGGGGACATAACTTAAGAACATGCATGGTGTAACATCCACAAGTCAAATAGGGATCTCAGAATTCTAGAGAAATTAACATGTCTATCTGAAATAACTTTGAATTATTGGTTGAGAAAAGGTATCCCAGATATAAAAATCTATATTAAACCAGTTTCTTTAAAATAAATTTTAATTTTTGATCCAACTTGATTAATCTTTATACCTTATATCATTAGATATTTAAGTAATTTATAAAAATATCAACCAACTATACCCAGCTTGACATTTTACATGAATAAAAATTACTATTTATTAGAGGAAATCATGGATAATTAGAATTCCATTAAAAATGAGCATCTCAATTTCTCCTTCTAATTCTAGCATAGATTAGCTCTATTACTATCTTTTCTCCCAATAACATCTTTCTCATTGGTTAAAAAAAAAAAAAAAGACTCTGTATGCCAACTTAATAAAAATTTATTTTTTTATGGAAAAATAATTTTAAATGGCTAGAATTTTTGTAATCTTATTATCAAATAGACAACATGTAAGAACTGTCTTTAGAAGTATAACTGACCTTTATTCCTAATGGGAAGAGTGGTGGCAACATTGGCAGGTGGTTTATCAGGCTCCTGAGGTGGAACAACCATGGGCAGTGCTTGAACTGGTACACGCGGTGCCTAGGACAACAAACACTAAATTGATTATTTCACCTTTGCCTACATAATACATTAAGTAATATGCTAATGAAGAATAAGATAGAGATTTATTAAAAATATTTTTAACAAGTCATCTTAAGAACATATTTACTTAAAATATGCTAGAGTTCAATTATTTTCCTTGACTTGTTCTTTGTTGGTGGGGGTGGTACTAGGGATTGAACCCAGGGAGGGGCATGTGCATGCTAACCATACACTCTACCATTGAGCTATACCTCCCAGCTCCTTTGACATTTTTCTAATGGGCTTTGAATTTAAGTTGCTGTTGTAACCTTCAGAAGAAATCAAAGCAAAATCACATCAATCTAGAATCTGAATGTAACACCAGATGTTCATTAATCATAAAAGATATAAAGAAAATTATATAATTTTAAAAATCTAGTTAAAATGAAACAATAAGCAAAAGAAAATAAAGGAGACACAATATAAAATGCTTTAGTTTTAAATCTTACCCTATTTAGGTCATGGGATGGGGGTGTTAACTGAGTGACATCTGGTGGAGGGGCGGAAAGCAAGTTATTAGGATAGTCCAAAAGATAGCAAACAACACTTGTGTGGCCACCTTTTGCAGCTTCTATCAACATAGTAGAGCCATCCTAAAAAGAAATCATATAGAGGGGGAAAAATAAGTTAGTTTACAGAATCATTTAAGAAAAAAAAGCTTACAAGTCCTGGCTACATTAAAATAATGCTTTTAGTAAGGAGCACTTCCTCTAATAAAACAAAACTAATACTCAGAATGGCATTATAAATACAACTTATACATTATAGTCTGTGGTGTACAAGTGAAGAATTAATTCAAAATCCAACCCAAAACACTTTAGTTACATACTTTTAAACGGTGGGTAGGGTCTGCCCCATGAGCCAAAAGTAGTTCCACCACTGCCAGATGACCCCCTGCACAAGCCAGGGACAGTACAGTATGGTCATTATTAGCTGTGGTTCTATTCACATTCGCTCCTAAAACAGAGAAGACATGAAAAATCACATTGATCAGAGTGTTTTGTTCTTAAAAATATGGTAAATTTAAAAATCATTAAGAGTAGATAGAATACAATAATGAAGCCCCACATACGCATTACCTAGCTTCAACAATTATAAACACAGGGCAACCTCATTTCATATAACCCCACATCAATTCTCTGCCACATTGAATTATTCTAAAGCAAATCCCAGACAAATATAATTTCATCCATACATATTCCAGTATGAACCAGTAAAATAAAACCAAAACAAGTAATACCCTCAGGGTAATTATCACATTAAAAAAATACAAAACTGTATTTACATTTTAAGTTCTTTTTTTTTTTTTTTTTTTTTAGGTCTTAGCAAATTTATTTTACATAGTTAAAAATATCCTAAAAGTACAAAATTCTCCAAGCTAACTATGAAATGTTACATAGATTTCCTTTAAAGTCTGGAATGAGATACTGATCTTTATCATAATTTTTAGTCATTGTTACAATGGAGTTCCTAGGCAGCAAAATAAAAAAACAGTTCAAATATATAAACATAAGAAGAAACAAAACTGTCAATCCTAAATTACATAAATCAGTAGGATCTACAGAAAAAAACTAAATGAGCATAGCTATAGAAGAAAATCCTGATCTTTGTTTACACAAGAACATCTTATTTTTTTTTCCAAATAAGTGCCTTTTATTTTTATTTATTTATTTTTAGAGAGAGAAAGAGAGAATTATTTATTTTAGTTTTCAGTGGACACAACATCTTTGTTTGTATGTGGTGCTGAGGATCGATCTCCGGGCCTCAGGCATGCCAGGCGAGCTCTCTACCGCTTGAGCCACATCCCCAGCCCAACACACAAGAACATCTTAAATAAGATACCAAAAGCATGATCTTAAAGAGACAATTTTTGTTATTTGTATGTCATCAAAATTAGAAGATTCTGTTCTTTGTACCTTGTCTATTTATTATTTTAATGTCTTTCAAACAAAATATTTGCAAAGCATGAAGGAAAGGGTGAATAATTTGGATAATATCAAAACTAAAAACACATTTTGCAAGAAAAATTATAATAATGACCAGTAAGTGGAATTCAACTAATTATTGGAAAAATACAAACTAAATATAAATCAGTAGTATCTATTTGAGTATTAACTCTTTACACTATTAAGTGTAAAGATTGACAATTACAAACATTGATGAGGATGTGGAGTACTTCTAGAGAAATGAGAAATATACAAGTTAGAAAAATTTTTGCAAAGGCCTGTAAATTTATACATACATTCTTTGGTAGAAAAGATGAGTGAAAAAAAATTAAGATAATCCACACTGCACTCTATGGGCTAAATATGTAAAGAACTAACAATAGAGTACCATCTTTTTTCTTTTTTAATTAGGAAATGTCTGAGAATAAAGACAGATATGTTTTCCACTCAAAGTCTATCTATTTATCTATTCTTGAGTTGGATTACTATAAGGAATTATGGCATATGGCAGAAACAAACTGAAATAATGTTAGTCAAACTCAACCAAAGAGGGTATAGTATTTATGTCATAATTCTATTCTTAAAAATACTGCAATAAACCTATCACAAATGTATGCTCAAAATGCCTAAAATGATTTGACCAGTCATTTATTGATTTTTTACCTTTAAACCATTACAAATTTATAGTTTATTTAATATGGCCATATAAACTTTGTTATCAATATGTACTCAAAAGTAAATCTTTAATCTCTTAAACAAAAAATGTGTTAAACTCTTCCTGAAAAACCAGAGCTTAGGTATAGTAAATAACTAAGAAATAATTTAAAGGAAATAACAACATGCTAATTTGGTCATTACAGTCTTTGGTATTCAAACTAGAATTACTGGCCATAAATTAAAATCTTCATGCATTTTGCCACCTTTCAACCTTGAACAATTTTTCTATGCTATATTTATAACCATTTCCCTATATTTTATAAAGAAGAAAACTTAGGCCCAAGTAAATATAAAGCAGAAAAGGGATTTGCCACAAATTTCTCAGTGGCAGAAACAAAAACCCATGTTTCAAGATAATACTAAGATGAACAAAATAAGTAACTCTCCTCCATATCATTCTATACCCCGAAAATGCTCCATATCCCTCAATCTCTAAATGCCTAAGGATATAGGTAGACATCTTTGGGGGAAAAAAACATGTGCTTTATATAAACTTACCTTTACTAATTAAGAACTGAACAGTACAAACATGACCGGCCCTTGCAGCTTTCATTAAAGGAGTTCTTCCACCTTCAGATTCATGCTCCTGTTTTGAAAAATGAACTTAATTAAAAAATAAACTAATTTCAAGATAAATACATTAAATATCATGAGAAAGAAATTAATAAAATATAATTTTAAATTTAAAAAATCACATATTAGAAACATGTTCCATAGAAATAATTTAAGAACTGGAATCTCTGGGCATGGTGGTGAGTTCCTATAATCCCAGCTACTTGGGAGAATGAAGCAGGAGGACTGAGGGTTCAATTCAGTGAGACTCATTCTCAGTTTAATTAAATTGAGGAAAAAAAAGGAAGCCCTGGAGTTACAGTCATGTGATGTTGACACCCTCATCAAAATCCATCTTGTAATTTCTGCTCTATTAAAAAAAAAAAAAGAAACTGGAACAGTGTATGGCACTCTAGCACATAATTGGCATTATCATCATCCACTCAAGAAATATTTATTTTCTATTTTACCTTATATAAAAATTACAAAACTAATGATGATTTATTTCCAAAACCACCAATTATGTTACTAGAGCTTTCTGGAGAATACCAAAAAAGGATGAGAATCAATGGAGATCGCTGGGCAATTGAGAACAATAGAAAAGACATTTTAAGGTCTTCATTTGAAAAAAAAAATCTTTTGACAGGATTTTATATTTGTTTATCATTCACAAAAGATGAAAAATTGATTTTTCTCCAGTCAATATGTACTTTGTTCTCCTTACCCTTTAACTAAACAAGTATTAAACCTTACAGTGCTGTATGTTTCATAGTTATTGTGGTAAGCTCTGGAAATAGAATTTCTAAGCTTAAGTGGCTCAAAGTCTAAAAAGGAAATGTTTATACAAAAGTAAAATAGAACTTACACATTAAACATTTTGAATATATTCAGAATTAAAGAGGCCACAACAATAATCTAATTCAGCCCTTTTAGTAAATGAGGAAAGAGAAATTAAGTGTATTATTACAAGTTTTTGAAGTTATCAACAGGCCTGTTTCTACTTGCATATGAATTTGTCATAAACTACGAACTTCTACAGGAAATAACATTTGTCTGTTAATCTCAGAAAGTCAGTCCCATGAAAATATGCTTACATTTTAACCCAATCCTACTTTGTAATGTCTTATTCATACTTCACCACAGACTACACTGGAAGACTATCTATTTTGCCCCATATTAACGAACTTTGTTTTCTACTTTTTAGGCTATAGACTATGATCTCACTGTATTTTTTTTAACCGGACTATCTCTTTTGCTTCAACATTGCCACATCCTCTTTCTAAACTTTACCTAGTCCAAAATACAGGAAGTCAGATCCTCTAAGCTTAAACTTTCTGCACTTTACCTGTGTGACATCAATAAAGAATCTATCTTATAATGACATTACTATTTTATCCTTTCTTACTAAATTATAAACAACTTGGGAGGAAAATTATTTATTAAATACTTCATGCTTTTAGCACTTTTATTAATTAATAATGACCACTGTAGGCAAAATTTATTTTCTAAAGCTATAGAAATGTAGTTAAGTCATATCTGTTTACCTTTTTACATCAAATTATAAACTTGGTGTTGTAATTACAAGCTTCTAAAAATAGAAAACACCTAAGGAAAAACTAATTTCTATTAACATTTCTAACACAAAAATTTTCTTTTTCTTTGGGGAATGAGGCATAGTGGACTGGACAGTCCTATTAGCAAGAACAGAGACTGGTATAGAAAAAAGACTGCCTACATGAGAAAAGGAATGGCAAACAAACAAACAAATAAAAACCTTGAAGTAAAAATATATTTTCCTAGAATCTCCATATAGTTTTGAATTCTTTTTTTTTTTTTTTTCCCTTGGTACTAGGGATTGAACTCAGGGGTATGAACCACTGAGCCTATTTTGTATTTTATTTAGAGACACCGTCTCACTAAACCTTGTTTTTGCTGAGGTTTGCTTCAAATTTGTGATCTCTTGCCTCAGCCTCCCAAGCCACTAGGTTTATTATAGGTTTGCACCACCGTGCCCAGCTTGATTTCATTTTTTTTTTTTAATTTTAGTTGTAGATGGACACAATACCTTTATTTCATTTATTTATTTTTATATGCTACTGAGGATTGAACCCAGTGCATCACACATGCTAGGCAAGTGCTCTGCCACTGAGACACAACCCCAGCCCCTCTTGTCTTTTTAAATGAACATTTTAAAAAGTGACTTAGCTTACCAGATCTGCTCCTGCTTGAAGTAAGACATCTGCTACATCAGTATGACCATTTTCACAGGCATATGTTAGTGCTGTATCTCCTGTTGCTGTCGTTGCATGAACATTAGCTCCTGCAGCAGTGTTAACAAATAATACAAAAAACCAAAAGACATAAATGAACATAGAAATTTCTTATGGGTAAGCCATATCTCCTCAAATTAGACAAAATAACCTTATCCCCAAATGTTGGTAGAATCTTTAAAAGCAAAAAAGAAAAAAAACAATTACAAATAAAACTGCTTGAAATTAAAACTGCAGATACTTCATAAGATAGTAAATCATACAGCCTATATGTTTCACATGCTTAACTGAGGAAAAATTTTGTGAAGCACTTTATTAAATGATTAAAATAAATGATCCATCTAGAAATACTCTAAAAAAAGATAGTAAGGTGAATTACTCAGAATACACATACAAGAATATTACTTTGTCTTAAACATACAGTGTATTATAAACTAAAAAAGACTGGCATTATGACATTTTTACTTAAATAAATCAAGTTTAAAAAAAAGTTTTTCCAAAATGCAAAAATGCCTACCTGCAGCTAGTAAGTATTTAACTAACTCCAAATGACCCTCTTGAGCAGCTTCCATTAAAGGGGTAGAACACCCTAGCTCTATATCAGCTCCTGCTTTAATGAGAAAGTCAGCCACTTCCAGAAAGCCTCCACAGCAAGCTAGAGTCAGGGCAGTTTCTTGAGTTTCTTCTGTTTGTGCATTGATATTTGCTCCTAAAATAAAAATTTTAATAAATGACATTCATAAAACGTATTCCAGACATAAGCAAAACTTGGTTGTTGCCTAATAAACAAAATCTGATAAATGAACATGTATATTACTATTCTAAATAAGTGTTTATTCTCCTATTCATGAGGCAGTTAAAAATAAAGAAAACCATTAACTGTATTCAGAAGTCCATATTTAATGTACAGAGCTACAACAGTATTTTATTTAGCCAGAAAACATAAGTCATATGAGGACTCAGAAAAATAAGCTATATCTGCTCAAAAATGACTAACATTTAGTAAGCTCTTACTGTTTGCCAGGCAATATTCAAAGGATTTTATAAATTGTTTAGGTATTACCAATAGCTCTATTTTACACCTAAGAAAATTGAGGTTAATTAGCTTCCGCAACATCACAACATTACTATCGTCACTATTATCGTCATAACCATAGTTAATGTTTAACAGGCACTACATAATAAACAGTGTTCTAAGAGTATGTTATATATACACATATTCATCTATACACATAAACATATATACATTTATATATGTTTACATATTTTTCCTCTGTGTCTCACCAACCTCACAGAAGAGAAAACTGAGGCACAGGAGGTTAAAAACTATCCAAAGTTACAAAATTGGCAGTGGAGTTGTGATTCAAACCTAAGAAGCCTGCTCCAAAACCTATACTTTCAAAATTCTAGCCAGTATTGCCTCAAAATATAAACAAGTTTTTAAAAAACTACCACCACTCCTAAATTTGTCCTGAATTTAACTTTACAAGGCAAACTAAACTTTACTATTAAAAAAACAAAATCAGGAAACAACTATAGATATGGGGGATTACTTTGAAATTTAATTTTAACACAATAAAGTGTTTCAATTTTCCCAAAAAAGAAGTTTTCTATGTACTGAGGTACTTAACATCTGATGTACATTCTTTCTCTTCCTTATGGTGGAGTTTCCATATTATTCTACGAAACACTAGTTCCATAACATTTATTAATAATTGTTCTGCTCCCCCCAAAATTCCCTCCATATATTAGCTTGAGTAATGTTGAATTTCATATTTCCTAACACACAAGTCTATGCAAACCCCAACTGTTTTTTTATTCACATAGTTTATGACTCTGAAAACTGTACCTCAAATTAGTCTATGTTTAACATGTATAGAAGTCATGTTTTAGACCAAATACTTTATCGTTAAGTTTAGGTAATAATCTCATTGTACATCTATAGAATGATAAAATATTCAAGTTCAATTTTACAAAATTATACTCATGTGTTACATATTTATGATTTAGTGTCTTGGCTGATATGGTTACCTTGGCCTAGAAGTAATGCCACCATTTCTTCATGTCCTTCACGAGCTGCTTCCATCAAAGGTGTATAACCTTCATCGTTGACCTCTTCCAGGCTAGCTCCTCTTTCAATAAGTAAAGCTGCAAGTTCCACATGCCCACCACATGCAGCCAAAGTCAATGGTGACTCAAACGAATCAGCAGGCATGTTCACTTGGGCACCACTGTCAAGAAGTAACCTGGCTACTTCAACATGGCCATCCTAATCATAATGCAATTAAAAAAATTTTATCAGAACCACTAAAAATCTTACAAATTTTGAAGACTTCTTAATTACTATACAATAAAGCTTGGTGATCTCCATTCAAAGGAGAATAAATCCACAGAAGTAGGAACAGCAGTTGAGGACATAAAACAAGTAAAAAAAATGATACCTTCCATCAAAGACTTATTAACCATTAGGAAAGAAAATAGTAATTAAATCAAACAATAGACTACTGTGATACCGTAGATAATATCACCACTGGGCCAAACAAATTTAAATGCTGAAGGATAAAGTTTAGAGAAGGAAAATAGGATTTTCATTAAAAAGAGTAAGCAAACTTACTTAGGTAGAAAAAGAAAACTGCAATACTTTTTGGAGGAATCTGGAAAGGATATATGATGTGTTAAGATGAACACAAAGTACACTTTGCTGTTCAATGTTTAAACACTAGTGAAAAAGTTATTATCTTTTGTCTTCTTTCTAGTCACTCTTTCACAGCTTATCTAATTACTGGCAACTTCAAAAATTTCCTTTTCCTTTCAATGAAAACTGCCCCCTTTTACATCATTAACATTTCATCTTCTTTTGCACTTGTCTTGCCCATTTTTGTCCATGTATTTGTCACATACAATTCTAATGTCTTATTATCATGGTTACTTTGCTATTTCCTCATTCCTGAATCCTCCCTGAAAAGTTCACTTCTACATTTGTGTTCAAGTCCAATTTAAAAACCTCAACTGTCAGTAAGTCTTCCAAATATCTGGCCCCTCCAAATACCTTTCATTTACTTATAATATTTACATCCAGGGAATGTAGGTTAGTCCTATAGAATATTCCATTTTAATTTCTTAATTGATACATAAGTTTTTTTCCCCCCCTAGTGTAGGGTGGCAATATGATTAAATTTTCCTTATCAAAGGGAATTATTGTAACTGTTAATATTATTGGCATGTTTTATACACAAAAGCTCACTGAATCGTCTCAAAACAACCCCAGAGAAAGGTATTATCCTCGTTTTACAAATGAGGAACTCAAAATCTTCAAGGACAACTTGTTCAAAAGAATAATTCACTTAAGCAAACTCTAGAACTTGGACAAAAGGAAAAACAATAGAAAATCTGAGTCTTAAAATGATGGTACCTAATATTTTAAAAACAAGTAAATAAAACTTAACATCCTTTCAATAATCATTCTTAGATGAGAAGCTAAGATAAGAAACTTCAAATTCATTTGGGGTCTTTTTCTTTGACATGTCATCTTCAGAAATCCGTAATTTCACTCTAATTAATTTCTTTGTCTATCATAAACTAAGATACAAAAGTTTAAGGATACTATTATGACAAATTCCCAAGTACAAATGCTGCTGAGAAGCAATTCCTAGTAAAGGATTCTATGGCTCAGGAAAAAAACATGACAAAAGAACAATTATGTGACACAAATAATACTCTTTTATTTTTTTCCTCTTTAATATCACTGACCAGCCTTTTAAAGTCATTTATGTGTCAACTATAAAACCAGATTAGAATTATGAGACAAATAAAATGCAGAAATATTGTAAAGTTTCAGAAAGTAAAAGAATAGCTCTGAAAACTATTAATTCAGATAGCCAGGGTTCTACTCAATAATAAGGTTATAATAAACAGAACTTTGTACACAAGGAAAAGGGACTTATTGTACACTAGGATCTGTGTTTCCCTATCTGGTATATATTTCATGTATGAAATTCACTAGACTTACCATGCAAGCCTCCATTAGAGCAGTGTGCATTTCATCTGTTTTATGTTCTTGATCTGCACCAGCTTCCAAAAGAAATCGCACCATCTCTAGGTGTCCTAAACCAAAAGTGAATAAAATTATTTAAAAATATTTCACTTAAAAAATGATTTGAAATCAGTTATATTTACATATTTACATTTATATAGTATTAAAATTATAAATATACTGCTAAAGTAAACTATAAGCCATCCTCAACTTTCAAAAACAAATTATATAAGTGCCCATGCTGCTCTACTCCTCACTTAAGTCTGCTGCCTAGAATTCCTTCTATACGTGTACAAAGATGCCATTTTCCAACATCCAGAATATCCTCTATATAACTTTTTATGAGCCGAGGCATGCTATAGTTATTTTATGTATGCCATGGAATAAATTAGCTTTCATAAATTAGTACCCTGAGATGATCATCATTCAAGCTATTTCTATGAGGAAATGTTTTAAATTCTAATAACTCACAAACTTTTCAGGAATAGTCTTAAACACTGGAAGAGCACGAATAAAAATATTCTTGAAAATTTCTTTTAATTTACATTTATTCACTTAGAAAATAAATATATGCACAAATATACACATATTAATATAGTTTCAAATTAACCATATGATACAAACACATATACAGGAGTGGTTAAAAAATACACCACTAATGGTATTTTAGATACTATGCAAGGAAATATAGAAAAAGGTCCCCTTCCCTACTTTTATTTGCAATGATCTGTAATCAACTGGATTTGGGAAAGAAGAGACAGACAGTGGAGTCATAAGCAACATTTAAAAGTTACTTCAGTAAGTATAGCATCTGCCACATCTTGTTTTTGCAAACTATCAACACATCCCTTTTCTGTCATTCTTCCCACTGGAAGACCTATATCAAAGCTCAGTGACAGCCTGAATTCTATCTCTTTCCTGTCTCCTTGTCAATCTATGTCCCAGGAAACCTCACCAGAAAAAAGAAAGGGAAGGAAGTAGTAGAGATATACTCCACCAACTCAGTTCTCTACCCAGCTTCTAATCAAAGACTGCAAGCCCCAGGCTGTGGAAAGTAGAATGGGGATACAAGCAAAGGGGAGAGGTAAAAATGGTTGGTTACTTGCAGTCTCAGTGAAATGCACAGAGTTCTGGGTTTAAAAGTATTTGTGAAAAGGGGAGAGAATAACCCAATCAGCCTGCTACCCAGTGAAGACCAATCTTTGCCTAATTACCAAAGAGAGTTAGGGAAGTAAAGGACTTCAGCTGTGCTTCCTATCAGAAAATCTGTTAACATCAGTTATCAGAAGAACTTTAGATCAACTATATCTTTCAAATTTAACTTATATTTTACTCATTTATGTATTTAAAGCATTATTTTCTTATGTTTTTAAAGTAAATTAATCCAAAATACATCACACAACCACAGCCACTCTTAAATAAAATAAAACAACATCAGGACCAGGACTAAGCTGAAGAAATTTAGGAGTAGGGTGTGAAATTTAAGAAGTCACCCACTCACAAGCTTGTGTAAGTGAAGGGTCAGCCCTTGAGACTTGAGTCCTTCCTTAAATCTTCTGCCTAATCTTCCAACAGCTTTTTCTTAATACATCAAAGCCAAGAACCAACCAATTGTTTTATGATACAAATATGGCACAGCTGCAGAAGGTATGGAGCACTGAACTGAATGTCTTTACAGACACAAAATAGATGGCATCTACTTTTTTTAAAGTTCCTTTAAAATAAAAAAAAAAAAAACACCTTACATTATAGTTATCTGTCATATATCTGTTATACATATGGGAATCTGAGAAATGTCTGATTCTGTGGCTGTGGCATCTTTTCAAGCAATTGGCCTACCTAAAGGAGGGTATTTTCTGTATTACCAAAATTTTTAGTTTGGTCGGCATTTGAAATATCATGTACCCATTTTTGTATCAGGCAAAATATTCCCAACATGCAAAATCCTCTTAAAAGTAAAATTCATATTAAAATCAAATAACTGTTTCTGATAAAAACAATTAAATCAATTTATACTCATTTTATTGAAAATATTTGTAATATTGAGTCTATTTTTAAAAGTTTACATATTAAACAAACTCTCAAATACTTTAAATACTTAACATTTAATTAGTTACTATATACTATTATCATGTTGTCCTATTATTTGAATTTTAAAAAGGTTATATAAAATAACTAGTTTCACATGTTTAAAAATTTTGGTTCAAAAAAGGTCTATACTATACCTTTGTAACAAGCTAATGTAAGGGCACTCTCTTTAAATTCATTGGAATGCGTATTAATGCCAGCCCCATTTTCTAGCAGCAATCTGGCTACTTCCACATGTCCAGCACTTCCAGCTTCCATAAGAGGAGTATGACCATTTTCATTATGGTCCTCAATACTAGCACCGGATTCCAAGAGCACCTTTACAACATCTACATAGCCTCCAGCACAAGCATATGTAAGTGCTGTATTGCCTATTTTATTAAAGAAAAACAAAAATACGTTAACATAAAACACTAAAACAAAACATCTGAGTAAGAAGAACACAAAAAGGGAAAACTAGAATCATAATAAATATTGAATAATAGACATATATAATTCCTTTTTTTATTGAAATTTAATTTTCTCAAATTAATCCCCTATGCTACCTTTCCATGTAAAATAATATGTGAGGAAAATCACATACACTCATCAAGATTGTAGAATTGTAAAATGACAGCAAATCTGCCCTGAAACTCATTATTCTTTCAAATGAGAAACATGCTTTTTAACAGTAATCCTAAAAATGTTTCATAAGCTTCTTTTTAATGAATTAATTATATATCTAAATTATTCATCCTAATATATCTTACACCATATTTCTTTTAATCACATAAATTTTTCACTTACAACTTCCAACACTAGTTAAAACCAGATTTAAAATTAAATTTAAATTTAACATTAATTCTAATTTAAAATTAAAGTGATTTCAAAAACATTCTTTCCTGATGATAAAAAACCTCCCATGTCTGAGTAAAATACAAATTCCATGTAGACCTTCAAATTTATTTAAATAATCTAATAAAACTGAAATTTTTACACAGAGGAAATAAACAAAATGTATTTTCATATAATTTTAGAACTTCATAAATCTATTTGGGAAGAAAATGAGTTTAGGCTTAAGTTATGTCCTGATGGAACACAATTTTTCATTATACACCACCACCACCACCCCCGCCAGGCTACAGTTTAGTAACAGTAGGGAATTCTTCCCAATTACCCTTTTTGTTCTCACCAGAAATACAGCAAACCAAGGTTTGAGACACATCACCCATACCTTTCCATTTTGCAAGATGATGGTCTTTCTAACTGAATCAGTGTTTCATCTAATCTAAAGGCCCTTTAAAAGGGTATGTAACAGCCCTCATAAAATGGAAGAAATTTCACTTAAAATATATTCTATTTAAACCTCTTAAACACTTTGAAAATATGTAACACTTCTAAAAAATACCAGAACTGTGAAAGCAACACTAACGATCACTTCCATGTGAAACATTTATTACCAAAGCATGCTACTGTTTAGCGAAACTTAAAAAGAAATACAACCTGTTGAAGACTGTGCATTGACATCGGCTTTATGAGCTAGCAGCAACTTCACAATTTTGACATGTCCTCCATTAGCAGCAGCCATTAAAGGTGTAATGTCACCTTTGATTCCCCTATCTTCCACATTTGCATGCATTGCCAACAAAACCTTAAGAAAAACAAAGTGTAATGAGTATTAAAAATTATTTTATCAAATTTTTTGTTTTTATTTTCGTTTTGCAGTGTCAGGGATAGAATACAGGGCATCATTAAAAAAAACCCTGAACACTAATATTTAACATTTATCTATTCATAAGTCGATAAACACACAAACTTTATCTAACAAAACTATACTGAAATAAACTTAATGGCTGAAAGCCAGCATGGACAACTTAGCAAGACTCTATCTCAAAATATTTCTTACTAAGTAGGCCAGATTTAAAAAAAAAAGATTTATTTTGATGAGACAAACCTGTGCAAGCTCATAATAGCCAGCAGAACAAGCTAAACAAAGGAGGCTTTCCCCTTCCTCGGTGTGTTCATTTACGCTTCGCCCTTCAATGAGTAACTTCCGCACAGCATTTACATCTCCTTCTGAACAGGCTTCTGCCAAACTGCGGCTGTTAGGTGAAGAATATTGTAGGATTAGGAGATAACAATAAAAAAAATTGTACAGTATAACTTGGTTTTTGATGTCACTCTTAATAACAGCTCTGTGAACAAGAATGATTATTTCAATAATCACAACAAATTTCATATCAGAAAGCTAAAAAATGGAGCTCACTGAACTTAAAATTTACACATAAAAGTCAATTATTTAAAATTAAAATTATTCTGATGGGTGTGGTGGCACACATCTGTAATCCTAGCAATTTGGGGAGGCCCAGGCAGGAGGATTCCAAGTTTGAGGCCAGCTGGGACAACTTAACAAGACTACCTCAAAATAAAAAATAAAAAAAGGTCTAAGGATATAGTTTGGTGGTATATTTGACTAAACCTGAGTTCAATCATCAATACAAAAAGAAAAAAGCCAAAAAAAAATAAACAGAAAGTCAAATATTCTAAAATGTTTTCAGTTATTCAACGCAAAGATAATGTCTATCTAATTTAACTTACTTTAAGTGGAAAAATAACTAAAATTTGAAGATTAAATTCTATAGAAAATCTTGTTGGGCACAGTGGCACATGACTGTAATCCCAGTGGTGTGGGAGGCTGAGGCAGGAGGATCATGAATTCAAAACCAATCTCGGCAACTTAATGAGGCACTTAGCAACTCAGGGAGACTCTGTCTCTACATAAAATATATAAACAAAAAATTGGAGATATGGCTCAGTGGTTAAGCACCCCTGGGTTCAATCCCTATACCAAAAACAAAAGCCAAGATTCTATAGAAATCTCACACAACGTACAAGCTATAATCATACTTCACTTTGTTTGGTCCCCATATAAATTTCATGAAACTTTACCCCCCTCAAAAACGTAAAATGGACAAAATGTGTACTATTTATAAAGACAAGGTCCCTTGATCAGGTAAATGGAACCCAAACCAAAAAAAAAAAAAAATGGAGGCATGTTATATTAATAAAATAAGTGATAATGAATCTTTTGGGAGTATATTTACTTATATAATCATATTTCAGGCAAAGTTTCCAAAAAATAGAGTCAAGGAAAAAACTGGATTCAAGTACAAGGAATGGAAAAATGGAACAACAGAAAATAAGACTAAGAGAAAAGTTTTTGCCCTTTAAGCCTTCTAAAAGAATTTATATTAGACATTCTTTTTACTTCTAAATGAAAATACAGGGCCCGTAGTATTAACTTTATTTCAAATATAACTCAATTCATACATCATCCTCTAAAACATGGCCTTGTCACTTCAGTTACTAAAGCCACTCATGGATAATCACTCTCTTTTCTCCACTGTTTGCTATTCAGGAACATCATTTTTAGCCCAGATTATGATAAAGCTTCTCATCTTTCACCTTTGCTCTACAGACTCTTTTTAAAAAGGCAAAGGTAAAGGACAAGTACTTTAAAGGGAATTAGAACATACCACTTCTCTGCTCAGAATCCTGTAATCTCACTCACAGTAAAAACTAAAATCCTGGATCTGACCAGTGGCAGGATACCATGATCCTTCTCCCTTTTACACTGGCTCTATCTCCTCCTTCTCACAATTTTTCTTCCCACTATAGCCACAGTGGTCTTACTATTCATCAAATGTACTAAACAAGCACCAACCTCAAAATATTTCCATTTGCTGTCCCCTCTGCCAAGACAGCTCCTCTTTCAGACACAGATGACTCCTTTACCCATTTCAGGTCTTTGCTAAAAAAGTCATGGAAGGGCTGGGGCTCCAGCTCAGTTGGTAAAGCACTTGCCTAGCATGTGTGAGGCACTGGGCTTGATCCTCAGCACCACATAAAAAATAAAATAAGGGTATTGTGTCAATCTACTATAAAAAAAAAAAAAAAAAGCCACAGGAGTTTCCTTGACACTCTCCCCCAAATTAAAAATGCAACATGACTTCCAAACCAAATACTACTCTGGCACTTCCCCATTAGATTGTTTCTTTTCTTTTTTTTTTTTTTTAACCCACAGTTCTTATCAATGTATGCTATACTATATTATATTACTTCATTTCTGGTCAATTGGATTTTCTCCTTACCCAAGTCAAAGGTTCAAACAGTGCTCAACAAATTTGCCTCTTAAAGTCTCTTAATTTCCCACTTCATTGGACAATGAAAGTACCCACACCTACATTTTTACTTTTAAACAAGTTAGGACAAATCCTTCCCACAATATGCTTCTTGTACAAAAACATCTTTTCTCTCTTTCAAGGTATTATCTCTCACTTTTTTTTTATGCATATTCCTCTTCTACCATTCTGTCTTTTCATTTAATATCCACATGTATGCTAACTACCTTGTAGGATCTACTCTAGCAATAGGTGAACTTCAGAACTTCGAACAAGGAGCATATTAAATCTGGCACAGGGCATCATACTTAACATAAAAATTGGCACACAACATTCACTGCATTTAACTACATCATATTTCTCAAGCTGTGAATAAATAAGATTATTACAAACATGCTTTATTGTTTCAGTTTAACTAGACTTGTATATTTTCAAGGTATTTTTAATTTTCAACAGTCTCAGCAGACATCTCATTAAAAATATTTAGACATTATCAATAATATTTTAGGCTAGTAGAACTGAATATTAACTAGCAATAGAACCCAATGTCAAGTAAAGAAAGTCTATCTAGAAAAATGGTAAATTAATAAAAAATGCAAAAATCTAGGTAATGACTAACAGAGTTAATATAAAAACAAATTCATACACCTCAATTCTATATAAGCTCATTTATGCTCTCAGGAGATACTGCATAAAAACACTACCAAACAATTATTTTAAGATGGTTTTTAAATGCTATTGTTTTCTTTCTGAACCCACGTATACAAACAAACACACACATATATACCCAAAAATGAGCATGCCTTAATGACATGTTGGTCAACAATGGTCTGTACATATACAATAGTGATCACATAAGATTATCACCTACAAAAGTACTACCTGTCTTAATTCAACAAGCACACTCTATAATGCTCACACAACAATAAAATAACCTACCAATACATTTCTCAGAATATATTCCCATTGTTATGTGAGGCAGGACTATAATAGAATACTCCCATTTTTTCAATTGCTAAAGTAGGCAAAATACCTTTATTTTAGAGGGGGAAAAATGTAACTGGGGACTGAAAAAATAAAATATCAATGATTATTTTCAAAAGTCACTTCCTTAAGAGTTTATATATACATTTATACACACACAATTGTGTTTACATATGAGATGGTGTGATTTTTATGGCCTATCATCATCAGGAAATCTTAGAACACCATGTCCCAAAATACTTACTGAGCCCTTCCTTACTAACTCTAAAGTACTATGTACAAAAAATTATAAGAAATTTAAAAATTAAGTCCCTTGGATTCTCATTTACATTATGAGAACTAGAGCTGCTACTTTTTATAAAACACAGTAAGACAAATGAAATCATGTCCTTCAAACTGGTTGGAACTATGCACATGAACTAAAAGATGGTATGACTAATTGGGAAGAATTTACTACTTTTTCACATAAAAAGAAAACAAAACTTTAAGCAAAAATTTTCTTTTTAATATCATTGACTAAGAAATTGGTCTTTCAGTAACACAAACACTGCTGCTCTGCCATGTGTCACCTATTTGATCTTGATCAAGTTATTCATCTTTCTCAGCTTTTGATTTACAAAATGGCAGTAAAATTTATAATGTATAAGGTTTTTTTGTTAAGTGATTAGCACAGTGTCAAATATAAAATAACTGCACAATAATTTAGTCATTTTTATTATTAAGAAAATGATTCTTATACTGATCATGGCAAGAAAGTACTTACTTGTCCGACTGCCCTGCATTTGCTGTGCTTTCAGCTCTCATACGGGTAAGTGCAGCAGCAGCTTCATCCAACGCACAACTAACAGAGGACGTCAACCTCCGAAGAACTTCAGGATCTGCAAAGGCTTTACCATCAGCCGTGGATAATTTGCCTATTCCTATTATATCATTTCACACCAAAATGGATATACCCAAAAGGAGAAACAAAGCAAAGTTCATGTTACTTAAATCTATATATGTTAAAAAATAAAAATCTCCAAATGGTATAGTGGCCATATATATTATCTCACTAAAATATGGGAAAAAACTCCTCAAATTTTCTAAACATCTTAATCTTCCCATGTGACTCATATAACTATGTGATCCTATCACTCCCTCAATGTCTGATATGGGTCATTAGCCTATGCTGGGGTAACCAGAAGTTCTCAGAAGTCTTGTCATGGCTTTGGAAAAGAAACTTATGTTCAAAGATTGCTAAATTAGAAAGGTATGAGTCAAGCACTATTTAGCTACTTTTATCACCACATACAAAAAAAAAAAACATCCAAAATAAAGTCAACAAAGAGGAGAGTAGAAAAACAGAAAGGAGAAACCATCCTGAAAAAGTTATTTTTGATGCACTGACGACAGTAGCAACAGTACCATCCCTTATTTTGGGTAAATGTCCACTTTTGCTCAAGTATATTTAGCTGGCCTATCACTTGTAAAAAAAAAAGTGACCTAATAATAAATACATTTTAAACTATAAGCTATATATGAGTATTTCTTATTTCAAATTATATCTACTTACTACATATACTTACTAAACATAAGTATATAAAATTACCATTCTAAAAGTCATTCAGAATAGCAAAAAAGAAAAAGAAATTCAAAAGCAGAAATGGTCAGTGACCTTTTAAATGAAACATCATGTATTTCATTTCTAGATATTCCTGTAAAGAAAGCTTATCTCTAACCATTATAATTCAGTGGTTCTTAATCGAGGCACTGAGTCACCTGTGGTACTTTTCAAAAATATAGGTTTTAAGCTCTCCTTCATCTGCAGATCTATTGCAGTAGTAGAGGGCTGGGGATGTGGCTCAAGCGGTAATGCGCTCACGTGGCATGCATGGGGTGCTGGGTTCGATCCTCAGCACCACATAAAAATAAAATAAAGATGTTGTGTCCACCGAAAACTGAAAAATAAATATTAAAAAATTCTTTCTCTCGGGCTGGGGATGTGGCTCAAGCGGTAGCGCACTCGCCTGGCATTCGTGGGGCCTGGGTTCAATCCTCAGCACTACATACAAACAAAGATGTTGTGTCTGACAAAAAAAAAAAAAAAACTAAAAAGTAAATATATAAAAAAATAAATTCTCTCTCTCTCAGTAGTAGAAAGTAAGGCATAGGCAGTCACATATTAAAAGCAATTCTGATGTATAGTCAAGATCAACAGTCTTTAATATCTAATATTATGATGGATATTATTGAACCCTGCTACTCAAATATGTGGTCCATTGAATAGAAGCATTGCCATCACTTGTGAGCTTGTCAAAAATTCAGAATCTCAGACCTCAAGCTTCACTGATCTAAAACCTATATTTTTAAAAAGATCTTCAAGTGACTCACATGCAAATCGAAGCTTAAGAGACATCAACACAGGTTTTAGAACAATGGCAGAAACAAAAAGTTCATTTGGTAATAAAAATATCTACACAAATATATTTTGTAACAGTAAAGGGGGCACAATAAATGTAAGTTTGGGTTTAAAGTTTATAGAAGAAAACTTTATTTCTTAAAAAATCTAAGATATCAAGTATTATATCTTGTAAGATCAAAGGTCATCTGGCAAGAAGCCTCTATGATTTAGCTATAACAAGATGTTCACAGAAGTCAAATTTCATACCCACTAATCAAGATGTGCAAAAGATAAAAACAGTCTTATGCTGGGAAGACTGATAATTTACCATATAATTTGTTGAATCTGCTACAATTATATTTATCCAGATATCATCTTTATTTGTCAAAAGAATATTATGGCACCACTAAGTTCAAGGTCACAGATTTCCATGTAAGAGAATTAGTTTGAATTTTGCACCCAACCCAGATCAACTATATAACAAATATTTGTCAGTGATAGCAAAAGGAAGTAAGCAAGATGATAAATATTTATCAAAAGACTTTATAATAAGTCTTTATGAACATCTCATGCATTCACAAACAGATTATTCTAGTACTAAATAGGAAATAACAAGATATAGATGATAATAACCTTTTGAATAAGTAGTCATCAAAAATTAATCATACTAGTTATTCTGCATTATAATGATCCTTTTTTTCTAGTTATAGTAATCAGCACCAATCAAAAACCAGAGGAAGAACAAGATGACCACATTTATTCTTTCCAACTTCTGACATTTAAACAAGTGAACAAAAGAATCACAAAACTTAAGAAGGCACATTAAAATATCTAGATTTCTGATTTTAACATAAGGGAGTAAAAAATAATTGTTTACCCCTCTTAAAATAATTTTTAAAAGAGGAGTGGAATGCAACAGAAATTCGATCCTTGAAAAAACTAAGAAATAGTTTTAAATCTAAAAAACATTTATTTATGAAGGCAAATTAGGAGACGTAACTGATTTAACAACAGAATAAGAAAAACTTAACAAGAGAGAAACAAGGTGATCACCCTAATAAGACTTAAGAATTAAAGGTACCAGACACAGGGGTAAGGCTTTGTTTGTAAAACATTAAAAGTGGTTTAACAATTGTGCTGAGTAAATGAACACAAGTGTCCATCTCCAAACTGAACCATAAAGGTTTAGGACTAGGTCTAGAACCAGAAAGGTCTAGGACTAGAGGAAAAGGAAATAAAGAACTAAATGGAAAATGAAGAATAAGTGAACATCTATATGATGAGCAGTGAAATTCTCAGTCCTCTTACACTTTCTCAGTACCCATAATCCTAAAAATTATCACGTATGTTTTTCGAAAAACTGGACACAAAGAAAAGATCTAAAGATACCAATATTTGATGCGCTCACAAATAAATGAAAGATCTCTGTGTAATCAGTGCTAAGTATTCTCAAATGTTCCTTACATTACCTACCCCTGGCATACATAGCTTACACAATTCTTGTGATACTGAATTTGATACATTTTATTCCCATGATTAAATTATGTTACAGGGCACAGTTGATCTGAAGACAGATTGCCCTGGTGGGCCAAACCAATCATACAAGCTCATAAAAGGCAGAGATTTCTTTGGCTGGTTAGAAATATAGAAGTCAAAAATTTGGGGAATAAAAAAATTCTGCATGCCACTCTTTGCATAAAGACCATCATGTATCAAGGAATGTGGGCACGCTCAAGGGTAGTGAGAAGAGTCCCAGCTAATATAGACCATGAGAGTGGAATCTCAGTTCTACACCTAGAAAGAAGTGAATTCTGCTACTGATAACAATGAAATGGGAAGTGAACTTTCTCCCAAAGCAACAGATGACAACTCGCACGGGCAATTTCAGCCCAGTGAGACCTTAACAAGAGAAACATGGAAGAAACTAAGAGATAATAAATGAATGCCATGTCACACAGCCATGTTTTAAATGAATTGTTATACTACAACAGGAAACCAATACATGCATTATAGTAAAGCATGTGAATTGGGAAAACATTTGTAAAGTTTCTAATTTATCTTTTTATGTCATTGCTATTGACTACAAATAAAGTGATCACCAGACATTTGAGGGAAATTCTGAATGTAAAAAAAACCAAGAGTATTCCAAAGAAGATCAAAATTTTAAAATGACATAAATTCTCAAGCTTTGAAAAAGGAATAGGGAAAATTGGCACAGATTTGGAAAAATCATAAATAAATGTGCCATCAAACTTTTCAAAAAGCAACACCAGAAAGAAGACAATAAGGGTGTAGAAGCTTCTAAAGTCTGAAGGAAAATTATTTTTATACTGGAATTCTGTATATAATCAAACTATTAAGTATGAGATTAGTAAGAAAGACATTTTCAGACAGGTCTCAAATATTTTTACCTCCCACGCATCCTTTCTCAAATAAAGCTTTAGATACTTAAACCTTATTTAATATCAACATTACAAAAAGAGGAAAAGCAGACAGTACCTGTGTGATACATAGGAAATATACAGCACCATGAAAGATTATTCTTGCCAAAAACAAAATAAACTGGAATTAATAAAATATCTGGATCTGAATTCTGATTTATGGTAACTTTAACTCAGAGGAATGACAAAATCCATATAGTGGTCCAAATAACTGCTGCTTCAACAACAGAAAAAAAGGACAAATATAATTAAATACACTTAGAAAAAATAATACTTTAAAATAGGATAACCTTATTTGGATCCCAATTCAAACAAATCAATTGTAAAAACAAGCAAAAATGGATAAACATGAAACCATACTGCCCATACAGTAGTTACTGAAAATGGATGACAATGGAGATACAGAGAGCTTATTATGCTGTTCTAAGCTTTTGTTTGAAAATTTTTATTACTAGGAAGGAAAAGAAGAAGGGAGATGAGAAGTGAAAAACAAGATAAATGAGGAAGAAAGGGGGCAAAAGGAGTCTAGTTTGTTAGCGACTGTAATGAAAAAATGAGAATATAAAAACAAGAATAGTGAAGCAACTACTAGCGTCCCATAAAGAGGCACTCTATCTCCAAAAGTCAGCTATCAATTGAAATCTATTTTCATCTTTGAACTTGGTTCTGCCTCTAGGGTCAACAGAAAACAAACATCCCTATTCTATTAATTAGTCTTTTAAGCATTTAAAGTGTAGTTTATTCAACCTAAGGCTTTTACTCATGACATATTTTCAAATAATTTCATAATTCTAATTTCTATAGTATAATTTGCACTTCTAAAGCAATAGCAAATTTCTAGCAAAAGCTAAATTATGTCTCAACCATTCTTTAAAAACAGTTTTCTATACTCAAAAAGAGCACTTTCATATGCCTTACTATGTATGGATTGCCTGTGTTTGGTGGAAATCCTTTTAATAATCCATTCTACAATTTATTTAATCATGAGTCCTTCCAACATTTAGATGCTCTGTTACAAGACATATTGAAAGAATTAATGAACACTAATAAGTCATTTTTATGCTATAATAAAATAGCAGTTAGCATGCACTTGATATACAATATATAGAGCATCAGAGTTCTCAAGCCATGAAAAATTAATGTTCAGAGTATATTTATGCCTATTTTTAAAAACTTAAAAAGATATATAGGATTTTTTAAACTGATTATAGAGATTCAGAGTTATTATCACCTTACATTTAGGGCACATTTTACATATATGGTACTAAATCTTTGATTATGTACATAATCTCTAATTAAAACATCATTCTTACAGGGACACTACAATACACTCTACAAAAGTATGATGATTTACTATGCAAGGTTATAAGAGACAGCCTATACCAATGCCTAGGAGAAATTATATACAGTCACTTATTAATTATTTATGGAAGATATGTTCTAAGAAGTTGCTATTAACCTGAATTACTAAATTCTGAACCATTACTCCTAGGACAAATACAAGATTAGGTTATCTCAAATATCTGATAACAGCATTTTCAGTAATACATAACCTTGTTCACATGTGTTTCTGTTTACATCTTATCTGACACATGTGTTTCTGTTTACATCTTATCTGACATGTATTGTTGAACACTGAACTCACAATCAACAACACTATAACTCATGCCTGAACAAAGCTTACCTAACAAACACATTTTTTCCATAACATTTTCTTATACTAGGGAATATCTTCTTATGCTAAGGAACACTAGATAGCACTAAGCATTATGCTTGGGGATCATTTTAAGCAGTGAAATCACTAGTAAACACACACATACACACAAATGCGTCACGATTCAGTGGTGCATATTTGTATGTAATTCCAGTGACTTAGAAGGCTAAAGCACAGGAAATGCAAATCTGAGGTCAGCTTGGGCAACTTAACAAGAACTAGATTCTGTCTCATAATAAAAAGATAAAAAGGGCTAGGAATGTAGCTCATTGGTAAAGCACTACAAGGTTGAATCCCCAGTACTTAAAAACGGGGAGCAAAAATGTGGGGGGAAAAAAGGCACTACACAAACTGCTAAAGAACACACATTTATAATACAAGAGTTAAAAGCAGGAAGCATCATCTTGCTTGACCTTAGCTGGGAACATGCAGATATGGTAATGCAAAAATTCTGCTGTTCTGTGCTTCTCCATGAAAGTCTGAATACTGATTTGGGGATTGCAAGTACATTTTGGCATGCAGGTAGGCAAATTCACAAACATTTCACTCGAGTAATGAAAATTAAAATCTGTTTTAAAATATGTTCCATGTAATTGGCTAGAGAGTAATGATTAACCTTTATGAATTGTTATCATACTAAACACACAAGACCACACATTTATAATAACAAGAGTTTTTATTAGGTTTATGTGCAACTTTGGATAATAAGGTAGATTTCTTTTCCTTTTTTTTTTTTTGTTGTTGGTGGTGCTGGGGATTGAACCCAGGGCCTTGTGCATGCAAGGCAAGCACTCTACCAACTAAGCTATATCCCCAGCCCAGGTAGACTTCTTATTATGTAGAGTTAACAGACATACCTGCAGCTTCTAACAGAGCTTCCAGTCTAGCCTGTGTTTCTGGATCTACTGTCCTGAGGTCTGCACCATCAGCAGTACCTGACAAGAGCAACTTGGAAGCCGTTTCCAGCATTGGATTTTCCAAATCATCCTGATCCAAAATGAAAGACTCCACCTAGAAAACAAACACAAAAAAGAAAAAAGAGGAAGAAAGGAAGAATGGACGGAAAAGTGGAAAGAGAAAAAAAGGAAGAAGGACAGAGAAATATGTTAACATAATTACCAATGATAAATATAATGATAACCCTAAATAAATTCAAAAAGATACCTAAGCTCCTTGCTTAACAATAGAAAATTATATTTCTGTAAGAACTTATTATTTAAGAACAGTCTCATTTTGTTTACTGAAATCGTATGTGTTCTTTTCAATTTTAATGTGGTTATGAGATATGTGAGTTTACAAAGTTAGTTATTAAGCTATAAAACTTTGACTTTAAGAAGACATAAATCAGCAGTTCCTCCCTCTTTCAGACCTTAAATCAGTCTTTAAATGCATTACTTTCAGGATGCTTTTATACATTTATGAACTACTATGCTTGCAAGAACTTCATCTAAGGCTTATATTTAATAATATTATTAAATATTGAGGTTAAACAGTAATATAAAAAAATCGTATAACCATTAACTTCATCAGAAAAATTTTTTAAGTACTGGAAATCTATCAATTATCTAGGCAAATAAATATGAATTCTAAAATTCTTATTTGTGCTTGGAAACTTTATTACTGGCAATAAATATTGTCAATTAAAGTAACAGGCTCACTTCTATCATTTTTAGAATGTCTGCCAAACACTGAGTTTGTCAGTTGTACTTTTCAGTACAAATGCTATTTCATGAAAAAATATGGCTCATTCACCTTACATCTTGAAAACAAAAACACCACTGCCTTTCCTCCAAACACCCTATTTTTTAATGTAGCAGAAGTGCTTTATGTATACTTCCAATTTTGTCACACCCAGTCATATTAAAAGAACATGCATTAAAAAGTGGAGCTTTTATAAAATTAATAACCTTACTGCTTTCATTTTTAAGGTAAAATTGGCTTTTAATGTTTCTTTAACTACAAGTACATGGCAACCAAAAATACAATGAAACTAGAATAGTTTGATGCCATGACCTTAAGAAATCAGAATGTTTACTTGCAAAGATGCTCTTGTACCACTAGTGCAATGTCAACATAGTAAAAATGACAATTTCTTAGTATTATGATGAAAATAGTTTTGAACACCTCAAACACCCTGAAACGAACTTTGGGACCCTGAGAAGCCCACAGACCTATATTGAGAACCACTAACCTTAAAAAAAAAAAAAAAAGAAAAGAAAGAAAAATCAGATTCAATTAAAAGAAATTTAAAGAATTATAAACTCCTAAGGAATAGGGAAAATTTTCATTCTGAAAATCTCTGTTGTAGTGCTACTTATAAAGAGATATTAAAATATATTTCTTGAGCTGGGATTGTGGCTCAGAGGTAGAGTGCTCGCCTAGCATGCGTGGGGTACTGGGTTTGATTCTCAGCACCACATACAAATAAATAAAATTTAAAATATATATGTATTTCTTTCTGTTTATTAATAACAATGTTGATAATAATTATTATATTAAATATCACTAATATGATCCAAAGAAACTAACTTCACAAATCTAAAGTAATTTTAACATTATTAATAACTAAAATAGACATATAAAAAATAGACATATAAAAGCAATTAACAACCTACAGCATAATCATGCTCATACCTAGTATGCACAAGTCAGGAGTAACAAAAATACCTTAAAGAATAAATATGTTAACAAGCATATAAGAATTCTAAAATGTTCCATTTTTAAATGGTGACAAATGGTCACCTATCAAGTAACCATGTGTAGTGTAATTTTTAATCAACACATTTACTATTAAATTAGATTTCTACTATTTCAAAAGCAAACAAATACAGAATTGCCTGAAATAGCGTAAATGTTTGAAAATTTTCATAAAAATTTAAAGTATACATTAACTTTAACCAATCAAAAACCACTGTTAAGGTGTTAAAGTAAAAAAACCATAACAATTTTTTTATAGGTTCAGTTATTTTCAAATGCAGAGGCAAAGGCATGATAAAGCAAAAATCATCTTGGGTAATTAATTAAACTGTTATCGTCTGGGAAAATTGGAAACTAATATGTTATACTTTGGGAACTGGACTTTGGGCATGGTTTGGTCACAGCAAGGTATGATTCAAAACTACATATGGTAAAAATGCCTTCCTATCTTAAAAAATGGTTCAAAAGATGAGTCTGGATCTAAAGAAAAAGCTACTGCCCAATGAAATTTTATCTATTAAAATATCCATAATCATTTCAACTCAATGAGAAGACAAAAGAAAGGAATCAAGCACAGTGAAGACACCTCTAATTCCAGGGACCTGGGACACTGATGCAAGAGGATCACTAAGTCTGAGGCCAACCTGGACAACTTAGTATGATCCTGTCTCAAAATAATAGCAAGGGCTGGGCATGTAGCTCAGTGGTAGAATATTCTTGAGTGTTCAACCCTCACTTGGGTGAGGAGGGTGCAGAGTGGGTGGAGGGAACAAAAGAAATATAGAAACATTAATACAGGTAAGGATGAATAGATGAAAAATGTTTTAAATTGTTTTAGAAAAAAAATCTGTTGTGTACTTGTATTAAAATATCACACTGGACCTCATAAATATGTACTTTGTGTCAATTTAAAATTTTTTTTAATTACGTTTTTTAAACTTACAATAAACACTATAAAAATTTGTAAATTGACTTTAATTTTTTTTTTTTGTCCCAGATTGAACCTGGGGTGCTTAACCACTGAGATAGATCCCTAATCCCCACCTTTTTAAAAAATATTTTTGAGATAGGGTTTCACTAAATTACTTAGGACCTCACTAAGTTGTTAACACTGGCTTTAAATTTGTGATCCTCCTGTCTCAACCTCCTGAGTAACTGGGATGGCACACATGTTCTATCATACCCTGCATAAACTGATTTTTAAATCAATTACTTTTACAATGTAAAAAAAATTTTGAGTGGCTGGGATTGTGGCTCAGTGGTAGGACAGCTTGCCTAGCTTGTGTGAGGCACTGGGTTCAATTCTCAGTACCACATATAATAAAGGTCCATCAACAACTAAAAAAATATTTTTTAAAATGATAATTGAAAAACAGTAAATTTAAATGACTATGAAATACTACATAGAGAACTTTAAAGTAGCCAGTGGAACAAAATGTTACCTTTATTTCTTTATTAAACACATATTTATTTAAAACCATTTTTTTATGATTTGGATCTGGAATTGCCCCCAGAGGCTCAAGGGTGAAGGTTGGTTCCAAGGCAGCAATGTTCAGAGGTGAGATTCTTGGGAAGAGATTGGATCATAAGGACTCTCCTCATCAATGGATTAACCCACAGGTAGATTCATAGCTGATGACATTATTGAGAGGTGGTGGATACTGTAGGAGGTAGGGTCTAGCTGGAAAAAGTAGGTCACTAGGGGATGTGCCCTGAAGGGGTATTTCTTATCCAAGGGCCCCTTCCCCTCACTCAGTCTACTGCCCAGCTGCCATTGAAGTGAGCAGCTTTTGCTCAGTCACATCCCTCTGCCCACCAACAGCTCCAAAACAATAAAGCCAGTCAATCATGGTCTGAAATCATAAGCCAGAATAAATCCTTCCTTTTCTTGTAAAAGTTGTTTTTCTCATGTATTTTGTCATAGCAATAAAAAGTTGATTAACACATTCTATGGGCAAAAGATAACGATTTACTACTAGGGGATACAAATGTTTGTAAAAACCAACCCTACTATCTAAGAAACTTATATATCTTTTAATGAAATTACATACAAATAAAAAAATACAAGATAAAAAAATAAATAAGTAATGAGAGAAAAAAGAGCCATACAAATTCAGAGAAAAAGTCTAAGAGTACTTCCTCCTTTAACATCAATTTTTGTTTTTCCAACTGAAGGGCAGGGGAGTGTAGCTCACGAAAGACTCCAGGGTTGATACCTGGTGCCATACAATAATATTCAATACTCTTTCCAACTGGGAGGATCTTATGCTACATTATAGAGTAAGTGCAAAAAGAATGAAATGAAGGTGCAATCTCATAAATATACAAAAATACACTTATTTTTCTCTTATTTAAATGTAAGACAGATTATGAGCATAAATACACCTTTCTACTACACCCTCAGCTGAGATAGTTCAGACTAAAAACTGAGGCTTTTTCCCACGGAAAACTCACTCATCTTTACTATATGATTCTTACAAAAAATTTTTATGATTCATAATCAAGTTCTGGAAAATAAATATTAAAAATGGTCTGAATTAAGAAATTTAAATAAATATTTTAAATACTTTATTTTATTACATACGGTTCTTGGGATTGAACCCGGGGCCTTGCATATGTTATGTTCACTAAGAGGGGAAAAATGCTATTAAGGTTATGAATACATAAAGTATGACAACTAAAGTTAAAATTAAAGTATTTTGGTTGTGTTATTTTAACCAGTTGGATATTTCATGAAATGAAGCATGTATCAAATTTATGTATGAAGAACCATCTGGAAGAGCCAGAGAAAAGGGGGGAAAAAAAACAAAAATCAAACAAAGAAGAAGGACTTCAAGTTCAAGGCTAGCCTAGGCAACCTGGGGAGACCCTGTCTCAAAACAAAAAAAACTAAGGACTTAACTCAGTGGCAAAGCACTGGCCTAGTATGCACAAGGCCCTAGGTTAATCCTGAGTACCTCAAAAAAAAAAAAAAAAGGGGAGGGTGGGGGAAGAGAGAGAAAAGAAAGCAAGACAATGCCAAGAGCCAGAGAAAATGGCAGGTTTCTAAATATCTAACACAATGGGACCAATTATCCAATTAACTAGTTCAAGAGAACACCAGAAATTTCAAGGCTGGAGTAATAAAAAGGTCTACTTTTGTACTGTTTTAGAAAAGTGGAGTTTAAATTTTTCATTTAGGAAATCAGGCTGTTACCACCTAAGTCTACTATTTAAGTACTAAAAGTGGAATAGTCAAACATTATATGCCCCTTATTTCTGCAACATATAAAAACAAGCAGTACCTCCAATGAAGAATTCTTGCCCCTCCAAAT